CAGAACTCGGTGCAGCACCAATGCCAGGGGATATAAAATCTTGCTTCTAGAGAAGATTCTGCAGAAGTCGTTCTTTGGGGTCGGGCCCTGTAGTTCGAAGACATTCCAGATGCCGTTTACCCCGATGAGCACCAAGTCTCTGGCGCCGTCATAGTCCTCGTCCAAAAATTCGACCAACACATTCAAACCACCGGCGGACACAAACATTTGAAGGGTCAGGGTACTGGTTTGGTACATTTGTCGCACGAAAGCAGCTGCTTCAAGTCTAATTTCGTCGGAATATTGGCGAGCTGCAAATTTCGTAATGATGGGTATACCACCTACGAAGCAAAGGTTTTCTTGAATTTCTACGTCGTCGAGAATAATCTGCAAATAGTTAGCATTGCATCACGGGGGAAAGCTGCAAGCATCAACCTACCGCATTGACGACTTTGAGTAGCTGCAGTATCATGTACTGCCTGCTCTTGACGGTGCACGGCTCGAGAATCTCCAGAATCGGTAGTAATCCGTGCGCGCTGATGATCAAGTTCTTCACTTCCTTGTTTTCCCATAATAAGCCCAGCTGGTCAATAGTTAGCGATTGCCCGATGATGAAATAAAATATGTAGTGCAATGTTGGCATACCAAGTCTTCGGACACCTCGGATAGGGTATCGTTGGCCTCGGTCGTCTTGAGTGAACTGACAAGGTCTTCAACCTTTTCTGCCAGACGAGCGTGCCTGTCTCTTGCAATGTTTGCTTCGAGGTCCATCTCATCCCAACCAGGGTCCATGGAAGCAAATGGGTCATATTCTTCTTCGTCGTCTCCAAGCCAGGAGTTGCTCGACATCTTTGACAATAGCATCAGACCACCATCCTCAGAGCCACGCTCGCTTTCCTCCTTGTCAGCTATGGAGTCACTGGCGCCAAACACATCCGAAAAGTCCTCGTCATCGTCCTCGGCGAATTTTTGTATCTCTATAGATGAGCGAGTGCGACGCATGGGCCGGTCAGGGAGTACAGACGGCCGGGAAGGCGGCCTCTTCCTGATACTACCGTCGGGAGCCTGCATGGAACGGGGAAGGGTCGTCAAGTCCGATGGATGGAAGAGTTGCGGTGCATCGGTGGCGCGAGATCCCTGGTTTACAAGGTTTAGTCATAGATGGGCGGGAAAACAAAACCTCTTGAAATAGAGAACTCACCCTTCTGACTGCTCTGTTGACTCTGTAATTAAAGGCTTCATCATTATCCACAAACAAGTCAGAGAAATCCTCCACACTCTGTTCTCGAAATACCACGTCTGGGCGAGGAGGCAGCTCAAATTTGTTGCCAAAGTGGCCCTTTGATGGGGACCTGGGCACAGAGGACCCAGGCACTTGTGCAATTGCCTTTCCCAGAGACTTGGTGCGTTGGTGGGACTTGGCATTTGTACTCGGGACTGCCGTCTTATGTATTGGTCGGAGAGTCTGTTCCTGAACTTCGTCACGTTGGTGGGCGGGGCCTTTGATAGTTAGCAACTCGCCCTCAAAATCATCGTCGTAGTTGTCAGTATCTATTCTCAAGTCATTTGTAGATGCAAATGCTTTGAGCTTGTCGCTTGACAGTAGACCCCCAAAATTGTCTTGTGGTTTCAGGTGAGGAAGATGCAATGCGCTTGGTGAGATGGCAGTGACGAAATCATCATCCCAATTATCGCTATCTGCTACAAGGTTAGCCTAGCCCAAGGCATCGAACGCTGAGGGTTCGATATATACTGTATAGCTTATTGGGAAAATGTTATGCCCGTCGGGATTGTAAGAATAACAAAACGTACCTGCCTGCTCCGCAGTTTTAAAAGCCTCAACCCCAAGCCTGGGTTTAGCAAGTCCCATTGAGCCTTTGCCAGGGGTCCCACCGATGAACCGGGACGATATCCCAGTGGTATCGGACCCTGTAGACGACCGGAGTGCAGGTTCGGAGGAATTCAGGGCCTTGTTCCACTGCTTTACTTCTTCGACAGCCTGGTTGAAGTTGTCTGGCGCTTTGGATACTGGTGCTTCAGCACGGCGGCAGCCAACAATCCATGCATGCCTCAGCAGCTTGCGAGCTGACACACGCAGGTTTGGGTCTTTTTGGAAACATTGCATGAGAAAATCTCTCGCAGCCTGAGCCGTGTGAGTAAAAAAAAAAAAAAGGCCGGGGACGGGTGGGGGCCAGGTGGGATACATACAGGAGAGATGCCCTCGGGCAGGGGAGGATGGTCGTCGTTGACGATTGCGAAGAGCGCTGGCATGGCTGCCAGATTGTGATAGGGTGGTTTCCCCTGCAACAGCTCGATGACGGTACATCCAACGCTCCAAATGTCAGAGGCGGAACTGGCGCCAGAGAGTTGAATAATTTCTGGCGCCATCCAGTATGGCGTGCCAACAACCTGAGCCTCCTTATCCTGGCCTCCTGCTAGTGTGCTGGTAGAAACGCCAAAATCCGCCAATTTGACGGTGCCATCCTTGGTGGTGAGAATGTTGGCACCTTTGATATCTCGATGGATGACACCCTGATCGTGGAGGTATTGAAGACCTAGAAGAACCTGGGTCATGTAGACGCCGACAAGATTTTCGGGAAATTTGCCATAGGCTTTGAGTATCGAGTGTAATGAGCCATTTTCGCAGTATCTAGCTAACTGTAAGCTTCACGCATCGTCGTCGTGAACCACCTCCAAGAACAGAAAACCGTACTCTAATATGATGTTGAGGCAATCGGTTGCCTTTACGAAGCCGATATATTTAACAATATTGTCATGCTACCCACATGTTAGACAGGTTCGGCCATGGCAAAGATTGGGTTTGGTGGTGCTTACAAGAAGATTCTTGAGCAAGTCGATTTCGCTCTAATTCCCCCGTGATGTGAGTATGTATCTCTGTCTCGTTGCCAACGTAGCGGCACAGAAGGCTGAACGCACCTCAATCATCCGCAACTCGCTCTTTGGCAAATCCACGAGCTTAATCTGCTTGACGGCAACAGCTTCGCCAGTACTCCAGTTGAAGGCCTTGTAAACGGAGCCAAACGCGCCTTTACCAATACATTCACCTAACGTCTATGAAATGGTCAGCCCCGAGCTTGAACTGAAAAGCCTTGCCAGAATCACGCCCTTGACAAGTTTTCTTTTTCAATAATAGTAAATAGAGGCAATGCCTACAACGGGTTAACGCACATAGTCTTTCAGTCCGGGATCCTGTACTGCCGAACTCTCTCGCTGCCGTTCCTTTCGGGATGGGGTGCCAGGCACGCCGGATCTTTCTCTGGTGGCCACAATGGCAGCGTGACCAGCATGGCGGCCATTGCCATTGTTGGCGTGGTACTGCCGCTCGGGCGGCATAACTCTGAGTGGTGGTTATCTCACCGCCCCAGTGTGTGTGCCGCCGGCGTCAATCTATGGTGTCTTGCACAATATCTGTTGTGGCCAGGCTGAGGTAAAGGCGACGTCGGGATATTGAGACGGTCGTGCTTTGGAGAGAGCGCGGTTGTCGCATGCTAGATCATGGAAGAAACAGGTCGGATTGGCATTTGGAGCGGTACCGGGGCGAGGCTATATGATCATCTATCTTCCTTTCACTTTGGCCGTGAACCGGCGGCGATGGGTCGTTTGCTGCGCGTATCGACTCGGTGTGAAGCGAGGAAGGGAATAGCTGCTGGATGTCGGGCAGCAGCAGCAACACGGAATGAGTAGACGGCGAAGTGTGTTTCTTTTCTTTTCTTTATATCGTTACAGATGCGCCTTGGTAGTGATTGACTCGCAGAACAAAGCCGACGAGGCGGTCAAGAAGATGTCGTCGAAAGGTGCGGTTCGGGATGGCAGACTGAAGGCTGACGAGCGAGGGGGGGGAGGGCTGGTTCGGACCGGACTGTTGTTGTTTGTTAGTGAAACTGTCGAGGGCTGAAGTAGCTCTGGACGGAGGGGTCAAGGGTGAGAGCACTCGAGAGCTGGGCGGACGAGTGGGACGGGATGACAGCACGAGGCACCCTGGCACCGCACGCACGGCGGTCTAGCTAGTATTTGCATGTACATGTCAACTGGCAACTGGAATGAAGCAAGGCTGGTCTTACAGGCAAAGCGTCTGGCGCACGTAGAAAAAAAAAGAGACAATTCGGCCTTGGGGATTCAATGTGGATGGGGTCGGAGAATGGATGGATGGATCATCAATTGATGGAGGGAGGGGAGCGGACTGGAGGGTCAAGTGGTGACCGGTCTGGTGCCTGACGCCCTGATGTCCCGACTTACTGCCTAGTGCTGGGTCCACCGCTGGTGTGGTGCTTCCGGATGCCAGTGCACAGCGCCCGAAGGCTCACGGGCCGGTTTCCAGCTCCAGTCTGCTTGCGTCTGGTTGACAATGCGGGCGAGGTCCAGTGGCTCCAGTGGCTCCAGTGGCGTCTCGTGCCCACCACGATGCAATTTAATTGATCTGGGGCTTCCATGTCCCATGTCAACATTCCATGTTGCATGGTCCAATTGCCTGTTGCCCAGCAAGACAAGATTGGCTCATCAGCTTTTCCTCTTCCTTGCAGCCCAAGCCTCCAAGCCTTCAGCCATTGCCGGATCAAGCACCATGTCATGCGAGAGACTACGTACGTATGTACTAGTTGCAACGGCCAAAACGAATTGACGGCAACGGTGTGGGCGCGCATGCAAGGCATGCAAGACCATGCAATGGCCAAGTGGTGCTGGTATTTGATCAATCATGATTAGTCGGTACCTTGCAGCCAGACACATCAACGCCCCCCACCCGATATCCATCCGTCAACTTGGAGAAAAGCAACCTCGTTTGCCGACTGCCGCACCATGTCTCCTTCGAGGCCAGCCCTGTTTCGGTTTGTCCTGGGCGTCGTCGGGCGTGCTTTTGCAGATGCCATATTCCATCCATCTTTACTACAGAGTACTCCGTCCTCGGTCCATCCTCTAGTCAGGTTCCACACACGCATTATTCAGGATATGTTTGTTTATAGGACCAAGTTAGTCAAGAAATGAGTTGGGCTAACATGAACACTCTAAGCAGGCTTCCACTCGTAGTCATGTGCGCCTTTTGCTACCGGCCCAGGGTCTTCGCCTGGCACACCAGCCTTGTCATATGAGTGAGCCCCGAAATAATCCATCTGAGCTTCCACAAATCTCGTCGGCAGCATCGTCCCGCCGCTGCACTTCATATACTCGAGCGTTGCGGAGAGGGCAGGTATGTAGTCGTCGTACGCAAGCCCCCGAGAGACGATATCCTTGAGTACGCCATAGTTGCGCTGCAGTTCCCGCCCGACGCGGCTGTCGAGTTTGGCATTTGTAGGCGTCTTGTTCATGTTGAGGAACGGCTCCAGTATGTCGGCGATGAACTCTGACTGTATAATGCACCCCGCGCGCCAGATTCGAATGCATCCGGACAGACGGATATTCCAGCCTTCATCAATCGATTCCCGCGCAATCAGCTCCAGCCCCTGGCAGTACGACGCCAAAAGGCGCAATATACGACCCTGCGAAGGTCTTGGACCATCTTGTCCTTGTCCATCATGTCTTGAAAGGACCTTGGCGGGGGCATGGCAACGCTCTGGGCGACCTTGAGCCGTTCCTGGCGATTCCCTAAAGCAGTGCGGAAAAAAAGTCCCGCGGCGAGTGTCGGGCACGATATGTGCCTCGAGGCGGATTCTGCGATTGACCATGATGGCGTTCCCTCTGAAGCATCGCCGTCTTGCACGACCTTGTCGAGCACGTCGTCGAGGACGTAGCCGCCGTCACGTTTTCTTGCCTTGCAAACATCTGCGGCAATCTCGACAAGAAAAGTGCCATGCAGTTCCCCTTCATTGTTCCACTGCTGGAATGCTTGTCCAATCTGATGGTAGTCGGGCCCCATGCCGGTGTTGAGGAAACCCCAGGCCTCGCAGAGGGCAGAAAGCATGCCGACCTCGATGCCGTGGTGCACCATCTTTACAAATGACCAGAGCCGCCCGGTCCAATGCTCGATACGCACGACACGCCTGATTTGGGGTCTTTGGCCGCATAAAGTTCCAGCAGCGGCATGACTTCTTCCAACGCAGCATTATCTCCTCCTGGCGAGAGGCTTGGTCCGTGGCGCGCCGACTGATAGCCGCCCGAAACTCCCATCCCGATCCAGTCCACGCCAATGTCTCTGCATTCCTTTTGCCTCCTCTTTGTATTTAGATAGTGCTCATTGCCGCCGTCCATAATGATGTCACCCTCGTTCGGCTCAGGCCTGAGCTTGCTCAAGACCCCATTAATGTTGGCACTCTTGACATCCCAAATCGAGACGTCAAGGCCAAGTTCGGAAAAGGCGAAACCCATCATGGACCCCATGTTCCCTGCGCCAACAATGCCGATTCTCTTGAATTTCATGGCTACATCTGATTGAGCGTCCATGGCCACTGTTGGTTTGTTGTTGGATATGGGAAAGTGACGATAGCTAAATTTCAGTCATGGGAAATGACACTCAACACGCGTGGATCTGCACGTTTATGTATACAAACAAGTTGGAGTTTCCCAACAGCCGACAAATTCATACGCTGCGTGTTGTCAATTCGGAAGCTTAGGCAGTCATTGCCGTGTATCGCCAGATTCCATGACACGATTGTCGCGTACGGGACCGCATGCATCACCATGATGTTGTGGTGTCGTAAGGGCTAGCCGTATGTTGTTACCTTTTTTTTCCCCGTCCCATTATAAAATAATGCTAGAGACGAGTTGAATCCAGTATAGACTCTTTCAGGGAAAACATGCTAATTTGTCGTCATGGGTATCGAGTATCAAGGCTGTATCATTCCCATTTCTTTGCTTCGTGCAGTATCCCGCCATACTTCAATGCGACACTGCCCCAAAAGCTGGAAGCAATTCGCAGCGCTGGATGCGACGGGATAGAGATATCTATGCTGGATATACTGACGTACGGTGGCGACAGCGAAGGAAGGACCATTGACGAGAACGACCATGGACCAGTTTGATAAGAAGACGACTGACTTCTTTACTTGCAGGTAGGCTCAATCGACGCAGAAGATGCGTCGCCATGTCTGGACCAGCACGCCGAGGACTTGCGCTAGCCGGCCGGCATGCTGGTGGAAAAGGGGTTTCGCCTCGCCTACGAAAACTGGTGCTGGGCCACGTAAGCCGCGGGATGGAAAGACGTGTGGGAGATATCCCAGAGAGCTGGCCGCCCGAATATCGGCATTTGCCTGGATACCTTTCAATCTGCGGGCGGAGAGTACGGAGACATGCCGTCCCCAGCGACAAGATCTGCTTCGGATCTCAGATGCGTATAGGATGGAGCCACCACTTCGCGAAACGTCAGCGCGGCCGAGGTCGGAATGGAGTCGTAGTTTTCGGCCGCTGCCCTCATGTCGATGGAGGACTACACCAAGGCTGCTATGGAGTCGTTGACTCGCCTGCCGGCTTCTACCGTCAAGTGAGTGAACATGTTATTTAGAGGATATAGAGAACCCTGAAATCTAAAGTTTTCTGTGACGGAGCGGATTTGAAAAATGAAGACGAGTTTTGTGCTGACAAGGATCGGATACCACCTACACTGTATGTTTACGTCAAGACACGAGTTGAAACTGCCAAATATTCCTAGGTCCTATTAGTTTGTATCTTCTCGCACAAGATGCCCTGAGCCTCCCTCATCGCCGCCTTGTGAAACAATGAGCCAGGAACTGTGTAAAATCGTAGGCGCGTCACCGAGAATCAACGTCTCGCCATCGCTCTCGTCCGTACTCGTAGTGTTGCGACGCCGCATATATATCAGATATACATATTGGAAATTGCCAGGTGTCAGCCGCTTCTGACAAGCAAAGTAAGCTACTAGTCTAGTAGTCGTATCAGACGAAACGGCCAGGCCAGCCATCAGTGTGCATAAATCCACGTTCCGCAGCCGTCTCGTGAACTGGCCACAGACACGCGCAAACGGTCCATGCCCGCCGCCCAACCGCATACATACAACGCCAGGCCAGCTCGTCGCCTTCGCACGAGCCACACGATTACCCAGACATTCCCACGCGGAGCGCAAACTCGTCAACTTGATCCGGGCTCGGAGAGCGGCCTCCCTCCCCCCGCACCATCACGACCGCAGCTCTCCTCAACATGCCCCCGACACAAGCTCTGAACACGCCGCACACAAGTTACACACCCGCCGCCGCCGGCCTTGGCACGCTCATCATGTGCGTGGACGCCGCTGCAGGCAGCGATGCGGCAGGGTCAGTCGTGCGACCCGTCGGCCGTTTCGCCCCTGAACTCCCGTGTAACTATCGCGGCTGCATGAAAATGGCAACCCGCACGCCCTCCCCGAGTCGAATAGCAAAGCGCGTAGCGCGCTTGGAACAGTCTCTGCGCCGTCGAATCGCCAACGACGAAGGGATGTGTCATTTCCAGCGGCCGCCATGGCCATGGAAGGCCCAGCAGTCCGCGCGGACGGACGGGGCGAGGGCATCGCGAGGGCAGACAGCGCCAGAACAGGTGCCGCGGCGCATAAGGATGAGGAACCTCGGGGCGTCGGCGAGCCAGGGCTTCCATTTCGGCATCGTGAGCGTCCAATCGTCGGGCTTCACGAATCCACGATATCATGCCGACGTGGCATGCCAATAAACCTGCGAGCCTCGAGGCTTCGGCCAACGCTGGAAGCATGGAACTCTGAACACGGTATTTGGCCTCGTCTTGAACAGCATGGCATTTGGTATCAAAGCTTCTTGCTTGGAGAAGGAGAAACGACTATAAAGATGGTTGGAGGCCTTGGTTTTTTGGAGGAATCTTGGATTCAACCCAGTCGCCTATTCCTTCTACTATACACTTGTCCCCTGAAGGGCAAAAAGTCTTTTATCATTATTGTTTGAAAAACGCCTTATCTTTTGAATATTATATACGCAATGTCAGAGTCAACGCTAGCCTTCGGCATCGAGGTCGAACTTCTGTTCAAGCCCAACGGGGCGCTCATCCGGGAGCACATGAGCGGGTGGACGGCCGGGCTCGATCACAGCCAGAAGACAAATCCGGCTAGGGTCAACCGAAATGTTCTTCGGCTAGCCATCGCCAGGGAACTGACCGGTGCTGGTGTCGAAGCCGGGGTGTCGACGCAAGGCTACGACATGCGGTCCGTCATGGACGAGCCCACGCTAGATGAGAGGCCGGATTTCTGTAAGTACGCCCTGCAGAAAGATACACGCCACTTTCGGAAGCATACAGAATATTGCATGATGTCGTAGTCGTGCGGTATACTATATGTGAGTATGTTCCGGGATATTGGACTATACCGCAGTCTACTCTACAGTGTGTGGTATACCATACCATATCAGAGTATATTGTGTGTTACACCGTATTCGGGGTATATTTTAGTATACTTGATGATACATGATTTCTTGGAATATCTCATCTCCTGCTTTGTTTCATGTTTATCCGGCTGTCGAACTGTTACTAAGACCACAACCTAGAGAGGCTTGAGCTCGTGTCCAGATGCATGACAACCAACACCGACTGGCAAGGAGAAATTACGAAAGTGTTTCACACCCTTCAGAGGATCGGAGAGACGCAGCTGACGACAGGCTGCTCGATGCACGTGCACGTCTCCCCTTCTCGGGAAGGCAACGGGTACAAACCCGAACAGCTACACAGCATCATGAAGGCCGTCGCGTACTTTGACCGCGCCGTCACGGCCGCCGTCCCCCCCGACCGGAAAGATAACGAATGGGCGGTGTCAAATTTCCAGAAAGGAAGCTGCGCTCCTCGGTATGCGGAGCTGTACAGCAACATGTCCTCAGTTACATGGGGACCCCTCTTCAAGGAGTTCGACCGGATCAGGCTCCCCGCGCTGATCCCATGAACGTCTTCCAGAACAAGTATGTGTCCTGGAACTTTAAGCATTTGGGTTCGGAGTGCGGAACGGTCGAGTTTCGACGCCCACCGGGTGTTAAAGATGCAAGAAGTGCCCTGTACTGGGTCGCTTTCACGCTTGGATTCTTGGAGGGAGCCATGGGTCAAGACTGGAGCAATGTGAAGGAGGAGAAGACACATGGGACATTCCTCGATCCTCGAATTATAATACATGGTGGCCTGAAGAGGCTGGGACCTACTTGTGCAGGGATCATTGATAATATGGATGATATTCGGGAAGAAAAATCTCAACCCACGCCGGCCACACGGCAAGAGAAAGAAGTCATTGCGGCGAAGAAGAGAGAAAAAACTTGACAAAGAAAGCAATTTTGCGGTCAAAGTAAGTCAGAAACCAAGACATTTCAGACCAACTGCTCTTTGGCCGCCTACTAAATTTCTTGCAGGTTAATTCTCGACCAAGCACTCCAGCATCCGCCAGTGCTTCATCTTGAAGAAATTCTGGTTCAACATAGGCCACGCTACTGTCGAGTCATAAAGGGATAAATTTGAGGGTTATCGTCAGGGGCCTCTGACCGGGTATAAAAGGGCCGGGATCAAATTTGCGGCATTTTTCATCATTCAATCCAGACCATTCATCATCAACAACATCAATAAAGCTAGCAATTGAGGCCCTAAAAAGCCTCCCAAAATACCGTTATTTTCCACTGTGTAAATTGCTGTTGTAAACTCAACAGCTACATACTAGCTTGGCTAGCCATGGGCCGCCCTTCTCTTTTGTTTCATCATTTACCGCCAACAAGAAAGAGATCCGCTTCACATTTATTTAGACGCCGAGGCCCAAAGGTCACCCAACTGGCCGAAGTGGAGGGGAGCGACTATGGACGAGTACGACGTTATCGTAGAAGAGGAGACCTCCGACATAGTGGACAGTTAGAATATGAAGCGGATTTCCTTCTTGTTGGCGGTAATAAATATATTGTGGTAACCTCATTGAATCTGCATCAACGCAGAGCCTCAGGTTGGCGATGCCGGCCAAAGTTCCATTTACGGCATCACTCTGTTCTTCCTGATGCTTTCTTTGAATCGTCCAATAGAGCTATAAGTATATGGGAGGACCTTTGTGCGATGGTGAGATCATACCCTTCCAGTCTGGCTCACCTCTCATGAAACGTAGGGACTTTTCCACAACAAAGTCAGGCAGTAAGAACTCCTCGCAGCGAAAGGCTGAGTCAAAATCAACAACGTTTTCCGGTTCCGTATAAGAGGCAAGATAGCTGAATGCGAATAATACCAGCAAGGTCGTCTGGCCAAGGAGTTGGCGCATGGGCTCCCGCAGACTTTGAGTTAGAAAAGTCTGGGGGAGCTCCCATATGACTCGGAAATCAGCTAATTCAGACTTGTGGTGCCCTGCGTGATACTGGACCATATCGTAAAGCTGGCCCATTTGGACCTCTCCCGGCGTCACAGCCGGGATGAATGCTTCCCCAATACGCTCGTTGGGTAGTTGAAGTTCCTGGGTCAGTTCTTGCGTCAAGTAGCCAATACCTGGGGGCGCTGGTTGCGATACCACCATGCGTCTCCAGCTAGCTCCCCTGGTTGTGAAGCGAGCTCTACGTGTTTCTCCCAGTTGAGAAGATGCCTCGTCCAGCTGTTTGGGTGGTCCCACCTGCAGCAATGGAGTACTGTTGCGACGATTCCATGTAATCAATTCGCGACGATTTGGACTCCATGGCAACATGTAAAAGCAGTCAGCCCCTCTATGGTAGCCAAATGCAGGGCCAGTGTCGAAGAAGCAGAAGCCAAACTTCTTGACAAGAAGAGGATTGAGGACCAACTTGGTGAGCGCGGGCCCGAGATACTCATAGTCCGAGCCCGCCATTTCGACCTCTCCCATGAGCTGTTCACGAAATACAGGTAGCTGTTCAGCAGTGATGGACCGAAAGAACAGCTTTCGTTGCAAGGCGGGCGAGCAAGCAATGGTCTTGTTCCATGCTTTGCTAACTCGCTGGACGGAGACGAGCAGTGTCGTCATGTCGAGGTGGAGGAGGATGTTCTCCAAAAGCTCTGGGAGGGAAAGCACCCGCTCCATGGTTCACGGCAAGGCACGCGCGGATGCAAGAGAAGTGAGAATCGATAGAGGCAAGTTGGGGAGAGAAAGGCAGAACGCGAGATGAAGCGGAAGGCCTTGATCCCAACAGACTTGACGTTTGATGATGCTCAAGGTTGCGCCCGGGGGGGACCCACACGCCAGTGCACGTACCAAAGGAACATTGAACGCACTTGCCTTTTCAATATCAAATTATACATGCACCGACTGGCTTGGCACAATGTTGACGTGTCCCGGTAGATACATATGCACCTAGTAGGTAAGTGGAATGCCATTGATGAACCGCAAAAGAAGATTGAAAAAACAAAGAGACCTTGGACCCTAATACAGCACTCCCTCGGCGCAATGTCCACACCACCCGCAATCCTTATCACACAGAGAATGATCATCACCAACATCAGAATACCACTGTCCGGAACCAGAATACACCCCATAGCTCCGATGAGAAGCGTTTCCATTCCCCTTCCCCTTCCCCGTCCCCTTCTTCTTCTTCTCCTTGGCCTGCCCCTCCTTCACAAACGTCACGGGCCGGCATCTCAGCCGCTCATCCGGCTCCAACATCGGCGCGAGACTCTTCACCAACGGCTTGTATTCCCAATTAGCCCAATCCCCAAATTCCCCGGTCTCTAGCACGGCGAAACATGTACTAAACAACACTCACATCGTGACTTGCCGTTGGGCCGCAGAGCTCCCCGTGGCCCCAGGCCTCGAGCCCGTTTGCGCCAGCAACCATCCCGCCGCAGGGGCACCCAGCACCCGCACTCCGCGGAGTGCTCGAGTCGGAATATCCAGTCGAGCCAAGGGGCTGCGTGCTCGAGTGCGGCTTGGCGTCGCCGGCCACGCCCGGCACCTTGTGGTTTGGAGAATCGCGAACGTGCTGCTCCAGCGCGTGGGCGTCTCGAAAAATTCTCCCGCAGCACAGGAAGTGTTTCATCTGCTCTGACATTATCTCTCTCTCTTTCGCTCTCCCATCCAGGATCCTGTTTCAATACCTCAGGAAATACAAAGCTCTTGGTTATTTTCCAGGTAGTTGATGATGGGGGCTGCCGTAAGTGCAGGCGCAGTCTCCATGAATGGCGTCTTTTTATTTGAATTTTGAATTATTTTTATTTACTTTTTCGCAGGGGGAAAAAGGAAAAGAAACGTGTCTCTCCAGCTACAAAGGCGTTTTCATACCTGTCATCAAGTTAGGCATCAAAACTGCGGAGGGGGTGTGATTGAACCCAAGGCTGGATGGTTACACGCGGTTCTTACTTGCGGTGCCGGACGCACTGCGCGGCCTGCTGTGCTGATACCAGGAACGCCAGACGTCGCTGAGCTCCAAGTGCAAGGGAAACAGTCTCCAGGTATATACTTCATAGTTACAGTCTGCTTGGACGGGAGGACGTCTGGAAATTCGCGGAAGAGCCAGCCGCCCGAGTTCGCTGTTGACATCGACTCCCCTACTGACGCCTCCGCCGTTCTGGTCATCTCTGGTCATAGGGCCGGAACATCAACTGGTGCTGCTTTATCTTCTGTGCAACGTCACTTGGACAAAGGAGGCCAATGGGCCAATGGCATCACGACAAACAATGACACAGACCGGAGCTCCGCATCCAATTCGTCTTGTTCCGTACACCCGTCATCCCGTCTATGCTGATGGATATAACCAAGGCACCTTCAAGAGACTGCGGTCCAACTTCCATGCCAAGTTCTGCCGGTATATTCACTCCCATTTCCGCTTTCGCCAGCTATTCCGACCATTCAATGCCCCCTTTTTCTATCCCGCCACTATTCTCGTGCGCTGACGGCATATATATAATACAATCATAACCTCATTCAAGACTTCCGCAATATCAAAATATCTACCACCGATTCATTGGTCTGCATATAAACCCCTTTTTGTCTGGTGTTCATCATCAAATTGAAGCCCATGCATTACGCCTGTAACAAAAACAGATAGATGCTTTAGATGCCCTGACGCATAGTACCGTTGCTCGTCGTACTAGATTCCTCCTGTCTGAGTGTGCGGCTGAGACCAGCATCAGCCCACCACTCATCGGGGATGTCTTCTCTCCGGGCAAGGCTTCGCACAATGCGTTGCATGCCCGCCCAGTCGTCTTCCGAGGCCATTGCATTGGATTGTGTAGGGAACGTAGCGTCTTCTGGGTTCTGACTGGGCCCGTCAGCGTCGCCGTCTTCTTGACCTAAAGCCCCGACTGAGAGCTGGCCGACCCAGACGCCTGGCGAGTTGTTAGTGGAGGGTCGAGACAGGCGAGTCGGCTCGATTGCTTGACCCAGTCGCCCGGAAGACTCGTATATGGTAAGGGGCCCGTTTGCCGTGTTAATTTGTCTAGTTGTGCGGCTGCCAGGTGTGGGATGCCCCGTGGTTTCCATCCTAGGGTCTCCCGAGGTCAAGGCAAGTCGGTTTGCCCGCACTAATTCTAAGTTCCTTCTGTCTTGTCGAGTTCGCCGGATACGCGCGAAATCAGGATGCTCATAATCCGCATCATCCATGTCCAAGTCTGAGTTTTCGCATCCCGATTCGCAGGGGGCATCCAGAAGTGCTTCCTCCATAATGTCCGGAGCCGAGGTAGGTGTACCTGATGACGGTCCGGCGGTTTGGGAAGCTGCTACGGATGCAAAGGACGAGCCTGCGCTTGGTGGTTGTGGATCTGGTGTCAGCGTGGACAAAAGTGTATCCCATCCTTCCGGGCTCAGGCTTCTCTCTCGGTCACCAAGGCCATCCATACCCAAGGCACCGCGTCGACTAGGCATCATCTGACGGGCATTCAGGCTGCGAAGTAAATAAGGGTCAAGTGGCGACAAATCGCCGCTGCGAGTAGCGGTTATATCCTGCTGTTGGCGAGGATGTGCTCTGCGGGGCGGAAGAAGCAGAGGGCCGTCTGCAATCCGGTTCGTCTGGGATTGAGGGGCGTGCTGCGGGCGCATCAGTGAATAATTCACTTGCCAACATAAGTAGACTACCTAAGTAGGTACATACTTATGTAGCTGTAAAGGAAACGACCTACCACTCTTGACCGTCTCACATGGGCCAAACGAGAGCCATCTCCGGCTGACCACCACCCGAGATCAACCCCTTCAGACATATTTTCGTGTTCCGGAGGCGCTGACCCTGAAGTAGAGTTGAATAGCGCACTCATGCGCTCTTCGAGGCGCTCCCTGCGACGTTCATCACTCCCACTCATCTCTCGAAGCACCTCACGAAAGATACCTGATCGACGGTCTGCTGCAGCGGCGTCGGTTGGATCTTGGGTTCTGGATGACGACGATTCAACCCATGGAAGCAATCGTTCACGCGCATTGCGCGGCACGTTTCGCTGCGCCGAATTGTAAATTCGCACACCCGCACGTCTTATGCCGCTGCGACGATCGCGGATCTCTGATCGGCTTGGGCGTCGCGAGGAGGAGCGCGGAGGAGAGGTGGCTCCCGTCTTAATGGAAGTCTTGTTGGGCAAGTCTGATTCGACTGGTTCCACAAACAGGCTATTGAGGTCCAGGCATCAGTTACGGCTCTGAATGGTACAGGGAACTAGACAGTGTTGAATGGGAAGAGCAACAGGAGGCTGGAGCAAGGAACAATGCAATTCCGCGGTTAACGGTACATCTAACACGCGTTGGGCACAATGCGTTACAAAGTGTTGTACGCGCATGGGAGACATTCGCCCGGAAGACCGCAAGAGAGGGTAAAGGCAAGGACGGGATGAATACATGATACGTGAGATGGAAGGACAATGACAGATGCACGAGCGCCCAGGTCACAAGCTCATCTCTACGACCGGACACTACTTGACTGGCGAGTCTTGCTGAAGGAAATACTTACGGTAAACCCATAATGCCGTCTGGTCAGTTTCAACGTGTTTCCGGCCGTGTAGAGGAGGAGGTTTGTCGTGTTTCGCAATGCGCGCCTGCGAGAAATGGAGCAACGAGCGGGAGAAGCTGCAGGCTGGTACGCGATCGAATGATGCTGTCACCGTGAAGCGAATGCAGCGAATGTGCAGCGTCCTGAAATTGGAGGAAATCTGAAAAGCAAAAAAATGCAGAAATAACAATCCTGAATGATATCTGCGGCTCGCAGAATAACAGGGGACTTCACTCGCGATGAATGGGCGCGTGCGCGTGATGGCAAAAGACGGGAAGGAGTTTTGATGGAGATGGTGATGGAGATGGTTGCTCAAGAGGGAAACGCTCCGAGAAGTCGAAGGTGGACGGGACAGGGGATGTGGACATCTGCCCTGTTTGTCCTTGACTTTTTTTTGTACGGAGTAGCGGCAGCGCCGTTGCAATTGCGACGGGGCTTGTGACTTTGCCTGAAGCATCATGATAATTTTTTCCACGCATGTATTGTCAACATGTTTATTAACATTCAGACTCTGAGGATAGTCTGAAACCCGTTAGTACACAAGTCACCATCGAGTATGCTGAAACAGGCCACATATGGGTCCTGCGAGACCCCTGCAAGTAAGTGTGGCTCATGCGTGTGCTCCTGTGGCTGGTGCCCATCCAACGTCAACCGATTTTTGGAAAGCTCCAGGCCCAACTTGCTCATCGCTCAACGACTTCCACAGCCATCCTGTCCTCAGCAACCAGAGAGGTTCCCTTCAGACGCTGGCCTTGATGAGGTGCTTACTTCGTCTCTCATAGCCTGTCGGCATAGCCCGCGTCAATTGTGAGGGCTGCTGCTCTCACCCACCAGCGCTCCTTGCCGCACCATGCCGGCAGCCAGAGACATTCAAAGAGCTCTAGCTCGCATCAGAGCCGTCATGCCCGCCCAAAAGCAATCGGCCATGGCAAATCGCAACATTAAGCTTGGGCTGGAACGCATCAGTCGCGTTGTCCCAGAGGAGCAAAAATGGATTGGTGTCCACGTCGGCGGCACCAACGGCAAAGGATCAATATGTGCGTTGCTCGCCGGCATGTTCAAACTATCCGGCATTAGCCACGGCACGTACATCTCTCCGGCGCTACCAGAGCGTCACAACGCCATCACAATCAACGGCTTGTACATAAACAAGCGCATGTACGACATGGAGCTTCAACATGTCGAGGAGGCGTACAAACGAGTTTCTTCTGGGTGGACGTTTGCCGCTGGAGAGGACCCGGGTGATTTGACGCCATTTGAACTCGAAACCGCCGCGGCATTTCGTGTCTTCAACAAGATGAACGTGCAGTATGGCATAGTCGAGGTTGGTATGGGCGGGGCCACGGATGCCACAAATGCCATGAAGGACAAGGCAGTCACCGTCATATCCAAGATTGACCTCGACCACCAAGAGTACCTAGGCAATACCATTGAGGAGATTGCAAAAGTCAAGGCTGGCATCATGCGTCCCGGAGTACCATGTATTGTGGACCACACCAATCCCTCCTCTGTCATGGATGTTCTCCGAGACCACGCGCGAACTGTGGGAACACAAGTCAGCTTATCATCCAAGGCACTGCCTTTCATAGAATCCCTCGACAGAGACAGATTCAAACTACAGGACTATGAGCAACAGAACCTGCTCTGCGCGACGCTAGCTTTTCGAAACCTGTTTCCTCATCTTCACATCGACCCCAACAAATTATTAGCACTAAAACCTCAGTTGCCGGGACGAATGGAGCAAGTCTCCGTAGCGGGACTTACAGATGGCACACGTCAAAAGTCAGTACTAGTAGACGGAGCTCACAACATGTTGGGAGTGGAGGCCCTGGCCAAGTATGTAGATGGATCTCTCCGGAAGACCAGTGAGCCAGTGACATGGGTCATTGGACTATCATCCAGCAAATCGAAGCCCTTTTCAAAAATCATTGAGACCTTGATTCGTCCAGAGGACAATCTGGCAATTGTCGAGTACGCCCAAGGTCCCAATGATCCCCCGCCTGCGCCTGCCGATCTTGGCCGCGGTGTGGCCACACAGATAATCCAGGACGAGTCTCGCATTTACGATGGTGAGCCCGATATTGGCAACGGAGTGCAGTGGGCGTGCAGCAAAGCGGACGACGGACCCGTCGTCGTAACGGGAAGCCTCTACATGATCCGGGAGTTCTACAAGATGGAAGGCGTAGAACCAAGCAGGAAGATCAAAACGAGGCGGCCAGGTCGGTCGCAACTCTGGCGTTACATCCAGTTGTCCAAAGAAAGACCACTGACATCTGAAGAGGCTAGGGAGTTCAAGCAAGCCAGAAGACACTGGTATCTCTCCCCCATGAACAGTTCCGTCTTCCGAGATGTTCGCAATGGTGGCAATCCCGTATCTCCCTCAACGCCAGAAAGCATTCAAAAGCACCAGCGAGATGCTGCGCATCACAAGAGCCAAGCCGACGGGTACCGCAGCGCCATTCGCAGCGCAAAGAAGGATATGGACAGCAACGAAGATGGCGACGGGGAGCTTTCCAAAGTCTTGGAGAGTCTTGAAAAGCGACGTGATGAACATTTGCTTGCATACAACAGCGCTATGTTCAAAGTGCGAGGACATGCCGTTGACTCGGAGAAGAAGTATATGAGTTTTGAAGATATTTTTAGACAGCCTGACAAGCGGAGGAGCAGAATCGCAGCACTGTTGCGGAAGAGAACATGACGCAAAATGAGCAAACTCAGTCATTAAAGCGGCAGGCGTCCAGGAGGCTGTGGGGGAAGGGCGGTTTGACAGCAGTCAGACGATGGCGGCGTGCGAGGGCAATATCTCGCAACAACGGTAGTATAGGAAAGCGCCCCAGGAAATAAGAGAGGATCAGGGCTCGCGGCGCATAACATGGTCAGAAGCAAGAGGAGACCAGACAGGGTGCAGGTACGCGGCGGGCTATTTTAAGAAGAGATGGCGGATGCTCAGCGAAGTGTACGATAGTAATACCCTGGATGGAGAGACGGAGCAAAAGTGATATTCTATAAGTCGTAGCTGGGTAGTTTGGACGATGCATACACCGGACGGGACAATCTCATTCATGATATTTGATAAAGACGCCGCGCAGCAAGTAAGCAGACACGTAAAACAGGACACGGAACGTCCTACACGTGGCAAAAACAGTTGAAAGCAGAAGACATCCAAGTAACACAGCAATCAAAACTACGCCTTACCCAGGTTTCCATGCGGTTTTACCGATGAAATGTCCACCGGTCGTACGCGTAAAGCAGCTCGGCCAAGTCACGCAACGACAGCGCCGACCGATGGCGAATGGGGCCAGAGTCGAGAGACACAAGACATAGCATGACGGCACATGATGCACATGCACGGTAGCCACAAATTTGCACAGCTATCATAACCGAGACCCCCATCCCATCACCCCATCTCCCGGCCATGCCATCACGTCGGGACCCCTACGCTGGCCCCATGTCCAAGACCAAAGGCCAAGACGAGGCTGGACGCCACCGATATTGCGTGCCATGAAGAAGCCAAGAAAAAGAACAGTCATGCAAATCGTATATAATCCTGCAACCATCATCACAACGCTTTCTCCCGCCCCCCTTTCTAAAAAGGCAAAAAGACAAAATAAAATAAACGCATCTTACAAACCATTGCTCTTACAACTAAACACACCACCGACCTCGCCTGCGTTAAACGAGTCTATGATGCCTTGGACGCTGGCATACGTCCCCGCCGTCAAGAAGAAGAAGCCCGTCAGGATGATGACGACATTGAGGCCCATGGAGAGCCAGTCGCCGATGGGGTTGCGCTTCCTCCCGATCGTCTTGTCGGCAGTGCGCATGCGGAAGTAGGCTACGCCCCAGAAGATGAAGCCGAACCAGCTGTCAAAAAGGGAGCTCATAACCGAGAGGACTAACAATGGAGGATCAGTATTGAAAATTTTCGATTCGTTTTTTAAAAAGCTTGAAACTTACGAGAGGAGAAAAAGGGAATGACTTGGGAAATGACAAAGGCGAAGATCCACGTCGTGAGGAGGATGCCCGCCCAGGAGCCCCATCCGACAACCGTGTGGTCGCTCAGGTGTTTTGAGTTTCTGAAGACGCGGAAGAAGACGAAGCGAGCCGTGACCGAAGCGTACAGGCATCCCAGAAAGATGATTGTCGGAATCATGAATGAGAAGGAGACCTTCTTGTACAGGTCGTCGAGGGATCCAAAGGCGGGCGCCTTGACGTACTGGTTGCCGCTGTAGGCGTAGATGACGGCGCCGACGACGCTGAAGACGATGATTTCGGCGATTGTGCATGCCCAGAGGGACTTGGGGAATTCACTACCAAACCGTTAGTTAAGTCGTCGTCCCTCTAGCGTTTCAATACGAGGGAGAAAAAAGAAATACTTACCGCGGGTCACGCATTTCAGCAATGAAGCTAGGCAGGGTAATCTGGCCGATGAAGGTATAACTAATATTCAGAAACGCAGCCATGCCTTGCACAAAGGTGGTACTCGCCACGGGCACGGCTGTGACAATCGGCTCACCCTTCTCTGGCGAGTAGCCGGCCGGCTTTCCCTGGACGCCTGCAAACGCAGTGGCCAAGACGACGCTGATCAAGGTGAAGAAGGCAGAGGCAGTGCCGAGCTTGGACATCATACTAAATGTCCTCGGTAGCGAGGCCAGCCAGCAAATAACGACGATGACGATGGAAAACTCGACGGTGCGGCACCCCCCGATGGCCGTCCTCTCCGTCATGGTGTTGAGGTACTCTGCGCCGACGAGGACATGCAGCGCCTGGATAAAGGTATTGTTGAGGACGAACATGACGGCCGTCCCCCACCACGCCCACTCCTTGCCCCAGAACAGCGTCTGGCCGAGATCACAGACGTCGCGGATTTCAGGGTGGCGCAGGCAAAACTCCCACAGCACAAGACTCGTGTACAGGACGATGGCGGCGACAACAACCGTCAAGATCAGCCCCGGCACGAGGCCGAGGTAGCTGTAGGACCAGGGGAAACTCATGATGGCCAGACAGATGTACTCGCTGAAGAGCAGGGCGGCCGTCTTCTGCCACGAGCAGGTGCGGTACTGGATGGCGGCGCCGTCCTCGGACGCAAGCTGGCGGTTGAGGATGGCCTCGCTGGACTCGCCCTCGCCCTCGGATACCTCTTCCTTCAGGTACTCGGGGATGTCGCAGATGCGAGGCCCGATGGTGACGCCCGACCCGCCGAAGATGGAGGCCAGCTTGGCGGAGCGACCCTTGCCGAACTCGAGGTCGCGCGGGCCCGAGACGGGCACGGAGAGAGATCCGGAGAGGGATCCGGAGAGGGATCCGGAGCGAGAACCCGGTCGGAGCTTATTCGCCATGGTCAACGGCGACTTGTAGTACCAGGTCAGGGTATGACGGTGTTTTGAGCCAAATTTAGTCCTTCTCGTGGAAGCGATGGCCACTTATGGCGACGACGATGTCATTCGGGTGGGTGGTGATGATGATACACGCTAGTATTGAGGTTGGAAGAGATACTGAAGAGCAACTCGGTCCGCCAACGATGTGTAAAAATGAAGACAGAAAAGAAAAGAAAGTCGGCGCTCTGTTGGATGACAAGTCGACAAGATGAATTGCGACATGGGCGCAAGGATGCCTTTCAAACTCTTCGCGCGCGCTGATGGGCGAACAGGCAACCGGATTCGGACACGGGGACGACCACGCTTGCACGCCACGACGAGCCAATTGATATCGGGGAATCTGGGACCCCCCTCGGCCGCAATTGTGTTAGTTGCTGGCTCCAGGTAGTTGGGACCAGATGCTCCTTGGCTCCTCACTCGCTGCCCCCGAGTAACACTCCGTGCTACCATGTCTGGTAGTATTATCATGGCCAGGTCGTCGCTGCCGCCCCCACACACGCAACATTGAACCCACAGGTTTGTCCACATAGCGCATGTGGTTGAGGCGACGGCGCGGGAGTAGCGGGCGCCCTGGACCGCAGCATCAAATGGCATGCGACCTGCTCATGGTGCGCCAGGAGACCGGCCAGGGAAGTCATGTCGAGAACAGAGCGGCCACCACGCCCGAGATTGGGGGTGGGCGCGATGACGTTGGGCCCGGCGCCACACAGATTTACTCTTGCCATTGTGGAGTCCGACGATGATGATGTGCTGCGCCGGACCAGAGGTTGGTCGAGGATGGGCTTCGGCGGGTTTGGTTCTGAGTCTCTTTTTTTTTTCCTTGGTGAAGAGCTTGATGGATGCTTGAACTGCGCCTGGGCACGTCGGCGCCAGCTTGGGAACTGCAGAGTTCAATGTTGTTGCGACCAGGCAGCAGAATAACCACACCACACAGGACCATCTGTTTGAGACATCAGTTGATCGTTGCCAAGCGCCATCTCAGATCCGTGGCTTGGCTTCGGGGGCGCCGTACTGGCTGCCACATGCCCGGCCACACACATCCGACCGTCGCCTCTCCCAACGTGCAGTTTTGTCATGTTCATGATGGCAAAGTGGTTTAATCGGGGCAAGCGGCCTGGCCCCATTCTGCCCTCATGACGTGCTACATACCAGTCATGGCGTAGCACAATATTGTACGTACTACATTTGATAACAAAAAACAAAGGGCGACGACCCAGCCGTTTCGGGCTATCGCTTCTAGCTGGCATGCCCCGACATAAAAGACGAATCGAAGGCGCCATTGCAGTGTGCATCACGCAATTCCTGGTGCTGTAGATGAATAATCCCGAGCATGCCAACTGAGCTGACGGTGCGATCCTCCGCTCGTGGATCCATCCGCCTGCTGAAACAATGCGAGACCCGTTAAGCTTATTTGTCCCTCGAATTGGAAATACGACATTGTGCCATGTGGTGAACAATTGTATGTTCTAGAGCTCGATGCAACACAAACGTGGACCCTTGGTCATGGAAAACATGCGTCTTGTACATCAGGATACGTTGAAGCCACGACAAATGTTTGCCATGTGTGGTGCACTGGTGATCCTGATCCTGGCCGAGAAAACGGGAAGAACCGTGCATGGCGTTCTTGGCTGCGAGCAGACAGGTGCGCCGCAGCTTGTCGTTCGTACTGACTTGGCCTGTCGACAGAGTCCGACGTACATAATAAGCACTGTTCAGGTCGACAGCTTCACATCCTGGTTGGGCAATCGGTTGTCAACTGGATGTTATAGGTAGTCTAAAGTGCAGGCAGTACGTCCGGTGTAAATGGCAAACTCGAAGGCTACCATATGGTCCATAACCTGGACAAAATGGGACGAAACTCGGACGAACCCCACGGTAGGGCCGCAATCGTTGAGTATCAAAGCGGATACTTACTCGAATACCTTGGCAGTTCAAGGAACCTGCTGTGTCGCATTTATAAAAGAGGCGCCCCTCATCAAAACAGTATGTATGCTGGCCGGTCGTGCGTATGCTTCGAGCTCTCGAGAATCCTACCAGGCAAGCAGTATGGAATGCAATCCAACTGTTGCGTCTATCAGTCCTATTTTACAGGTCACAATGCACGCACAGTGACTTGGAGTTCAATTCCAGGCCCAAAGCCTGCGTTTGTTCATCACTCAGACTTGGCAGGTTTTTGAACCGTCATCCTGGTTGATTGCTTTGACCATGGCGAGGTCTTATGACGTCGCGGGTAGTGGATTGCAGACTTGAAAGAACAGCGCGGGTGCATTCGAGATTGGAGTCAGAAAGCGGCCTCCAAGCCTGTCAGTGGCTCTTCGAGCGAGTACGCCTATCCATGACGGCTGACTGTGTCTCCAAAATTGGAGCAAATATCTTCTGGGGAGACCCCATGCGTGGCGTCAATTAGCCACGCATTGGGCCACAGCTGCCCAACAGCACTTGCGGCTATAACATGGTATGGAGGGCGACGGTAAAGGATATAAGTTCGGATAGAGCATGAGGGAGTAGATATTTGATGTAGCAATTGGCTTGCTTGGTTCATCGACGGCAGGAAAGGAGAGAAAATGGAGGCCGCTTCCGCAGCCGGTGGGCTTGGTTGCAGGCGGTGAAGCGGTCCCGGCAGGAGCGGTCTGGTCGGGCACACGCGACCTTTGGACCAATCTGGAAGGAGCGACATGGCATGGGCCAGTCCTCTTGCCTCAACCACGGGCTAGTCAACTTGTTACTTGGTGCTTGACACCTCGTACAATGCATCAGAAATCCCATTGGATTCCCCTGAGTCTTTTCTCTCCGCATTTCGTGTTACAGAGTAAATATGTACAGCACGTCTTCGGTGATATTCTCATCCTTCACTTGAGAGCATCGATTTTAGAAGCGGCAGCCATTGGCATCTCGTGCGACAAGCCTCTGTCGGCCACGACTGCTGCCCCGCCAAGCCCACGCCGCTGCTGCTGCTGGGACGTCCTGACGCAAGCCTCGGAGCTTGGGTTCGGAGCTAGCTGGTAGCCAACATTGAAGGGCATGAATATTCGCCCTCGCATATCGAGTTTGCATCTAGGAAACAACCCTCAAGCTCTGTGTCAGAACGCCAATCATTCTACTGTCCTGAATGCGTTCCATTAATGTATGTACTGTACTACATGTCGGCCAACGAGTAGCCCGCGTCATCGCACATCACGAGCCTTCACGTGCAGATAACGCGACGATAAGCTAAGCTTTTCATTCCAGCTGAGCTTGTCCCAGCCTAGGTCCATTGTGGACACCTTACACCTTGCGCAGAAGCGGCACATTGTGGGCGACTGCAGAGAAAAACAGCTGGCAGGCTTCCTTAATCATCCTAGACTACTCTGTACAGACCCTGTCTGTCCAACCACAAGCGCGTCCTAGCCAGCATCAACACACCATCACTAAAAAAAAAAGCCACGCGCTTGCGCTCGACCAGAAGGCGATACGACGACCCGGCGACTCATCTCTTGGTGTGCTGCAAAGAACAGGTGACGTCGATCAGCATCTGTCCCGCAGGCGGTTCCTGCGCAGAACATCGCACGAGTGCAGCTTTGGCCAAACACACGACACGCTGAGCTACATTTTGTACATGAGCTTGTGAAAGCTCCCGGAGCCCTTGCGACCTCAACGCCCGCCCCAAGAAACTCGTTTCGAGACTGGGCCCGCGAGACGAGAAGACCAAGAGTCGTCTGACCTGAAACGCCCACAACTCCCAACGATCATCATTGTTTCTCCCGTCGACTCGACCGGCACGGCTTGAGCCCGCCACCCTGCCGCTCCGATGTGGTGGCTATTTAGCATATTTTTCAGCTCCATCTTCCTCTTCACCATCGTTCTGTCAATACCCGTCGCCTTCGATGTCGGTGGCCGTGATAGTGGGCTGGCGTATAGCCTGTCTCTCTTCATCTATTACCTCGTCTACTCCGCAATCCGCATTGTGACCCCGAGCAAGTCACGCCTCGGCTCGACCATCTCCAACCTCCTCCGACTGTCGCAGTGGGTTGTCATCCCATCGCTTCTCATTTGGGCCTTGAGTCAGTTTGCCGTCGATGCGGGAAGCACAAACTGGGTCGAGAGGACGTTGGGCGGCATCTTCCAATCCAAGAGCGCAAGTTGGACTGAGTGGATGTTTGGCAAAAATGGCGTGCTGGAGACGGTCATGCTGGGTAGCTGGGACAATGTCCTTCGATATTCCGGTCCCGTGTTCCAGCTCCTCGAGGGCTTTTGCACGCTTCTCGTGATTCAGGCAGCCGGTCAAATTACTCGTTGGCTTGTGAACAGAGGCAGAAGTGACACCTGGGTGGTGAGCGACACATTCCCAACACAACTTTTACTTGCCTCTTGTGCTAATTGACGCAGATCATTCTGTTGGCCTTTTCCGGCACCATCATCGCAAGTGCCGTATACTTTCTTTGGCGGGTTGCACAGTTTCCGCGAATTAGCAACCTGGATGCAACACTTATCGGCGTAACCATGACTACAGCAGTGTTCCTTTGTGCCTACGGCATCGGAAGCGGCCGAGGTAATCCTATTGAGAGCTCTCTACTGTTTGCTTACGTGGTACTGTGTGTCTACCAAATTTTTACCGACTACCTACCGTCTGAAGAAGTCGAGGACCAGGCTTCGTCACAACCCGAGATTCCACCACTGCCGCCGGTTATTATGGCATCCTATTCAACCCTTCTACACATTCTAGGCTCGCTTCCGTCGGCTATCCACTCCTCTCTGGCCCTTTTGTACGCCGCTTTCCAGACTATTACGCCGTCAGTCATCATTTCCCTGACATATCGACTCTTTGTCTTTTATTCAGCGACGAGAATCATTCCCTCGGTGCGGGATCTCGGTGCACGTGCACTTATGCAGGATCCGGATTTTGAGGATGCAGAAACAGCCAACAAGGTTCTTGGGTTCCTGAGCTGGTTCTCGCCGTCCATACTGGTGTCGGTGTATACGAGCTTGCTGCTGCAACACTTTTCAACCAGTGACGGCCCCGATGGCTGGACCCTCAGGGGTGGTGATGTTGGTGGCAGCACGTGGAGATGGATCAATGTCGGCTTGACTATGGTCCTTTACGGCGTGGAGCTGTACCTTGGTACGGAAGAGTCTGATCACTGGAAAGTCGACTAAATGCAGGCCACCAGCACCATGAACAGGGAGGATATTTCCTATGCTATGTCAGGGGAGGTGGGAGAACTCGATTTCAAGATGGCATGCAATGCTGCCTATTACCGCCCTCCAGCTGACGTTGCCTTGGACATAATTTTGAGAAGTCGTCCTGGGGCAAGCAGCGGACACGGCGAATACAGAGCATGCCCCGTATGTCGCCTATCGGTGCGACCTGGAAGGACCAATACGAACAAAGACAGACAAAATAGGGAAAAGAAGCTACGGGCAGTGTGATGGGAAAGGAGGAAGATTTGGGCTCGGTAGGCCGTTGGGAAATTGGCGGGCATAACCGCAGGCGTTACGGTAGTCAGGCGATTCTTGTCTGGAGCATGGCGATATTGATATGATTTATTCCTTTTGTCAACTTGGTGCATTGTGAGCGGTGTAATGTTTGGGGCGATTCTTGGGACCAGTTGTCAAGGTTGTATTTGCGAAACCCCGGCGTTATGATGACATGCTTGTCACCAACCCTAGCTACGGGCAGGCAGGATTAATTGACGACATGGTTGATTCTTGACTGATTTTTGCTACACAGCGCCCCTGTGTTCCCGAGGGCTGCCAGCCATTGCACTCGATGTGGGCGTTGTGAAGGCTGCCTACGCTATCCTGTGGTACGTTGTCGGCAAACATTGTTTCGGCTCGGCTCTATCGATGTGCCGCCGGATTGGTCACAGTCTCCAACTTCACTCGACACTTTTCCATCACTCACCACGCAGTCTTGTCCGCGATCCAAACACACAAAAAAATAAAGAAACATAAAACACCATATCAAGAGGGCCGCTATACAAAAAGCCCACCACAATGGATGAGTACTCAACCAAGGGCCTCGGCCCCGCGCCGCCCATGTCCATGACGACGATCCCCATGGCCGGCCTCCTCGTCGACGTCTACGGCCAGGAGGAGCTCGCCGGGCCCAACATCCCCCTCACCTGCCTGTGGCTGCTGCACCCGCGGACGCGGACAAGAGCCCGGATGCAAGACATCGCGCGCCGCACCCTTCACGCGTGGCACCTCTCGCCGGCGTCCGAGTCGCGCGGGCTGGTGGCCCTGTCGTTCGACATGCCCAACCACGGCACGCGGCTGGTCAGCGAGGCGGCCAACCGCGCCTGGGACGGGGGCAACGACCGGCACGCCATCGATATGGCGGGCGTGGTCGGGCGCGCCGCGGGCGACGTGAGCGCGCTGATGGACCTCGTGGCCGGCTACCTGGGCAGAGAGGTCGACGCGCACGTCTGCCTGGGCTGGAGCCTGGGCGGCCACGCCGCGTGGTGGTCGTGGTTCGGGGAGGACAGGGTCGACGCGGCCGTCGCCGTCGTCGGGTGTCCCGACTACCTGGGTAGGTTGAATGTTCGATTTGTAGACTCGGCGTGCTGACCGGTTGTTAGATCTAATGGGGGCCCGGGCGAGGCGCTCGGCTCTGGATACCGGGGGCGTCTCGCTGCTGGGCAGTCGGTACTTTCCGCGCGATCTGGTGGCCATGTGTCGGGGCAGCGACCCCAAGGCCGTTGTGTTTGGGGCCGAGGCGGCGGTGCCGTCGGTGCCGCTGTCGGAGGGGGAGCGGGCGCGGCTGCGGGAGATTTTCGACGCGCGCATCAGGGGGAAGAAGCTGCTGGCTTGCTCGGGGGGCGACGACGAGCTGGTGCCGTATGCGAGCTCGAGGCCGCTCCTCGGGGTGTTGAAGGACGCGGCCGACGGGTGGTACAGGGACGGCGAGGTCGTGGTCGAGGACAGGGTATATGCCGGCGTGGGACACCGGTTCAGCGCCGACATGGTGACGGACGCGGTTGCGTTTCTGGTGCGTGCGGTCGAGGACGGGCCGAGGACGGGCGCGAGGGCCAAGATTTGACGGCGTCGTGAATCGTGATGCTGGACGAGATTCACGAGGCGTCTGATACAAGGGCGGGCCTGTTCCAATTAGAATATACGCTCGACATCTACGGCTGTTGTCATGCCACCAGGGCCTAGATTACGCCTGGGGGTTGATTCCACCCAGGACTATATACAGACTATAATCATGCAGTGAAACTCACCACGGCCTCTCCCCGTCGACGATGACCTCGCTTGCCCCCTCCCCCGCGGTCTGCAACCCCCCCTTGTCGGCGTCCTCGGTGCCCTCCTCGAAAACGCCCTGCCACGCTCCCCAGACGTTCCTCCTCGCCCTCTTGGCCGCCAGCCTCTGCCCCTTTCCGTGCGGATCGCGCCCCCAGTCCGCCTCGGCCTCGGCCACGCCCGCCACGACGCCGGGCTTGCCCTCCAAAGACGGCGGGTCTACGCCGACAAACGACACCCTGTCCGGCGGGAACCCAATGGCGGCGCAGTGGCCCTCCAGCATCCTCGGCCTCTTGAAGGCGTGGCTCACCACCACGACGTGCCGCGGCCAGCGTTGGAACCGGGCATAGAACAGCGACAGGCTAAACAGCACGTTGTGGTAGGAGTCGAGGGCCCGCTCCTCGAGCATCATGTCCGCGTCCGTGACGGGAGGGTCAAGGAGGCCAAAGCAGGCGTTTTGCATGGCCACGTTGGCGTACGACTGGGCCTCGGAGAGGGTCGTTTCTCTGCGGGTCGGCGCGCTGCGTGACGGCGTTAGCTGCTGCAAGGCACTTGAGGGGAGGGGAGGGTGGGAGGAGTCGAGGACCCTGAGAATGCGAGGACGGCGTGGCCCCGGTCGTCGGCGAGGCATTGGAGCCCGGCCTTGATGTGCGCGATAAAGGTGGGGGTTTCGCCGTGCTGGAAGTCGGCGAGGAGCCATTCGGCCTCGTTGTGGCCTTTGGAGGGGCCGCCGAGCCAGATGCCGTGGCAGCAGACGATGATGAGCTTGGTGGGGCGCGGCATGTTGGTTTGCGGTCGGCGGGTGCGAGTCGGAGGTTGAGGCTGGTCGGGACGGATCGCGTCATGTGGGGATGGTGTTTACATGTCCTCCGTCACGATAGACTGACAGACGAGAGAGAGGCTTGGCAAACTCATCATGAGCTACCTACTTAAGTAGATAGTTGTTGACTTGCCGCTCCACGGCAAGTAAACACTCGATTATGGAATCATCATCCTGGCCCAAGCAGCTGTCGTACATGATCGGGTGTCTTGGATGTTGCTCACTACTCACCATTAGTCTGCGCCCTGTTCATCCCTCGTGAATAGCCAAAAAGGCAAAGCAGATATTTGGCTACGATGCGGGTTCTAGAAAGGAACTGCCGATTAGCAGACAGGAGGCTCGTCTCGCAACATGCCAAGTAGCGTGTATAAAGCCATCTGACAAGATGTTGCCAGGCATTTTCAGCCCAGTTTGCTTCAGAAACTCCTGCAAACCGGAGCCGGCCCGAATATGATGTCGTCAACAAGCAACAAGTACCCATACTTCATCCTCTAAACGCCCTTCACTTTGCTACTCGAAGCCAGCTGGTCCCGGGTCCCGGGGATGGTCGAGGAGTATTGGGACACTTTAAAGTTGATGATAGATCGGGGCGTGTGTGTCATTTTCCATTGGAGGAACAAATCAAAGTTTATGCCAAAGGTGAGCAATGCGTCTGGCGGTTTCGATCCGCTCCATGGTGCAGATCATATACATCTTGCACCCCTGAGCACCATCTTGGCTGGTACTATTACATTTAAGGCCCTGGCAATAGTAGATCTTCAGTCGCAGGCACCCCAAGAATGAAACCGAAAGTTTCACAACAGCAAGCGTAACACAGGTCAAGCCGTTGCAGATTTGGCTTCATCAAGAGTACAGGTATCACGACAAGGACGAATATATCCAAAATCCATGGAAGAAAAACGCGGGCAATGTTGTCTCGTGTGATGCTGCTGCAGGCTCGGGTCCCGGGTATTGAAGGGAACAGATCAGCCCACGCGATGGTGGTAGACGACCTCATTGGATAGATTGATGCGACACCTAGGTACTTGGTACACAGGCAAATAAGATGTTTCTGGTATGGGAGACAATGTGCCGCATCTGTTAGCCTATCCGGGATGTCATCTGAGATGTCATCTGAGAGGTGAGCTGTGGTATGCGCATTCCGTCACCAAAGGTCAGCTAGAAAAGCCAATCGACGCCGCCTCCGTACATGCATGATTTGTTCCCCTGGAGCTACTTCAGCCTTCCCCGCCGAACGCTTCAACACTTTTCGAAGCTTCAATTGTCCAGGTACCTCTACCGTGGGCATGCCCCATTGGGTGGAAATTGGAGTGCAGAGATTGGAAGGGGCTTGTCTCCCACAAGTACAGATACATCCAAGCCCCACCCGTCAACGGTTCCTCTTCGTCCCAGGAACAGACACCGCCCTGGCTCTCGTCGTCCAAAAACCACACCACCTCGCGCACCTTATCCTCGGACTTGGAAATCCCAAAACCGAGAAATCAGCCAATCCTCGTCCTCTTTCAACCTCCAACCTCCAACCTCCATTTACGAATACGAATCCTCTCCTTTGACCTAGATTGATGCTGCGCCGCCGCCTCGAACCCCGTTGCTTTCCCGACCCCCGGAAACCACGACGTACGCAACCCTCACTCAACACAATACAACTACTCCTTTATACCTGCAAAACACCGAGTATAACCACCCCATCGCATAACCACCGCTCAATTGCCCGCCATGCCATCCAACGGCTCTGCCACCGTCACTAAGACGTCCAAAAACAAATCCCCTCCCCCGGCCAAACAAGACGCCAATCCCAAGCATGACTTCTTCTGGACCTATACCGAGGAGCCGCATCGGACTCGTCGACTGGCCATCATCAAGGCTCATCCAGAGGTTTGGCCGACCCCCCGTTAGCCTTCAAAAAAAAAAAAGGGACTGTTACTGAAAATGACCCGCCAGATTACAAAACTATGTGGCCCTGAGCCTCTGACCAAATATGTCGTCCTCGGCGTCGTCACCCTCCAAATTGTCCTCGCCTGCCTGCTCCAGTCGACGTCCTTTTGGTCCTGGAAGTTCTGGGCAGTCGCGTACGTCTTTGGCGCCACCGCAAACCAGAACCTGTTCCTGGCCATCCACGAGATCTCGCACAACCTAGCCTTCAAGAGCGCAATGGCCAACAGACTGTTCGCCATCGTGGCCAACTTGCCCATCGGAATTCCCTACAGCGCCGCATTCCGGGTTCGTTTCAACCCTCCCCGCCTCCAGCGAATATAAACCATTTGAAAGAGAGAGAAAAGAAGCACTAATAATTCACCAGCCATACCACCTAACGCACCACAAATCCCTCGGCGTAGACGGCCTCGACACCGACCTCCCCACCGCCCTCGAAGCCTTCTTCCTCGACTCCATCCTCGGCAAGGCCTTCTTCTGCACCTTCCAGATCTTCTTCTACGCCCTGCGGCCCATGGCCGTCTACCGCATCCCCTTCACGTGGGTGCACTGCGTCAACCTCGCCGTCCAGCTCGCCTTCGACGCCCTCCTGCTGCGCTACGCGTCCCCCAACGCCCTGCTATACCTCCTGCTCTCCTCCTTCCTCGCCGGCAGCCTCCACCCCGTGGCCGGCCACTTCATCGCCGAGCACTACGTCTACGAAACCGTCACCCCCACGCAACGGGACCCCGGCAACATGGTCCCCGTGCCCGAGACCTTCTCCTACTACGGGCCCCTCAACTGGTTCACCTACAACGTCGGCCTGCACAACGAGCACCACGACTTCCCCGCCATCCCGTGGACCAGGCTGCCCGCCGTCTACGAGACGGCCAAGGAGTTCTACGAGCCGCTGCCCCGCCACGAGAGCTGGGTCTACGCCATCTGGAGGTTCATCTGGGACGAGAACGTCGGCCTCAACTGCCGCGTCAAGCGCAAGGAAGGCGGCCGCTTGGTCGGCGGCGCCGTCAACTGGAAGGAGACTGAGGTGCAGGCCTAATCTCCACGGTACGGGCGTCCATGGACATAAAACGTGGGTGGGATCCCCCGTCTGGCACGATTCGATTAAAGGCGTTGGGATTATGACGTATGTTTTTTTATTTACTATTTTAATGAAAATGCCGCATAGAGCTTGCATGATAGAAACAGAATATATTTGCAAATATCCTACATGCTCCTTTTGAAGCCCATGTACAAAGTGAAAACGTTGGCAATGCCAGATGCAAGCAAGTGGACGTTGCAGCATCTGGTACGCCTGTCCATCCTACTTGTCCCAAGTACACTTCTACTGCAAGTCGATAAACAAAAGAGAATCCATTATACGCGTCAAGCAGTAGCTAGTACAAGGTACGGTCCAATGCCAAAGGCGCTATTCGACATCAAAATGCAGTCCTGCCCCCAATCATCCCAGCCTACACCCGCCGCGATACCCATCTCCGGCAACCGCTTCTGAACCCTCGCTGGTTTTTTGCAGACATGTTTTCCGGTGCACTTGCCCTTCCGCATGCTGCTCAATAAATCGTGCACCCCGCTGCCAAATTCTTATGTTCAAGTAAAGTCATTATATAGCCCTTACGGGGTTCGTCTGAAAACAAACCAAGCCCATGGTTTGTGCATCTTCAAGCTGAGACGTAATTTGGCAGGAATAGGGGTGTTTATAGCCGTGTCTGCACCCATGTCCTGGAAATTTGTCTCTCGACCTTCAACTAGAAGAAAAAGTAGGCCAGGAGGAAACTCAGCAGACACAGCAGGGCAACAATCTGCACGGGAACGCCGTCAGGTTGCTGCTTAACCACCTGTGCAGTGTTCGCGGCGGGCCGCTTCTCTTCGCTGGACGCGCTCTTTACGCTTCGCTGACGAAGACCGCTGTCCTTCAGATTCAGTAGCTGCGCCTCTGCCTGGGCAAGTTTGCTCTTAAGCTCCTCGTACGACACTTGCGCCGCCTCGGAAACAGACGCGGCGGCGTGCGATACAGCAGACTTGGGGCGCTCGGGCTTGTCGTCGGCCTCTTCGGCAGCATCGTCGGAGGCGTATGGAGGTGGAGCGGAGAGGGGTGTTGAGTTGGCGTTGCCGCCGGGTGAGGAGAATGTCCGAGGAGCATCAGGAGTTTCAGTCGCCTGAGATACGCACAGTTAGCTAGCATTCGCAGGTGCAAAACGCCGAGGGCGTGTGTGAGCAGACGCACCCCATTCACGGCTGAAGGCTTGCTGGGAGTCGAGAAAGCAGGTGCAGCAAGTCCCTGAGCATCCTCGCTGTTGGCGGCAAGCCAGTTGACACGAATCTTGCGTTCGGCGAGTGTGGCCTTGTCTGCGGACTCTAGGACAGATGCAATGGTGGAAAAGTCCTTGTCGGAGGGGATTGGCGCGCACTGGACGAGAAATTTATCGCGACATTTGGCATCTAGGGGCGGGTCCTGCTTCATGGCCTGGAGGAGCACTTATTGTTTAGGTGGTGTCAGTTGCACTGCCCGCTGGGTTGATATTGGGGCTTGCATAAATGAAGAACGTTCCGCCGTACCTGTAACGTCGAAGGCATTTCCGGGCTCGATACGGCCGGCATTGGGTCGAACGCAGTACTGTTTAGGGGCGGTGGTTTTGACCTAGGTGCAGGGTCAATATTGTCACCATCTGTCACAATGTCACGGCGCAATGCGTCGCACTGGAAAGCGTACTTTGAAAGCCAGCGGCGAGGTGCTCGTATTTCGTATGGTAAGAGTCCGCGAGACCTCGACGGTAAAAGGGCCTAGAACGACACGGAAACCGAGTTAATGATGATGATGATAACGGTGGCGGAGAGGCTGAGGGGGGGCGGAATGCTTCACGTACGAGAAAAATTCAGCTCGAGGGGGAGAATATCGACCGTCATGATGGGCAATGCTCTCGCAATGGACTACTCTCGGGATGTCGATATGATCGGAGTCGGGTATATAAGTTTGCGTCGACAGCGTGGGAGGGCCTGGCGGGGAGAGCGAGCTGCAATGCACCCGGAGTTGAGGACACGGTCCAGATTGGATTGGACTAGTAATACTGGAGCTGGAAGTTGGTGTGGAGAGCTTCTGGCCCAGGGCAACTTGGAGGGGGCAGGGCCTCGTGCAAACCAACTTGAGTATGGAAAGGCAAGTAAGCGAAGCGCAGGCGCAATGGAGGAGGGAAGCGAGAGTTCAAGTCGCAGAAAGTCGGGCCGGGTGTGGGTGAGACGTTGGGGAACTGCAACTGCAACCTTGGTGCTGGGTTGCTAGGTGGACAGGGCACAGACAGCGAGGCGTGGTGGCGATGGATGGCCTGAGCTGAAAGAGGTGAAGAAGCCAGGTAGGGCTGCGCTGTTGTTTCAAATGTCTGGTTGGACTGAAAGGGGGCAAGGCGTGACGGCAATGACGACGATATGGCAGCAGCCCAGAGAGGCTTTTGCTTGTGAGCCTCGGACCATGTTGGAACTTGGCGCCAGCATTGACGGATGCCCACCGCCATCAGACGGCCTTGATGACATGCCTCGAGTCCCTGTAACGATTGTCTGCTTCTACATGTACTGCCATCTTTAGCGCCAGCGCACTCGACTGCTCCGTGGAGTCCGGCTACAAGAACCTCCAGAGTCTCGAAAGGGGCCTCGGGACATCTGCCAACATGGATCAGTGATGGACCATTGCCGAAACACCAAGCAAAATATGTCAGCAGAATGTGGTTAGGCCAGTGTAGGCAGAACACGTTTGTCTTTGGCCCATCTCCATCCATATCGTATGCCTGAGTATTGCCCTCGGGTGGATTTCAGGCTTGCATTTGGTCTGCTCTGCATGGCCACGATAACGGAACATCAAGGTCATGCGTACATGCGTACAGCACATGCATCCATTTGAGGTCCGCAATACTGTGCAGAGGTCTGCAGAGGTCACAAACTTGTGGATTGCGAAACTGGGATTCTGCGTTTTTGCATTTTGAATTCTCGCCATTTCCACCTCTACATATTGTACTCAAGACAGCTGGTCCTCGTGGAAAGACGCTAGCCGACTGACTGCTTCTCGCCAAAATGGCTGCCGCTACCCTACTTAAAGTATGTACTTGGTACTTGGGCAGGTAGCAGTTGTCGCCTGACTATTAGCTGTCTCCAGCCGCCAACTGGCCACTCAGCTGTTGAACGACGTGCCATGTAACCACCGTTTACCCAAGATACCTGTGTAGTTTGTTTACCAGTCACAACAGCCATACACCAAGGTTGTTGAAAGAAACAGTCGACTCTTTGGCTCAAGTCCCTCCTCGGTCGTCTTTGCTGCTCCAAACACATGGTCTGACCCCACTAAGACGCCGACTTACAGACTCGCCTGGCGTCACTCACAACCGTCACAACAGCTTACCCCTCCAACCTCACAGTCGATATCACCACCGCTAATCCCGCCAGCAATATACATCCGCCTTCGCAGATATGCCGTCAGACCTAGAGGCCCTCACTGAGATGGGCTTTGACAAGACCCGGGCTGAAATTGCAATCAAAAAGAGCGGTGGCCGTACGTCTAGCCTGCTTGCTTCGTAGTCGATTTGGTAACTAACCTTGCACAGTTCAGGGAGCTCTACAATGGCTAGAGGATAACCAGGACAAGTCTCTGGACGAAATCCAAACCGAGGAGGCCAGTAAAGGGGGCGAGGAGGATGAGGAGGATGCCGAAACCAAGGCCAAGATTGCCGAGCTAGAGACGGGCCAAGCTCGCTCGCTCGTTTGCAATGAGTGCGGCAAGAAGTTCCGAAATCACGATTTAGCGACATTCCACGCTACCAAGACGTACGTCGACCTTGATCATCTCATTTTTTTTCTCTCCCACCGAACCGACGGGTACTGATGTGACATGGTTTGATGTATAGAGACCATACCGACTTTTCAGAGTCCACCGAGGAAATCGCCCCCTTGACAGAGGACGAGAAGAAGGCTAAGCTCGAGGAGCTTCGCGAACGCCTCAAATCTAAACGGGCAGTTCAATCCGTTCAGGATAAAGAAGACGCCAAGCGCAATGAGGTTTGTCAATTTACCTGTCATTGCCCAGCCAAAAACATGCATTTTGCTCACAAAGCGTCAGAAAATTCGACAAAAGTCTACCAAAGAAAGCCAGGATCTTAAAGAGGAGATAGCGCGCAAGGAACAGATCAAAGAGGCAGCCCGCAAGCGCCAAGAAAAGCAAGACGACATGGAAGCCAAGAAGCGCATCAAGGCCAAGATTGAAGCCGACAAGGCTGAGAGACGCCGCAAAGCTGAAGAGGCCAAGGCCGCAAGAGAGGGAAGAGCTCCCGAGGCTCCTGCCAGTGCTCCCGCACCTGCGGCCGCAGCGCCGCCAAAGCCAAAGGCCGACCACAACACGGCCAGGCTGAGATTGCAAACGCCCAGTGGGAATCTGATGAAGACCCTGCCGGCCGAGACGACGCTGTTCGAGTTGGCTCAGTTGGTGCAGGGGGAGACGGGACTGGCCGTCACGAGCTTCTCTACCACATTTCCCAAGCAGACGTTCACAGGAGATTTGGACATGTCCAAGACATTGAAGGAGGCTGGGCTTGTGCCATCCTCGGTGCTGATTGTGCAATAAGGGAAGCGAGGGGATTTAAGCCTGGTTGAACAGCTGATGAGTTATGACGAGGCGTTTCATGGCATTACCGGTGTGGTTGTGGTTTGGGGGCACGGGGTGTTGCGGTGATTCTGGTGTACCAGGTTTGCATGTAGTAGAGGCAGCAATGATTGCGACCAGCTGAGTCGCAATCGGCGCGTATCGCGTCTACCGTCCACTGTGGTTCATGGCAGGATTTGCAAGTGTCACAGTCACTATTCAAAATAAGCCTTAAAAAATCCGTTCCCAGAAACCTCTATTTGACCATGAACCCCTCCCGTCACGTAAACTCCAAATCTTCTTGGTACTTGTACGAGGGACATTCAATCATATTAATTTCCGTTATATGAACGAAGCTACCTCACACCCCAGGTGCCAACGCAAAGAAGGGGAGGGGGGGAACACAAAAAAAAAACATTTCCCTTGTATCCCTCTTTTCTTTCCTTTTTTTGTGATGCGCGCCTTTTCTCCATCCTGTATGATCGATGTGATTTGTGAAGACCCCGAAGCCATGCAGTTGAAGTACAAAGAAGCAAGAAAACAGTCGTGAGTATTGGTGCGTTTAGTCGAAGAGACCGAAACCCATGTCCTCGTCGGACTCTTCCTTCTCTGTGCCGAGAATGTTAGCATATCCCCTTGTAATTGTTTTTTTTCAGCCATTCATATGTGAGCGGAACAATTGGGGGGGGGGGAGTCTCCAATATTCCTGCTCATGGCGGTCTGTACGCACCCTCGGCCTTCTCCTCCTCGGCGGGGGCAGCGGCGTCACCGCCGGCAGCAGCAGCACCACCGGCAGCGGGGGCGGCAGCGCCGCCGCCAGAGCCGACGTTCACGAGCAGGTCCTTGACGTCCTTGCCCTCCAGAGCCTGTGTTCAAACTTCGTTAGCGGATGACAGGTCCATGTCGAAGGGTGTGTTTGCTCGCAGTTGGAGGGGGTATTTCGCGTCGTCGTACCTTGGCGAAGATGGAGGTCCAGATGGGCTCGACGCCTTCGACGCCAGCAGCCTTGATCAGGGCCTGGAGCTTGTCGGCCTGTTGCAATCAAAGTCAGCAGTGTATTCTGGCGAAAGCACCACCAAGAACGGGCATATCCAGTGCGTTTTTTTGGGATCGCCGGCGCAGATGATTCCAATCACGTTTCCTTTTGTTTTTTCTGCAGTCTTGTCTCCTATTCCCTTGCCCCGATCGAATCGCAGACTGCGCCGGCAATTTCGCACACGTGGTCATTCTGTTTGGTGGCACGGCGGCGCGTAGAGTGGGAAACTTACGGAGATCTCAACGCCATCGTCGGCGAGGATCAGGGCCGCGTAGGAGGAGGCGAGCTCAGCAGTAGACATTGTGTGTAGTTTGTCGTAGTTGGTGGGATGAACGACAAGTCTGCGGCGAGGTTCGTGGTGGATGTAGTGCAATTATCACCAAAGCGGGCTGAACCACAGAAAATTGACCAGGTTCGAAAATTCGTCTGGAGGGCTTCAAGACCTAAACTTGGTGGGGCTTTTGTGTTTTTCCGAGCGCCGAGTGGTGTGCGTTTGATCATGGGGGAAGAAGGTGATTGGTTGGTTTTCCTGGCCAATCATAAATTCGTCCATCGTTCCAAGCCCCCGCTTTTTGGTTAGGGCCCGCGCAGACTCTGGGAGGTGAACGCAAACGACATCAAGTGTCTGCAAGGCTGACGGTGTACGGAGTATTGGACATGGTCAAGCAGTGGTGTTGAAAGCTGGAGTGCGCAGCACGTGCCATTGTTACTGGGGCAGGAATAAAAGCCTTCTGTAAAACGGGCGACTTTTGCAAATATTGACCTATAATCACGGTCTTTACGAGATACGTCGACTCGGGGTAGCAAAAGCCGCGGCGGTACACTTGAAGCAGCGCAGCTTGATGATGATGACGAGTACCGTCCATGTAACACGGCTATTTTATCCCTGAATGGTCTGTTCAACCAATGAACCAAGCAGAAACTTCTGACACAAACATCTAACGTACAGCTGCCCCTTTGCTATTATTGTCCCAATTCCACACTTTTGATACAGTCCCAAGACTTTGTCGCACATTACCAGACCTTGTGCTTACCGCGGCCGGCTGGGGGAGACGATTCCGTCAACACCAAACGAATGCAGTGGGAAGCAAAGGCAGGCAAGGCAAATAACTCGACACCTTGACTTGGCCCTTGGAACCCCACCTCGAAGCATCGATGAGCTAATCATAAGTACGATTTGCCAGTTGACCAGCCAAGGGCACGCAGTACAGAAGAGCCCAGGCAACTGTACAAGGCCAAGCCCCGCAACGAGGCGATGCTGCCTCTGTTGATTCGCCACCAAACGACCTGGTGACTTACCATGGCATCACTGGCTCCAGATTCCAGCTCACAGGTATGCCATGCCAATGGACGGATGGAGTCCGTGTCTAGTCCAGAGTCCAAGACATGGAGTCATTGATACCGTCACCGGCGCCGCAGTAGTTCGGTACTGACTGCATCGTTGATCGTCCAGCATAGCGGCGACATTCTGCTTCCAATTACAACCCTGTATCGTGCCTGCAGCTGTCGAGTCAGGTACGAAAAAAAAAAACCCATACACTGCTGAAAGCAGATGCTCTCTCCTCATGTCCAATTTGACAGCACTTGCCAACATTGTTCCATGCCCTTGACCCAGGGCGGTGGCTCAATTATCTCCCATCGTCTTCCCCTCCATTGAATAAGCTCCCCGCGCGGCGCCACTCACCCCAGCCAAGCAACCAGTGATTGAACTAGACTACTCATCTCCTCGGAACTCCAGGAACTTGGATTGCACAACACACCTCACCGGGGCTGAACAATACCTGGTGCCGTAGCTTTCCTTTCATCTGTTGACTCGCTCCCACTTCCTTGCCGGACGTCATCGCGAGAGCCCGTGCGACAACTACGCCACTCGTCCTTCAACTATACAACGATGGATACACCGGCGGTACCAGCACCGCGGGACTCCCGCGAACAAGCTATTCTTGCTCGCCTCTCCGTCATTCGAGACCAGCTGTTGCTTCTGAAGCAGGACCGAACTACATATATTCGCAGTCAAGATGTAATTCCTCTCTATGACCAGACCATTGAGCAGGTCAAGGAGCTCAACGCTGTTCGTGCTGAGATCGGCAAACACGAAGAAAACCGACGTAGGCGCCCCCGCTGCTCATGCTTCATACTGTCCGTCAAGATCGCTCACTAACCGTCGCAAACAGTGGACAAGGTCCTAGAGAGTTGCTTCCAGTTACTTTCCCTATTCTACCTCACCATCGGCCGAAATAACGAGGCCCCCGCCGCGTACTCTCTGACGTCGACCATCAAACGACTTCTCGACCATCTCACCGAGGCCGCTCTTTACTCTGCTAAAGATTTGGAAAGCATTAAATCTACACTGGAAGAAACGGCATGTGCCATCAGCCAGGCGCAAAAGGCGGAGGAATCCCAGGCGAAGCACTCGCCATATCTTTTAACCCTGCTCTCAAAGCGAGTATCGCTGTGCCAGAGCATGCTGGACAATCTACGGAAGCGGCTGGAAAGCATCGGCAGCCCACTGCTTGTAACACATGAGAAGTTGATTTCTATTTTGCGACAAATTTCATTCGCAAATACAAAGTCAAAGGTGAGTGCGGAACGAGTGCAATTGACCAGCCTCGGCGAGTCTAACCGATGACCAGTTTTCGACTAGTGAGGTGCAAAAGCTGCGGAATCAGCTCTTGGATGTTGGCAACAAGCGAAAGGACGGCAAGTTTGTCGCAGAGGACGGCACCGTACCTCCAGGTGAAGCAGAAATTAGCGAACTATACGAGAGATGTGTCCAGTGGTCGGGTATAGTTCTGGAGAGGTAAGGCTTGGGACACCGCAATCTTCACTTGGTGCATGTCACATGGAGGCTAACGGCGTCTTTACAGAAAAGGAAATGTACATGAATCATGGCGCCCAACATATGACGTCCTGGTAGGAATTCGAAACGACTTGGAAAAACTTTCCTTGACCCAAGCTTGGTCGCTCCGCGAAACCGACTTGTACGACTTCCAGCGGCAACTGGACAAGATTGACGAAAACAGGCAGAATGGCAACTTTTATGACGACAAGGGCCGGCCGGCGGATCTTTGGACACAGCGAACAATGCTGTACTTGATTCGACGAAGCTATGCGTACATTTATTCCTTCATGATTGCCTCGGAGCCGGTATCAGAGGCCCTGCTCCCCATTTACAACCAACTACAGACTCTCAAGCGATGCCTGGTCGAAGTGAAGAAGAATGGCGGCGTCACATCTGTACGAGAGCTCTACCCATACAGCATGAAGGTAGCATCATCCCCGTCCCGTTCAATCCGCCCCATGAGCACTTTGCACTAACAGGCCTTCAGCTCAACTCACTGGACAACATGCGAGTAGATGGCAAGTTCATTGTGAACGGAGACATCCCCGAGGGTCAAGGCAGTGTTAGTGGGCTCCTGGCAGAATGCTTCGACCTCAACTACGAGTTGAGGGTAGCAGCCGAAGAGGGCACCAACAGCGACGATTAACACGCCGACTGGTACACTACACCCCGGCCTCACTGTACAAGATCTGTCGAATGCTCAAATTTCCCTAATCCAAAACAAAAAAAAAATTCTACACGCCTTGGAAGAAATTCGTCGAGGAACAGCTTTGCATAAGTCTAGGTAGGCGGGGTCGGCTTTTTGGTATTTTGAACTCTTGTCTCGTCTCTTTGGCCTCAACCAACCCTGGGAATAGCCGACACCCGTCTGGAGTTTTTGTTTGGTTAAGATATTCTGGCTTTTGTACTTCCAGCAATGGGGCGGCGTCAGCTGTGCTGACACTGCAGAAAGCAAGACCGGGCGGCAACACTGTTAGGAAGCGGTTAGGCTAGGGTACTTTATGAATTGATACCAGCGTTTTATTCTTTTCATGTCTACATGTTTCTACTACGCGCTTATGGGTTTCTGAATGCGCAGATGAAGGGGTAGATTTGGATCTGCATCGGTTAGCTGAGAGCACCGTTGCGCACGGTGTGGCGGCCCATGATACCTTTTCGACATCCCACACTCCAGAGGTGGCGTAGACGTCCTTCTTCAGTTGCTCCAGGACGGCCTCCTTGCTCTCCCCCTTGCACACGACGGTGCTCCCGAAGAAGTCAAAGTTGGCGGCGTTGTCATCTGCCGGAACCTCGTTTAGGAGGGCGCCTGGACTATATAAGCATGTGCATGGGTAGTTGGGGTGTCTTGGGAAAGAGGTGCGCACCGCCCATTTTCCAATCGCCAGACTCGACATGGGGAGTCATGTTTTTGAAATGTGTTCTGAGGGAGTTAGTTCCTGGTTCCTTTAAGATCTTTTTTTTTTTTTTTGAAAAAAAATTGGCGCCGGGGAAACCTACGGTCTAACCTCGAGGCGCTTCTCTTTAACGCCCGGCTTGTCGGGCAGGATGACGAGGAATTCGCGGACTTTGGGGGCGGACGAGGACATTGTGCGAATGGGTGACGAGAACTGCGGGCGGAGAAGGGTTCCAAGGGGACGTGAGAGGCGGAAGGCCATTGTTGGAATGGAGATGGGAGGGGGTTGACTGGAGGTGGTGTTTATATGCATGGACGGGACGCATGTCGGGATTGGAGGATTAGGAGCGCGCCCTTTGGTGTGGGGTGTTCAATGGGAGGTTGCAGGGCGCAGGGTTGTGTGGGGTAGTGCTGGCATAGGATTTCGTGCTGCGAGATCCGTCGGGTTGTATGGGAGATGGCTGTCGGGCATGCAGAGTGCAGAAATACACCATGTACTCCGTAGCTACCTGCGGTTTGCGGTTGCAGAGTTGCATGCAAGGCTAACGAGGCAATGTGTTGTTGGCCCTGCCCAATGTACGGGTCATAATGGCGTAAGCGCAAAACACCACCGGGTAGTTGTATCCATTGCCTCCCATCTCTCTCCGGCAAGTTCAACAGGTGAAAACAATAAAAGGAGGCCCCATCTTCAAGTTACGCCTGAGCAAAGAAATGCAACTCCAGTCCCATGTCCCGCCCCATTGAAGAATCAACGCTCAGCATGCCGCCGGACCGTCCACCAGTCCACCTTGTCATCCACCGGGACGACACAATAGTCACCGTCGTCGGCGTCTATGCGAGACTCACCGACGCTAATACGGAATGTATATTCTTGGGCAAGGAAGCTGGGATGCAATTAACGGGCGAGTCGGGCGAGATGGCCCCCGACGACAGGGAGCTCATGCCCATCGAGCCGATGAGATGGGACTCGGTCGCCGGGGTGTCGTGCTGGGTCGAGACGCACCATGTTAAGCTGGCAAGGAGTTGATTGCCGCCGTATCGTGTTTGAGGTGTTTGGATGACGCGGTTCTGGTGAGGGGTTGTCGATGTTCCTGGCATGGTGACGTATTCAGGGTTTGAAGCAATACAACACCAAGGGAGTGCATTTCGGGGCCCGAGAGCGCAGAGTTGCCATGTTTTGTCATGCTGTAAATAAAGAACTGCATGATTTCATAAGCCGAATGGCCCTAAGAATGAGGGCTTGAAAATCGAGGCCGATTTACACAGTTTCGGTTGCTTCAGGGTAGGTCGCCGTGATGACGGATGTGGATGGCGGAACATGATCAGGCTAGGAGTGACGTAACCAGGGATCCTTGTCTGTCATGGCTTTTTTTTTTTAAACCAACGTTCGTGCGGGTAACAAGCTTCGGCTCGGCTACGGTTTCAATGTTGCATTTGCCCGGTTGCACAAAGGAAATTGTCTGGTGACGTCGGCTGCGCCTCTCCATGCCATGCCCAAGTACGGAGTACCTGGGCAGCTTGTGCAGCCACAAATTAAAGTATGGAACCGCAGCCGCAACCCCGGCTTCTAGTTTCGTCGAACTCGGACGACACCTGGACTCCACCACTGCGGCTCATTCGCGCATCCATCCCGCTCGCCTCCAACAAACCAGACATAACCCCCCCTTCCAGTCCGCCCGAACCTGGAATCGACCAATATCGACTTGCCATACACACACGACGGCCTCTACCCCCTGAATGGACAGGCCGGCTGAGCAGTGTATGATTGCAGCACTCACCGTTCCGTCATGGCCGAGGTGGAGACCTTCGGCGCCGTACTGAAGGCGAGTCGAATGTTGCACGATTGCGTGTTGCATGTTTGCTGACGCCCAACCCCGTCGCCAGCACCGCGGACCGCCTGCATCCTCCCGCCACACTGCTGCCAGACCGCATGCTAACTGATTCTCAGGATGGGTTCAAGCCGGCGAGCGCCTGGGTCGGCCACGGCATTGCCTGGCTGGAGGATATCCAGCAGTTTTACCGCGAGCGCTCTCTTATCGAGAAGGAGTACAGCGCCAAGCTGAGCGCCTTGGCCAAGAAGTACTTTGAAAAGAAGAATAAGAAGTCGTCGCAGCTGAGCGTAGGTGATACGCCTGCATTGACGCCTGGGTCGCTCGAGAGGTATGACGACGCTCCCGCAAGGTTGCCCACTGCGAATGAGCCGCAATATCCATCTAACGCCTGTCCAGTGCTTCGCTCACCACCTGGTCGACTCAACTCACAACCCTCGAATCCCGAGCTGCCGAGCACGACAAGTATGGCAACCTCCTCGTCTCACAAGTTGCCGAACCCCTCAAATACTACGCGGGCCGTTTCGAAGAGCTGCGCAAGCGACACATTGAATACGCCGACAAGCTTGCCGCCGAGCGCGACGCGTCCTACGGCGACCTGCGCAAGGTCAAGGGCAAATACGACGCCGTCTGTCAAGAAGTCGAGAGTCGGCGCAAAAAATCAGAGTCGCACTACGACAAGGCCAAGGCCCAGAGCGCCTACCAACAGCAAATCTACGAAATGAACAATGCCAAAAACAGCTATCTCATTGCCATCAACGTCACCAATAAGCACAAGGAAAAGTACTACCACGAATATGTCCCCGAGGTCATGGACAGTATACAGGATCTTAACGAATTCCGAACGCTAAAGCTGAATGGGCTGTGGGGAGTCGCTGCTACTTTGGAGGGCACAATGCTGCGAGATAGCTCTAGCATGATGGACCACTTGGGACAGGAGGTTACCCGAAATTTGCCGCACCTGGACTCGATAATGTACATGCGACACAACGTGGGGTCCTTCCAGGAGCCCGCGGACAGGGAGTTTGAACCCAGCCCCGTGTGGCACGACGATGCGACCATGGTGGTGGACGAGACGGCCAAGATTTATCTGCGGAACGTGCTGAGCAAATCCAAATCGCAGCTGGGCGAGCTTCGACGGGAGGTGGACAAGAAACGGCGCGAGGTGGAATCGGTCAAGAAGCTCAAGCAGCGGGTGCGAGACGGGACCGAGAACAAGGACGAGGTGGAAGTGGCGCGCTCGCTCTTCGCCATGCAAGAAGACCTTCACGCGGCGGACCGACAACGACTAACGGCCGAGGTCGAAACCGGCACCATTACCGCCGTTGTGGGAGACGTCACCCTCGGAGCAAAGAACCACAACTTCAAAGGGCAGACATTCAAGATGCCGACCAACTGCGACCTCTGCGGCGAGCGCATCTGGGGACTGAGCGCCAAGGGCTTCGACTGCCGAGACTGCGGCTACACCTGCCACAGCAAATGCGAAATGAAGGTGCCCGCGGACTGCCCCGGCGAGCAGAACAAGGACGAGCGCAAAAAGCTCAAGGCTGAGCGCCAGGAAGCCGCCAATCGTCTTGTGGCGCGGGATCCCGCGGCGCCTTCACACGTCGCGGATCTGCCCGACCTGACCAGGTCAAACACGATGAACTCGCTGAGCTCACATTCAGCCAAGAGATCGGTATCCGGCCAAATCACCCCCGCTGAACTGGATGCCGGCGAGCCGCCCATCGCAGCGCGCCCGAGCATATCGCCGAATCCTACAGGCGGCAGCGTCATCAGCACCACCACCTCGGCCACGGCCGCGACGGGAACGCGGAAGAGAATGGCCGCTCCGCCCCCAGCTGCGTATGTTAGCGAACTACCAGGAAGCGGGGTCAATGGCAACGGACACAAGGAGGAGAGGAAGGGAAAGATGCTGTATGCCTTTGAAGCCAGTGGTGACGGGGAGCTGTCGGTGGCCGAAGGCAGGGACGTGACTCTTTTAGAAGCAGACGGTACGTTGAAAAGACACACGCTTGCTCGCGTCTTCTCCATGTTTGTGTGCACGTGTTTATTGACAAGACGCAGATGGCTCCGGCTGGGTCAAAGTGCGGGCCGGCTACAAGGAAGGCATCGTCCCCACGTCGTATGTCGAGCTGGCAGCGCCGTCTGTCCCGACGGCCACGCGGCCCGAGTCGACGTACTCGACGTCGACGACGTCGTCGACGGGGCCGGGCGGCAAGAAGAAGGGGCCGGCGGTGGCGCCGCGCCGGGGTGCCAAGAAGCTGAAGTACGTCGAGGCGCTGTACGAGTACGCGGCGCAGAGTGCGGACGAGCACTCCATGGTGGAGGGGGAGCGGTTCGTGCTCGTCAAGGAGGATCCTGGGGATGGGTGGGTGGAGGTTGAGAAGGCTGGCGTTACGGGCAGCGTGCCTGCGAGTTATGTCCACGTTGTGTAGGCGGCTTTGGCGGGAGTGAATGGGAGTGAAGGGGAGCGGATGCATGTATGGTTTTGGCATCGGTTTGGATGAGGGTAGCATAGCTTAAATTGTAGATTATTAATGCCGTTTTGGGGTGAGTGGTGAGCAAAGAAGGGGGCATGTGGGTGTAGAAGCATGGTGTGTCGTCAGGTATGCATGTATGATATAACTGCCAGCCAGGCAAACGATGAGGTCAGTGTAATGGGAGCTTGATGAGCCAAGACGGACGTGCGTTTCGGAGGGACAGTCCAGCCTGGTCTTTGATGAACAAGTCAAGGCCGTGGTGATGTGAACGTATAGCGCCTGGTCTGACTACTGCCGAGATTTATCACGCTCGCAATTTCTGTCACTAAACTCCTTACCCCAACCATTTGATAACCGCTAAACTAAGTGAGGTTAGTAACATTGAACTGATCAAGTGCATGTGAGCACCTGTACCTAATATCATGTCTTCTAGGCCCTCTGTGTAACCTTGGCTGCTCAGCCGCACTCGCCTTCTCAGCCCTTATACCGTGTAGACGGGCTACCAACAACCGTCGACATCATGTTTCCCCTCGTGAGGCATATATCTGCTGTATTGGCCAGCCTGCAAAAACTGCGAATATGAGTCCAACTTGTCCAGATAAACGGGGCGCCTTTCCCGGCGAGGATGGAAGCCAACGCGCGCCACGACCAGCACCACCGCCTTTGCCTCCCCGGCCAGCAGGATGGAAATCCAACAAGAGTAACCCGAGACCCCAAGCCGCGAGCGCCAGTGATTTTGGCCAAGCTTCGCAGCGCCATCTACAAAGCGATGGCACTGGCTTTGAAAGACAGCCGGCGCCATACTCTGGCGGCGGATTCCAACCTCGGGACCAGCCTTTGTTTGAAAGGCAAAGATGGCCCTATCAGCTCTCTCAGGGCCAGATGTTGGACAAGGAAAATACTTTATACAGCAGCGTGCCACGGCAGATATCGGAGACTGGCGCATACCAGCCAGCGCCGTCTGGCCAGTCTACAGCTCAGGACAGCACATCCCCGCGAGCATCCACCGTCCAGCAAGCTCGAGGCAGTGACGATCCGCCGAATGCTGCAACAGCTCAATGGGATCCGTTGTATTACTCCAACGGAACCCCGACTGCTGTCCTGACGGAACTGCTAGACGAGGTGTTTCGCTGTCTCGACCCGCAGCAAACGGGGTACATCCGACCCGAGACCTACTCGTCTTTCCTCACGGCCATCGGATGGCCCGAGACTCAGGATCTGTGTATGGACCCCTGCCGCAGGTCATTCTATTTGCTTTCCGCCTTGAGAATCACCTACTAACTACCTACATCAGGGAAGTTGGGCATGAAGCCCGGCATCGGGCACACAGCCGAGGACGCGGGGGACATGTTCTTCACAAACTTCCTGAGAGCTCTTGACATTGAGCACACCTACACCAGACGCCATGCGGGGCTCCTCATCCCCGGCAGCCTTGGTATGCCGTGGATCACGGGCAGGGGCTTCAGAGACCTGTTTGTATTCGAGTTTGCCGCCGAGCCGCTGCTTGCCCCTGCGTGCCTGGACAGACTTGTCCGGGTGTACGGTCTGAGTCGGGGCCGCGGCCTGATACCAAGAGAGTGCTGTCTGCGGAGAAAGCCGGCTGAGGTGGCGGAGCGCGAGCGCGTAGCTGGCGAGAGGGCTCGCGCTGGAAACTTGGAGCTGCTGGAAGCTATGCGTCTTCATTGCGAGATTTCCAAGAGGGGCAGGGATAATGCGAAGGAGCTTTTGTCGCCGTATTGGTATACGACTCGGGCGTATGGGGGTGGCTGGTATAATGACTTGATTTGAGGGGGGATAATCTTCTCAGACTTAATTACTGGCTAGACTGGCTGCATTGGACAAGCTTAACTCTCGTATCGTCGGGTCTAGGGTGTCGAAGAGGCTGAAACTTGCGTCGTTCAAACACAGACCCATCTTTGAATCACAGGTCGCAATTGCCGTGATTTGTAAGTGTGAGAGATGTGCAGCTCGCACATTGCAAGCAGAGCGTATCCCTTTGAATGTGCGGAGGTCCAATTGATGTATTCGACCCACTTTGGTATGATATTTGAAGATACTTTCTGATACGGGTAAACAGCTAGTAATATTTTATATTTATTTATATCTTAAAAGATATAAGGTACCTAATTTCTTATATAATTTCCTAGTAAGTTTATGTATCTTTTTTATCAGCATTTATCATTGGCCAGAACCCTGGTCCGCTACCCCAATTGGACCTGCGCACATTCAAAGGGATAGAGCTCACAGTTTAATCCAGAGATCCAGGAAATCATCGTCCAGGCGGGTATCACGGCGGCGATATCTACACGCGGTCAAGTCCTGCGGCGACACCTGAGCCGCGGTCTTCAAGAGAAAGACCTGCACTGTCCAGCAGTATCAGATGAAGGTGTCAATCTACATTCTTGGATACATGACTACGGTTCAACCCGCGGTAAATATGCCCTTGGTACAGCTCGACGATTTGACCAGAAGCAGGATGAATACACGACTACGACATGACCCGCGGCAATATCCCCTGGGTACAATCTGATGCCGCAAGGGCACACCTGAGGCGCCATCTAATACGCAACCTGGGCAGCCAGCCCGTCCAACTCCCGGTCCCAGCATCGATGCTGGCTCATCGACCAGAAGAGCTGGTCCAAAAAGTGCTTCGCACCCTTGGTCGCCTGCACAACCTCCTTCAAGCTCTCGGGCTTGGGATCCCTCAGCGTGACAACACCGTAGCTCAGCACCGCATCGCCATCCCCGGAGAACCGCACACCATCCAGCTGCACGGCCTTCCTGACAAGGTCCACGGCCTCGCCCGTCGCAGCAACAGTCTTGAGGTGGCCAAACGCCTCGCGCACGTAGTGCGTGACTCGGCCCATTTTGGCCAGCGCATCGACAGACTCCCCCCGCCAGGGATGAAGACGGCGTCAAACAGCGTGCTCCGCTGCCCTTCAAAGTGGTGGTCCGGAACGAGGCCCCTGGCCGACTGGCTGTCCTCGCCGGCGGCAAAGACAGGCGAGCGCCGTGGGCCGAGAACAACGGGAATTGCGCGCGCGGCCTTGAGGGCGGTCACGACGGCGCCGTACGAGATGGCGTCGTAGCCGTCGGCGACGAGGACGGCGACCTTGCGCGAGGCAATCGTCACCCGTTCGGGGACGTATTCGAGCTGGCTCAGCCCGGCGGCCGTCTTGCCGTGGTTCTGCCCGGGAGACGGGGCCGGGCTGGGACCGCCGACCATGGCGGCCACGGCCCGCGCCAGGCCCATGTCAATATCGGCGAGGCGCTGTGTCAGGCGCTCGTAGACGATGGGCTCCTCGCAGTGGTCTAGCTCAAAGGAGAGCGCGGCCGCGATGTGCCTCTTCTCAATGTCCGACATGGAGTTGTAGAAGAGCTGCGCCTGCGAGACGTGGTCCTTGAACTTGTCGCTCTTGGCTCGCATCTTGACGCCCCTGACCTCCTGCGGGTGGTCGACGTAGCCGCCTTCTTCGCGGGACGCCGGCGGCTGCGCCTCGAACCGGTTCGGCCAGTAGTTGACCTTGCCGCGGGCAATCGTGTGCCGCATGGCGCCGTCGCGGTTGAAGTTCATGACGGGGCACACGGGCCTGTTGACCGGCAGCTCCTCCCAGTTGACGCCGAGCCGGCTGACCTGCGTGTCAAAGTAGGAGAAGTTGCGGCCCTGCAGGAGGGGGTCGTCGGAGAAGCCGACGCCCGGCACGACGTGGCTCGTGCAAAAGGCCGCCTGCTCCGTCTCGGTGAAGAACTCGTCCACGTTGCGGTTGAGCTCCAGCTCGCCGATGTAGCGGACGGGCACGAGCTCCTGCGGCCAGACCTTGGTGGCGTCGAGGACGTCAAAGTCAAAGTCGTCGGCCTTGGCGTCGGGCACGACCTGGATGCCAAACTTCCACCTGGGGTAGACGCCGGCGTCGATGGCGTCGGCGAGGTCCCTGCGGTGAAAGTCGGGGTCCTGGCCGGCAATCTTGAGGGCCTCGTCCCAGACGAGCGAGTGGACGCCCAGCTCGGGCGTCCAGTGGAACTTGACGAGGTGCCGCTCGCCGCGGGCGTTTTGGAGCGTAAACGTGTTGACGCCGAAGCCCTGCATCATCCGGAAGGACCGGGGGATCGCCCGGTCCGACATGGTCCACATGTACATGTGCGTCGCCTCGGGGTGCATGTACATGAAGTCCCAGAAGTTGTTGTGCGCCGACTGCGCCTGCGGGATCTCGCGGTGCGGCTCGGGCTTGGCCGCGTGGATGAGGTCCGGGAACTTGATGGCGTCTTGGATGAAGAAGACGGGCATGTTGTTGCCGACAATGTCCCAGTTGCCCTCCTGCGTGTACATTTTGACCGCGAACCCGCGCACGTCGCGGACCGTGTCGGCGGAGCCGCGGCTGCCGAGGACCGTGGAGAAGCGGACGAAGACGGGCGTTTCCCGAGACGTGTCCGTCAAGACGCCCGCGTGGGTGACGTCCTCGGCCGACTCGAGGAGACGAAAGGTGCCAAAGGCGCCGGCGCCGCGGGCGTGCACGACACGTTCTGGAATTCTCTCATGGTCGAAGCGGTGTATCTTGAGGTCTTGTCAGCGGAACAGTCCACCGTGGGAATTCGCAACGCTACCGGACCTTTTCTCGAGCAAAGGCGTCCTCGAGGAGCGTGGGACCCGTCGTCTTGTCACTGCGCACGCGCAACCAGTCGTCCGTGTTGGACTGCTTGGTCCCAAAGTCTGCCGTGATTCTGTCCTTGGGCGTGGGCTCTACCATCGAGGCCTCGAGCTGGTCCGCCTTGGCTGTCTTGGTCGTCATGGCTGCGGTGTTGATTGGGAATGTCTTGGCTGCAATTCGCTGCTACTATCCGTGACGTTTGCTGGTCGACTATATATCCACGACAGCAAGACCCGCGTGCTCAAGGCCCCCGAGCTGGTACATGACTGGTATATGACATCAACCACCTTGGACAGACCAACCAAGATTGCCTATTGGGATAATCGCAGCGTTGCATTTCGCTGCGGATGACGGCCGCCATTGCGCCATGTTGATGTAATGATGAAGTTGTCAACGGTGGCGTGCGGCCGGACGGAAACCTCCGAGCCGTCCGGATCGGGATCGGGATCGGGATCGAGGACCGGGACCCACCTACCGTGACGCTTGTAGTCAGAGTGCGGCACATGTGGATGGAAAATAGGCCATGTTAATCTACTTTAAATCTAGAGCACCCATTACTTTCTTCTTCCGCCCAACTTGCATCCCAACACTTTTATTTGCGCAGCAACCGCCGACCATGATTGTCACCAGACGTGTAGCGTCTGCCGCCCTGAAGCCGGGCATCCCTTGGCGAGCATGTCCCCAGAGGAGGACATTCGCCGACATTTCCGGCGCAAACAAGCCCGCACGGCCTGCCGAGATTCAAAACAAGTATGTCCTGCATCTAGATTCTCGTGTAATGTACTAACCCTCGTGTATTCAGCACCACGCTGTGGATGACAGGCTTGGCGGGAGCAGGATTGGCGGCTTGTTATTTCATCTTTCTGGCGAAACCAGAGGCCGTCGGTAGCGAAGTGACTGGCAACCCAGAAAAGGCGAGGGACCCAAAGATGGCTAGAGAAAAGTAGATTTTCACGAGGGCCACGGCAGTAACGTACGTGTCCATCACCACCATCTGCCCCCAAGATGCCATAGCTTGTATCTGTAAAAAGTCTATATACTCCGTCTATTTTCAGCAAGGGCGAATGTGCCAACTACCACGCCTTATGACCCCTATTGAGGACGAGATGACGCTTTTCCCTACCCCTTCCTGTGACGACATGAAACAAAATGGATCAACACATTGTCAAGTTTATTCGCTTCCGGTAGTTGAAAAATAAAAAGACCTGCACTTATAGAATGCACACTTCTGCCTTGAACGGACTTATAAATACTCAAGTATGTATACCTCTGCTTTACCTCTGCTGTAGCGAATGTCATGCTATCATGACTTGCTTGCGATGATATTATACTGCTTATACGTTATACGACTCTTTCGTATATATTATTAGAATTTCTCGCGAGCTGTGAAACCGATACTCGAATGGGTCATCTCCTGAAATCTGTTTAACCTAGCTGATAAAGCCACGCGGTTCTCCTGCTCAACATGCCGACACGGCGCACCGTTTGTGAGTGACCGACCAAGTTGGCACACCAACCATATCGGACAGTGGTCTTCAGTATAAAGGCTTGCCAGAGGACATGAAAGCACCCTAAGACGTGATGTCAGGTTCGTAGTGTCCATTAGACATGACAAAAAGATGCAAATTGCATAATCAGCAGTGCCCGTTATTTCAAATAGCGCACACTTGTTGACTCCTCGCAGCAGCCTCGGATATCTTGAGTGATTAAGTATCCGGAAATATTATCGCTACAGATAGCCTAGTGTGTCAGCCTTGCGCGAACGAAATTCGCCGCCAGTTCCTGATGGCAACTGTTACACGGAAATGGCGTTGGTTACACAAGGGCTACGGTCACGGGATTAGGGCAGAAGGTCCTCACCGACTTCTTGTATAAATAGACGGCTTCGGTCCCTCAAGGCCTTGAGGAAAACCAAGGACCTTTGATACCAAAGACTGTTATTAGATGAATTGAGTAAATTGCTCCAAGCCCTCTACTGAGCCCTTGTCACAGCAACTTACGCAATGACTGCTGTCGGTAGAAATAATGTCAGCCACGCATAGTCCTTCGCAGCAAGTGCCAATGGAACCGAAAGCAGTCTCGCAAAGGGCTCCGTATGCAAAACAGTGCTGTCCTCCGATTTCTCCGGTCAGCATAGGTCTCGCCATGCCTAGCTGGGCTACGCTAACCATAATGGCAGCTGAAATCTTCATGTTTTTGAGCAGGTGCCTGATACAAGAAGCGAAACTGTGCGAATGTTGTTGGTAGTTCACCACGGGCCCTGATACAACCCCTGGGCTGGATCTGGGCGTGAGAAAGATGTGGGAATAGACTGAGCTGGCTGTCGATGCTAGTTCAAAAAGACGGGGGTCGTCGTTTCTTTGTACTTGTGTCAACGAGTACGTCCTCAATTGAATCATCAATCGGGCTTTCTAACCAGCCGGGCATTTTCATCTACATGGTTCGAATTGAGTTATAAAGTTTAAACTAGCCCAAGGTTCAAATTAGAAGCTGGCTAGTTAATCAAGCACCAAGTCCGCGTTCCATGCGACCCATGGCTGCCCATTGTGACGACTTGTTCGTGACGCCTTGTTCTTACAAGCCGAGATGGTACGTTGGCGACGGGCTATTCTATGCTCACAAATCGCGATATGCAAACTGCCCAACGTCCAAAATGATTTGCTGAGTGACCTTGACTTGGGTCTTGAGGGATACTTTTCGGCTCCGAATTCGCTGAGCCAATTTGACGAAATATGTGATACATGACGTGCCAAGACATGAATGCGAGTAGTCCTGTGGCCAACTCTGGTGGAGAGGTACACTACGCGTATTTACCTACTCCGCGCCATAGGTACATGTAGCCTGCCAGTAGTGATCGGTAGTGCCAGCGTGCTATTAGTACACAAGTATCTACGTGTCATGAAGCCTGCGGTGTGTGGTTGAGTCCGAGTGCCGGCCAAACGCTCAGGTGGTGCGTTGGCCGTTCGCCGTCTAAGCTCTGCGCGGTGTTCGGCGTGCCTCTGCATAGGCAAGTCGATAGAAGAGTCAAGTCAAACAATGCGAATTTGATGGCAGAGGGTATCTTTACAAATCCCAAAGAGTTGGATCTATCTATGACTCCAGACATGCCGCTCCCGATTATCGGCTCTCAAGCACCCACGTCAGCTGAACTAGGGGGTCAGTTGCACAGAGACCAATTGAATATGTTTTCTCCAATTTTCAAACTCGCAAAGACTATTGAGTCCAATACGCCACTGCGCAGTTCCCAATTTCTTATTCCTTGGCAGAGACGGAGAACTCTGTTGACTTTTATGAGCCTGAGAAACTAAAGACGTGCCGGCTCAAAAACGGACCATGTTGCCATGGATGGCTTGAAAATGACAATCGTAGCGCTTCGCAGCCAAGTATTCAACGTTGCACGAATTACGGCCGTGCAGGTCAAGAAATACTATGCGTATTGGCACACATGCTGGTCGAGAAAATTTGGGCGAATCAAAGCTGCAAAAAGTCATGCCTCTGTATCAAAAGTGTCATGCCGCTCTATCGATTCCCCTTGGAAAAATATAAGAGAAGATGAGCACAACAGCATAATTATCATTTTAGATATCTGGCACACACTTTTCAATATAATTTAGGCCAGTGAAGGGCACCGCATTAAATTGAAAACCTACACAATATATCCTATGTACTAGGAAATACTTTGACTGCGGCAATAGAAAAAGTTAGTCAATTAGTTCATTAATTGCCCCCAAACTAACAACGGTATCCGCAAGTGTCGATCCATCCACCAGGTCATCCAGGCGGGGTGATAAAGTAGCTGCATGGTTGCTCAGCGTTCCAACTAAGCTCCCCGGTTGTGGTCATGTCCAGCTATAAAACAGGCCCCAATTCCGTAGCTCGATAGATTCAACAAAGCACCAGTGCAGTACTCAGTTCGGTGCGTGTCTACTAGTCGTGACAACGAGACTAGCCAGCCCAGTTGGCCCGTCGCAACCAGACGCGTGCTCCATGTACTTAGGAGCTGGCGCTGTTCTCCTCCCTCGGAATAGCGTCACCGTCCCTGCCCAGCAGGCCGCCGAGGCCGCCGAGGCCGGCACCAGCGCCGCCACCTCCTCCGCCGAGCAAGCCGCCGACGATGGGGATGCCGGACAAGGCGGAACCAGCACCAGCATCGCCGCCTCCTCCGCCGAGTAAGCCGCCGACAAGGGGGATGCCGGACAGGAGGGGTCCGAGCAAGTTCCCGACGAGAGGGATGCCAGACAAGAGGTTGCCGGCTCCGTTGGTTTGTGGCACAGGCGCAGCCAGGCCCGTCTGGGCGGCTGAGAGAGCCAGAACGGCGGTAATGAGCGTAGAGTCGATGGAGAATCTCATGTTGAAGGTTGTAAAAAAAAAAGATGGTATTCTCGCAAAAGCGATGTTGTGAAATTAAACAGGATGTGCTAAAAGAAGGTTGTGACGGAAGCAAAACTCGCCGGCGTGTCTCAAATGCGGATTGGGAGATGGAGAAGAGAAGAGGAGAGAAGAAAGCACCCGTGATATATAACATTGAGGAAAAATAGAAACCATGTATAGATAGATGCGCACTGCATACTTTGCTTGGTATCAAGACATCGATAGTATCGCCCGTGCCCCAAAGCGCAGCATTGCTTAACCTGCGTACTTGGCCACACCGGAACATAGAACATTAGCGGCTACTGCTTTCAGCTAGCTTGTCGTGAGAAAGTACCCTTTAATCAACGCGGGGGAAACTGTTTTCCTTATGAATTAAGGTTAATTCGGTGGATAAGCTTTTAGTGCTCTGACCCCAAGTGGTGTGGCGCACCCTCTTGCAAAAATATACATATATACAGATACTTTCAGATCTGGGGAGCCTGAAACTAATTTGTTTCAGGGATTTATCCGAGACGCTAAAGCCAGTGCCACAATCAACTACCGACAGTGGTCTCGGCCCTATGTATTCTCTCTCCTATACATAGCCAAGATGGAGTAACACGGGTATTCATTGTCTCATATATAGTATAAATTGCGATCAGCGAGGAGTCCATTCTATGTGGGTCAGAAACAGGATTTGGTCGCAATAAGCGCGCCCTGATCGTCTTGCTCGAACTTAATATATGTTCTGGGCCAGTTAGGAATATATCCAATTCGCCATCGTTTGACACGAACCACAAGTTGCTGGTAGGTATAGGAATGGCCATGTCACCAATGAAAGCTGACTGGATGCGCAGAAACATGGCCGCTGCAAATGCTGTGCTCCGGCATCAGCTCCAACAAAGGCAACTGATGTTACCAAGAGCTAAACATTGATCTCGATTTGCGTACAGGAACCAAGCTGGCAAAGTTTAACTAAAGGCAAGTTGTTCAGGAAACTATCCGTGACAAGGAGTCTCATACAACCCCATGAAGGACTCGGCCCTCTCTGAGGCTAGTGGGCAACCGGGCGAGATGCGACTCACCACACACCATGGCGAATGCATGTAGCGCAAGCGCTGTATCAACATATCGAAATATAGAGGACACGCGGGACTTGTATGGCGAATTATAACATGAGCGGTAAACTTGACAAATTTCTCGGTGCGCATTCACCCGCGCTGTCTACATGGACTGAATAACTATGCTAGCATGGCTTCCAAATACTTCGAGGAACTAAAGAACAGTGTTATTGTGTTAGACCAGTTAAAAATACTGAGGCGGTTGCCTTTTCACTTGTTGAGAAACTACAAGGCAAAGATGGTTTGGCAAACTTGGTGGCTTGGGGGGATCTGGCAACTCTCACGTCGTTCTCAGGACCTACGCGTCACATAGAAGCCGTATAATCACCTAACAAGTGGACATATAGTACCTGTGGCGATAACTCTGCCTTCTAATCTCAAAGACCTAATCCTCCGCGACCAACTCGCCTCGGCGACATGTACATGCTCCCAACCTTGAGCCATGACGGCGTCCTTGACCATCGTTTCAGTGACTAGCCAGCCTTAGTATCCGCATAGAAGGAACAGCAAAAGCACCTTACTACCTTTTCAAGTCGGCTTAGGCCGAGCGACACCGAACACTCTTGACGGTATCAACCACCCACCCGCAAAAGTATCGGTAGCCGTCCGAGTCAATGGTAGCAATGTACCCTCCATCGCAGTCGTTGGATTTGTAAATGTCGCAGGTGACGCCCTTCCTTGTAATGGCAGAGCAGGCGTCAAAGTCAACCTTGCTCACGCACGTGTTCATGGCGCCGACGTTGGAATATTTCCCGTGGCAGTTGTAGTTGCGGTACAGCGCAATCTCGCCATCGTCGGGATATGCCGTGTAGCTGCTGCAGTCGGCCACGGCCACGCCGGCAGAGCCCGCGAGGGCAAGGGCAAGGGAAGCGAATCGCATGGTAGGCGTCGGGACGGGCTCGTGCCACACTTTGTCTGCGTGCTAAAACACGAGATGAGAAAAAAAGGTGGTGGTGTAGTTCTGGAGTGCGCATCGTCGGCGCACATGTTTAAATACTCGTGCCACAACCCACTTATTGGGAGCGCGCGAACTCGCATGACCCTATAGTACCCTTGTTATATCTCGTGAAGAATTAGGGCTGGAATGGGCTGAGGAAAGGTGGCTCTCGTGCATCTTGTAGCAGTTGTCCCGTGGACTGGGTCGTGACGACTCACGAGCTGCTGTACACTGCGACGTCTGATCTTGGAGATTGAGGACGAGAGATGGGGACTACGGCATCTGTGTGCTCGATCATGCTTATTGCACAGGCCGCTTTATGCTATGATGGTTAGAGAGACGGTCCTTTGGCTTTTGGAAGCAGACAGATGCTAGGGTTATACGGAATGCTTCGCGTCTCCATAGGACCCTTTTTGTCCCCATGAACCAATCAACCGAAGACTTTATTCGCCAAGATGTGTAAGTCGGCTGTTGGACGCACAAACTAACATGGTAAAAGGGGTTCGAAATTCCATGTGGAAATTTGGACATAATATTGGAAGAGGCTGGCATGAAAAACAGAACAGTATTATAATTTATGATGACATTTGCGAGCAACGCCGCAGCTTGCTTGATTCGACTCCTGTGGGTCCTGGAAGGAAGGCATGGAAAGAATACCAGAATCGATTCTTTGATTTTTCACCGCTGCTGCCCATAGCCGCAAGACAAAGCCATGGCTTCACTTTCATTAGTTCAACTAGGCTCTAGGCCAACTTTGAGTTATTTTGCTTGAGCAGGGGTGCGATGAGATACAGCCACAATGCTCTTCTCTTCTCATCCCCGAAACTAGATACTTCACCTGCACCCAAGGAGAAACTAGAGTAACATGATACACGTCCCACGACGACATTCATGTCATGTCCGTCGCTGTGCACAGTCCCCACACGAGTAAATCCTCACTCACGGCATCCAACGGTAGTGGATCTGCCTTTGGGACACAAACTCGGGTACAAATCTGTACAAGGTCAAGCACTGGGGGGCGGTAGGGCTGCTTCGGCTTTATCCGCCGGGATCTCCTCACGGAGACGGACGGACGTAGCATCAGGATCTTCTTTATTCCCGGGCTGTTGCCGCCAAGCGCGGCGTCAAATGTCGCCGAGTTTGGATACCGAAACCGTAATACTTGACTTTATTTACTACTTGTAATTTATAAACTTGAAAAGCAAAGCGTGACTGCGAGCGTCTTCTAATAACCTTGTTTTTACGGCCTTGGTATAGGTGCTGCTGTTTAAACAGACTTTCCAGTCCCTATATTATTTGCGAATGCAGAGGCTAAATACTCTTGAACATAAATACCAGATATCACTTTGCCCTGTTAGGGGCCCTGAGAATGCTGTGCTATCTGATTTAACCGAGCCTACTTCTCTGTTGAAACCCGATAAAATACTCAAGACGGACCTGACTTACCACTTGAACGATGATAACTTTTCTCTTGGCTTGCCTTGGATTCTGCCGCCTCCACCGCAAGTACTTTGTTGGTTGGAACACTTAGCTTGATTGACTCTGTGGAAACCTTACGTGAATACTTGCTGAGATATTATAAGTTGGTTATATAATAAGTAGCTAAACTAATATATATCCCTAATAATTTAAATCTAAATATTTTTCTATTACTTATAGCCTAGCTATAATATAAACTAATAAGAGTACACAAGTTTTATAATATATATTATAATCTTAAATATATCTAGATTAAAACAAGAAAGTTAGTATAATAGTCAGGCGAACTAAAGGCCGTTGATAGTAATGCTGCGCTACGCTATAAAACCCAGTTTATATTTGGCACGTGTGTTTATTACTAGCAATACCGACCCTAGAATATAATAACAAGTTGCTTGAGCTGATAGATTTCTTCCACGTATACCCCTGGCAAGATATGCAGTATAATACTATTGCGGTAATCCTGAGATTTTTATACCACAATTATATAAAGAGGATATACCGTGAGAACTTAGCATGAACTTTAGGTGTGAATATATATATATATTTATTTGATCTCGTATACATATTTTCTTTTCTAAACTAGTAGCCTGGGTGTCCCCGCCCTGTGATATCAAAGCTTCGGGATATCGCAAGATACATGGACGCCTTGTATTGAAGAAGCGTGCAGAGACATGTTCAACTATGCCAGCTCAAAGGTGAAGATCTAGCCAGGTGGACTTGTCCGAGAGAAGTATACGCTCAAGTCCAGACGGGCATCGGTTCCGAATCGTCCTTCCCTTAAAAGAGCTGCGTATCAGACTTGGGATCCTCGGGGTGTTCAGGGCCTACGGGTCGCTTCTCGAACATTGCCAGGCAGTCGTCAAGAGTCGCCGTACCCTTCTCGACAACTTTCTCGCAATATTTTTCGGTGCCGCAGTAAATCACGGCGTTGTATGGTCTGCGAAGACCATACCTCCCACAAGAATGACCGTCGTGGACGGCCCGCTCCATCCAAGGAATCAAACCTTCCTGTGGCCCTTCAGCATTTTGCTGACCATCTGGCGCGGGCTCACGATCCTTGAGACACGCCTCCTGTGTCGGGTATGACTGGTTGTGCCCAAGCTCCCAGTCGATGGCAGCGGCAGTATAGAGGCAAAAGTACGGGGTGCCGCAAATCTTTTCGTCAAGAACGCGGCCACCCAGGCCTGTGGCTGCGCATTGCAGATTACGAAACCTGTGCGGCTTGCCAAGGTAATAGGGCAGTAGTTCTGCACGCTTCGATTGCTTCTCAAGGAGAGGTGTGGCCAGAGAAAGGCTTGCGAGGGAGGCAAGTAAGAGGGAGCTCTTGATGGAAGCCATGATGGGTAGGATGAAGATTGGTAATGATGATGGTCTGTAGGCTGGCCATGGAAATGGGAATGAATAAAAACTAGACACAAGTTGCCTGGTAAAGGATAAATAGTTGGATGTGAAGTGAGGGCAGCAATATGGCTTTCTATTCGAGGGAGTCTCCCATTTGTCACGAGTACAACAAGAGATTTTATTTTCATGTACAGGGATAATACCTTGCACGACACGTAACTTTTATCATGCTTTTATTACTAAAGACGCTCTTGCATGATCTCTATAAGCTTTCTTGCCGGGTCAATGATAGCTAAACCTACTGTGATTGGATTGTGTTACTGACACTTACTCGTGTATAGTAGCTTGGTTTATGCGGCTGGTAGGGATATACTATTAAATGCAGTATACACGCTAACCCCTGTTTAAGTACTTACCCGTGACTTTATAAGAGGGTATATAATAAATAAAGTAAAGGCAAGGGGAGTAAGTACTTGATTTTTAAGAGAAAAAGCCAGAAAGTTAGTACTCTTACCAGGATTTATTGATACCGCTATAAATATCCTTGTAAGTTACTCAATAACTACTCACCTCTCATGCTCTATTAACCTTGTCAGGTGACGGGTTATGAATCAAACAGGGGTTAGAATATATACGAAACACAGCAGTCTTTGAAGAAAAGGAGACAAGCCTGCCAAGTTAGAAACGAGTAAGCCAGTTAATGCAACGGCCAGGGTCCCCGCGTAAACCGGCCAGGCGGCACTATTACTACTTGCACTGTTAGTGAACATCCCATGTCGTTCTCTTCAACTGTGCTATTATTTTTAGTCGCGCCTACATGTAGAGACAGGTGGGGCCAGTTCTTTACAAGCACCAGACTATACATAACGTCTTGACAAGCCCACATGTATTTTTGTAAGTCAGTTTTGACGGGGTTTAATAAAGGGTTCAAACAATTGCCGTGACCCTAAGACGCTAGCCATTTTGACGGAAATTAAAGGGCTACCAAAAAAGGCTATTTCGCAGCTATTGCTAGCTGGCTTTAAACTCACCCAGTTTTCAATGCGACTTGCTGACTCGTAGCATATAAGGCATGAATGTCTTATTAATGCATGTAGTTTCTAGTGGGCTATATCCCACTATCCCCCTTACCCTTGGACTAATAAGGCCCATGTCCACGAGTCAGCTATTGCTGGGGCTCAAGCAGGATTGCTGCCTATTGCATATCCGTGAAGATTACGTCGCTGCTATGATGTGTGGTGGCTACTGCTTTTGATTACACGATTGTCCCGGAACGCCAAATACGCGCGGCGATAATAATCCTCACTATTTCTTATATACGTAGGCGGAAGGCTTTTCTGACAGGGATTTCATAGAGATAGGCTGCTCTGATAAATAAGCAAATGATGCAGAACACGTCTGCACATATATATAAGTTTATTATTCCTGTCATCTATTTTGTTTGGTTTGTGCTCTCAGTTGCCACATGCTCGACTAGGTCTTCTTCTCATCATTGTTACTGCCACTGTCTGAACTCTAAAGGCTTTCTTCCACGGAGCTGTCTGGCTTGGGGCTCCAGCTAGTTTCGCCTCTGCCGCCTTGGTTCAACATTCTCACCAGGGAGCCAAGAAAGGCATTCTAGCTCCACTTCCCCGCCGTCTGATGAGTCGGCCTTCTTTATGAGAAGACTGGTGTTGACCCTTCGACTCTTCTATGAGGATACATCCCGAGTGCAAGCGGCATAAAAAAAGCTCGTCAGCTGTCAGACTCCTGGTCCTCCTCGCTCTCAGTAACGTCTTCCTCGGATACATCTGTCCCCAAGTCTCTCCGGTAATCGTGCCACTGAATTTTCGCCGCGGCTTCTTGAGCGGAGCTGCATTTCTCAAGGTCATGCTGCATGAGCCCTTCCATCACGCTTAGGAGACAAGTCAATGCCTCGTAGTCGTCTTTCACGTGGTATTCGTCGTCGTCACTCTCATAGGTCTTTTCTGCGTGGGAAATAATGGCCAACCTGCGCGGCTCAAAACTTTGGTCAAGACGTTTGAGTGCGTTGTCCGCTATCATCAGCATAAGACAAACGTGACAGTGATATAAGCCACGGCCAAGAAGAACTTATGTAATGGTTCGTCCTCGGGACTTTCCTCTATCAATTTCAACCACAGCGTGTGCCACTTGGGTGGCAACGGACCGATGACCTGTGTCTGCTTTTGGATATCCTTGGCATCGCAAGAGGAGAACCCAAATGGTGAGCTTTGATGGAATAATGTGTAGATCTAGAAGTGAGACCTGGTAAGGCTACCAAGTCTGCAAGTCGGAAAGAGACGTAATACAAACAGGCAGACTTACCATGCAGCCTACCCTCCACAAATCGTGCCGGTAGTCGATTGAACCGACGAAGAAGGCCTCGGGGGATTTCAGATCGCAGGGTTGAGCAAGATGAGTTGCCGTTGCCGTCTCACTCGTGGGAAAAGATTCCCCCCAGTCTACCAACCTGACGTCCTCCATTGCGTAATCATACCAACCATTCCAGGAAGCCGCGCTCACGATATGCTTTGAAGGGTGGCTTGGCAACGGTTCGGTCGCCGTGTACTCGGCGACGATGGGACCCCCCCCCCCGGGATCTCTTCATGTTCGTCGTCGTTTTCGAGCAGCTGGCAGCATGTGAAAGCCACATTTCCTGAAGATATGTCTGCAAATTTTAGTCTTCGAGTCTCGGATCATGTGGGCAAGGGGATGAATAACAAACGATACTTCCATGTACAATCCCGTACTCTTGAACCATATGAATTGCCTCTAGGAGCTGTCTAGAGGCCCTTAAAATGGTATCGGGGCGAAAAAGCTCCTGAATTTGATAATCATTGTAATTAGCCACCAGATGAAATAATGTTGGCCAGAGGAGTTCGGTGACAACGCAGGTGTGCGTGCCGTTTCGTCCACGGTGGTGGAAACTGTCCAAAAGCCGAGCGAAACACGGTGGGCTTGATGAATTGCTCGATACATAATTCTGCTCGAGAACTCTCAAAGCACTGATTTCTTTGTCATCGTCCAAAGACGTCGTCGAGACGTAGGCCTGTTTAATTTTCAACGAGGTCCAACGCCTGCGAGAAATCAGTCTCGCACACTGAAGAATAATCCGCTTGCTTACCCAACGTCGTTGTCTCTCGCCAGCCAGACGGTCGAAAATCCCCCGTGTCCAAGCTTATTTCTGACTGTATACCGACCGTTGTGAAAAGTATCGCCAAGCGCTACTGGGCGAAACCCCCCCGGAACATAGCGCTCAATTCGCCATGGGGCAATACCTGTACAATATGTTTATACTCGTCCCACCAGCCATAACCAACAGCGTATTTCTGGGGAGGCGGCGGTGGCTCCTTTGAGACTTCAGCAGGCATCGTCGGCGAGATTGACGGGGACAAGCGAGAACCGCGATGCGTCAAGTTGGATGTTCTGGAGGGGGGAAGGACAGAGGCAGAGGATGCGAAATTCACATCTTGACCAGGAGGTACCAATGTACCAATGTACCAATGTCCCTAATACGTTTTTGTACAACAACAAACGACGAAATCAACATTGCAACCAACAACGAAACACGTACTCCCTGCTTCACCAATTACGTTCCAAGTTTGTTCAAAAGACTATCCAATAGTAGAACTACGACGTAGACAGACTTTAATGAGATATATTTGCCTGATTTAATATCTAGACATGCCGCAGTATACAAAAAGCAGTACATGTATGTATGTATCTCAGTACTCATGATTACGTCGCATCAAGATAAGCGCTAATACAATACTCTGACAGAACAAGCATCAGAAGACAGAGTCTCGTAACATCGAATTAAAGTCCGGTGACATATGTACTGATCTCAAGTCGATCTATGCTCGGCCCGTGCATTGCATTTGCAGCTTGTTGGTCATGTATGCCCAGTCGTGGCGCGGAGAATATCGAGTTCCCAAGCTGTTTGTCGAGGCGACTCATGTTGCGGGCAGGGGCTGCGGCCGCCGCAGGGCCATAGTCGTCATTATTAGGCAGCCTGAAATGACTAGCCTTGCTTGTACGGCGCTTGGACGAGCCGGTCTTTGAGGCACTGCTTTTCGACGAACTTCCCTTAGATGTAGCATTTTTGGATGAGCTGCCCTTGGACGAGCCGCTCTTTGTACTGTGACCGCCCTCAGAAGGAGGATCCTTCGTATTTCCCTTGATTTTTTTTTTGCGAGTGAGCTTTATTCTGCTTGTTCGAAATTTGTCGTCTGGTCCAGGCCTCGCTGTAGAAAAAGACGCTTCTGGACGTTCCGGTCGAGAATGGTACATAGGTGTAGATCTGTAGATCCATCGTTCATGAAAAGGCGGTCATTGGTGAGCTGAATACCATAGTGTCGGATACCGACATAGCTGTAAGGATCCGCAAGCGCAATTGATCCATGAAGCCCGGTTCTAGAAATATTCGACCAGCGGTCGGCTAAGAGGACGAAACAAACGGGGGCAACACTCACACCACAATGGCTCTGGTGAACTCCCATCGGCGCCCAGTTGCATCGTCATCTTTAATATCCCAGTAGAGAAGATATAAACAGCTTAAAAACTCGGTTACGATAGAAACGAAGGACCAGGCTAGTAAAACAACAGAGCAAAGGGGATTATAACTACTAATAGCGAAAGCGCAGTCACGGAGCACACAAGCACCACGCAGTCTTTCCTCCCACCCATAAGGCATATTCGAGTCAGATCATCTGGTTTCCAGTCATGACATTGAATCCATGCACGGATAAAAAGCTGGTCTTAACCGAAAGCGCTAGTGAGCGTTTCTTGTATGCCAATGATATCGTGGGATGCAAAGGGGGAGGGCATGCATGGTGTTGCTCTGTCGCATAACACCAACAGTGCGCAGTATTTGGATCACCTGAACAACAGACAGATGCGGGGTGCAGAATTCCTCGTCAAAACTCAGTTTTACCTCAGGAGCGTGGAGTTAACAGTCAAAAGAAGACATAACTACTGTCTCAGGCCACGCTGCCAGCATGTACTGTGTCGATGGGGCGGCCGCATTGCTATCACGGCAAAGCAGGAGCCAGTTCTCCGCGGAGACGAGTTGATTTGAGCTACAAGAGCATCCTCCATAAGTTGTAAAACAACTCAAACACGTTCAATGCAAGGCCTGCATGCATGACTATGGTCAAAGAGTCAGACGTGTTGGAATTGTCGCTTGTTGGTTGATGATGAGGCAGAATCCATGAATACAAGGCGGAACATGTAACTGGACCAACAGGGAGGGGACAAGAAGTGGTCCTGACGCTCTGAATCCATTTTTCAGGGCGTTGGATGAGAAGTGCATCAACTGGCTGTGGTCATGTTCCATGAGTTGACACTTTGTTGGTTGTCCTTCAGAAGCGCGCAATACGCTTCATCATGAGTCACACACTGCTATATTCCAAGGCCCTGGAGGCTTATAAAAGACCTGTAATACTGATTTAAATAGTTGCAGTGATCTATGCATTGCCGCCGGTTCCAGCAGCTGCGTAGCTTAACTGTAACTGCAGGTGATGGAGGCGGGTTCATGAATATTAAACCGCTTAGCGCGTTCCTTTCGAGATCCAAAGTCATCACAGCTATCCACGAGTCCGGCATTCGAATAATCAAGCAAACGAAATTCATGCTATCAAGAATGAGAATTCCCCAGAAGAGACGGCAATTTGGCGACATGGCCGCAGCTGCAGAATTCCAGGCAACAGCGCAGGCCAAGACAGGCATATCTGGTTGCCTGCTAGGAATAAAGGAGGTGATGGCTGAATCAAGTGTATAATGTAGCCCGTCGGCCAATCTGGTTCCAAATAGTTTACTCAGCCGCAGTTTGATGTAAAATTTCGCACTTTCTTGCCTTATTTTCCTGAGTGTTTCGTTCTGCTCCTACGGGAGGGGGCTATTTTCGCAAAGCCTGGAATTTCAGGAGAGCTAAATATAAGTATTAGATGATGGGTGCAGAGATTTTGTCTTGAGCCTCAATGAAAATTTGACACGTCATTATTTCGACATCCGCCGAAGACGACAGATAAGTCATCCAAACACAAAGACTAGCTGCCGTGCGACGCAGGAAAGCCCAAACGCCATGAATTTCCCTAGAAATTCTTTATCTGGAAAATGCAGTACCTTCGATGAAGCATCGCTGAACGACTCTGACGCCACTAATATGTAAATTACTAACACGTGCGTTAAGAGCATCTTCTTGAGACGGGACAGTAATGGGAGTACCGGTTAGGAGCCACGAAGAAACATTTGAGATACGAAAGTGCTCAATAAACTTTCCGTCAACTCATGACGGATTTGGTAAAGGGGTCAGCGTGCCGAGAACATGGGAAAGTAAACGCGGTGATTGATAGTGTCTCTTGCAGTCCCACCGCACCTGTAAGCCGAGCACTCGTAGGTAAAGAGGAACGGTTAAGCCCTAACCTCGGACCCCAGGACAGTGGCATGGATCTTACTAGATATACTACAGAAACTCAGTATGCCTGTTTACAGAACCGCGTGTTCCGTACCTTTGGTTGAACAGCCTGTAATTGTGCTACAGTTTAAACTTGTCAGCCAAGAAGGAGGTATAGCGGACATTGTGTCTCGGGTACCAATGGAGGGATCCTGGATTACCTTTATGGCCATTTCAATCAACAGATGTCGAAATTCCTTGGTATTTAAACAATGGCTGAAAACAGAGTTTGCAACAAGGACAACAACAAGGGCATTGGTTTTCTGAAGAAGCGCAGTTAATAATAGGTCTCATAACGTGACAGCTATGTTTTAAAGTTATATTTCCTAGCAGTAAGTTGTGATAACATGACATTCAGACCACTGTCGAGAGAAGGCCAAGAAAATAAAACGAGCCCCGTCTTGCCAGGCTTCAGGAACGCCCACGTGCAAGGCATCTTCGCGAGTCCTCACCCAGGCAAGGCATAAAGTTCCAGACACGTCTTTAAACTCGAAGCTTGGAGCCCACACACTGCTCAACACCATCAAAGCTTGTGACCCTTGTCAGGCGTCGGCGTGCAAGTCTGTTCAGAACTTAGCATCAACAGGGGAGCCCCCCATGTTTTCGTGAATGAAAGAGATGTAGCGGCCGACTCTGGTAAACAACGTGGGAGCCTGACCACAAAAGTCGCCATTCTTATCCCGTATGCCCCATGACGTGACACCGATTACCTGTTTCGTTTCCTCGTCGATAAGAGGACTGCCACCGTCATATAGGCATCCATTCTTGCCCTTTCCACCAGCGCAAATGACTGTATCTCTGTCACCTACGTCTGCATCCATCTTCGCACAGACTTCGCGTGCATGGATAGGAATAGAAACATTGGCCATGAACTCTGCTGCCTCGGCCAAGAGGGCGAACATGGGTTCTTGCTGACCCCTTTGGTTTTTATTAGCTTCTTTCGTGGCAGGACTGCGCTTCAATGTTTATAGCAGCACTCACCAGCCTGCAACGGTGGCCATGGAGCCGACCACAGGATCTGAACCGTCTTCCGCTAGCGTTGCATAGCTAATATTGTTGCCTATCTCAATGGGACGTGACAGTTTGATGATGCCAATATCGTTATCAGCGAAGGGAAGAGCAGGGTTCCGCTTATTTAGTTTATAATCGGGGTGTGGCTTTCGAGAGGCAATTTTGGCCTCTGTTCCGCCAGCCCTGTGTTGCTATATACGTCATTGTTAGCTTCGTCAATGCGTCCCATAGCCCCTGGGGGCAGACTTACCAGCGATCCCGCTCTCACAGAGACGCTTCCCCGAAGACAACTGGCAGCGGTAAGCACCGTAGTGCTATCTAACAAAGCGCCTCCGCAAATTCTATTCGTCAGGGTGATACTAACAACGAATGGGAAATCGCCATCCTTGGCGTCTTCGCCGCCGACGATTCTCCTGTCGATACTGGCCGCTGTTGCTGAAAAAGCCGACAGCACGACGGCCAGTGTAATAGCAGCCTTGGATACCATTGTGATGGTTGACTTCAGGTGTCTCGAATAATGGGGTTGTGGACGAGAAATGAACAAGTATTTGCTGATGGGAGATTTGTAACGGTTTGGATAGGCAGCTACTTATATATGTATTCTCGCGAGACCATGTACAACAGAATATTCGGCAACAAAAGACGATGACAAGACTGAGGAATACAGCCCAGAATTACTGACTCGCAAGTATAATGCATGATTTAAGCATAATTTAATATGCTAGGCTTGCCTCAAGCGAGCTGCATAGGCCACCTCGATGGACATTGTCAGTGGATATAGGTGGCGAAGGGGACAAACTGCATGAGTCAAACCCTCTCAAGACGTGACGATTTTTCTATTGAATTCGGCACAGAAATGAAAAGGCTAGCCCAAGTATCGCTTTAGCTGCGCAATAGCTCGCGGAGACTCGCTTACCAAAGAAAATCGTATGGCAGAGAAGTCTCCTCGAGCAACTCCGCAGCTAAAGAGATCCAGAGAGGAGAGGGATCACATGATCCCCCTTCCCTGTGCTCGGTCGGTGATGATATATATTAACTGCAAGGGGTGAATATCAGGTACTGCTGGGCGTGGCTAGTTTTCACGCAATAAACTATGCTCAATTGTTCCCTGAGGCGTAAAAAATCTCCATTACACATAAGCAGAAAAAGTGAAGGCCTACTGAAATCTTCCGAGCCGCTCTACTAGTAGCTCATATTCCACGCAACACACTTTCTCAGGGAGCGTTCTCTACTAGCCAGTCGACTGAGCCGTAGTAGCTGTATTATGTCTGTTGCTTTATTGACGCCAGGTTGGAAAGTGTCGTTGTGTGGCAAACCTTACTGATATAGTATCAAGGGCAAGCATGCTAGTCATTGCAGCCCGCTCTTAATCAAACAACTACTGGGCTCTTGTCTCCAAAATACTCCGATCTAGTATTCTCCATTTATTAACCTTTTTAGGTTGCGGGTAGTTAATGAAACGGGGGTTGGAGTCAATATATGTGGGATGCCGAATCCTACCAGACAGGTACTAGTGTATTTGTCATGAGAAGGTTTGTGAATTATGCACGTTCCATGTGGGTGAGTTGGCTTAGACGCCTGATGTGCTTCATAAACCACATGCCAGGCAATATCTGTGGAATGAATTGCTCCGCCAGGAGAGCACTTTTCTTGCGTGACGCTGCCTTGTCGACGTTCAGCCCGTCGTTGGCTAGTAACTGGACCTCTTCATTTGACCGCTTTGCCTTGCCATACGGGAGGGGCTCTGGACAGGGAACATGGATACTTGGCGGGGATATTACGACTGGGCTCTACGAGCTGAAATTATAAGCGAGCTTTGACAGTTTGCGCCGCGTGAGACGATGCAACCCGCTGAGGGCGAGTTCAAAATTAACCGGCCACTTGTCAGGTTTGCAAGTGTAAGAGCGATGGGTGTTTGCCTAGACTGAGATGGCAGAGATGTAAGCATGGGTGGAAAGGTTTGTTTAGTTTGAGCTCCTTACATTAGAAGCGACAAGTTTTCTACATCGGCCTTTTTCAACGCACACCCCTCTATATTTTCTAATTTTCCATGCATGTGGCCTTTTTATGCGACTGGTAGCCCCAGAAAACAAGCACAGCCGAAGACACATTGGGGGGGGCAGAGGATGAAGTCGAAGCTTGCCGTGTCCTTCTCCCCCGTATCACCTTTGGCGCCAGAGTCTGGCTAGTCAGCCTGCCGACAACTAGGCGAGTCCCATTGTGAGAAGATTCCATGAAGACTACGTATTTCGCGGATTGATAGCTTTTGATCCGAGTGGTCATCGGGTTTGACCACTGAGCCACGGGGCAAAAACTTTCAGCAATGGCGACACATGGCCGAATATCCCTGATATCCAGCTTATAAGCGCTAGTGCATGAACCTCTCGGCCGCCTCCTCCGTCTATGACCTCTGACAGTCATGGATATCCTTGCTAGCTTGAACGCCAGTCATACTATCTGCAACTGTGACCAAGTTTCGCTGCTTGACTGGCGATATCGACTCATGGCCAGAAGAATATACTCTCATACTCATCTTGAGTGGACACGCCGAGGGCTGACGCGGCCAGTAAAATATATTGAAACATAGCACCAGCCAAAAAGATAGAAAAAAAGTCCTGCATGTCCGTGAATGACGTGACTCGGTTATGAGAACATCTCGACGCAGTTCTCAGCGGCAATTGAACGGCTGGAGCACGTGGTGGTGCTCAAAGAATTTACTGCCCTAAAATCAAGCAATTCGCGTCTTGAAAGTCAACCGGTCACTTGGAAAGCCGGGTGTTAAGTCAGACCAAGTATTCACAAATATAGGTGTGGCAAATAGCACAGCCTTGACCAGTCAGGCACGAGGCTGATGTGGCATGACGTTCGTATGAAACCCCTGCCGATAAGTTGGAATACTCCATTGTCGCAAGCTAAGAAATCCAGAACATGTCGCTGCAGCACCAGAAGTAAATAATGCTAGAACTCGGTTTACCTATTCCGTCATTCCGCAGGTGCTGGTGCTTCCATGCCACTTTTTGGGTTCATGAATAAACAAATTCCTGAAGTTTAGTCTGTATGCTACTTGCTAGTCCCTAAATCCCCTTCGCTTGGTTTTGCAGGGCAGCGTCTTCACGCCACCGCTACATATGTAGTTTCTATTACCAATACAATTCAACTATACAGGACACAGGATTATCCAGTACAGCAATACAATGCTTTCCCGAGAACGGCAGCTAACCAACCACACCTGGTCGCGTTCTACCACAATTTAGTTCACATTCAATCTATTACCCAGCGTATCGGGCTCTTTCCAAGAATGCCATTTCCTTCATGAATCCTTGTGAAATCAGTATTCAGCACAACTTCAAGCCTGCAGCTGCTACACGGAAAAGGCCCAGCAACTACAAAGGGGCTTCACGGACAAAGGACCTTTTGCTTACACAGATCAAACACATGACCGGGCAGAAGCCTCAGGCACAGACGTTCCCTTCATGTGTATACAGTGGCATGGAAAACCAAGGACCTTTGACACCCTTCGAGTTGATCATTGAATTGAACCCTTGTCACAGCGGTATCCCACGAATGGAACCAGGGTTGCAATCGATACAGGAACAGAGACCGTGACTAGTATTTATCTTGTCATGAAACTACAATACACCGTTTCAAGTGATAAATGAAGACGATGGGGTCGCGGCGGGGATGTTTGCAGAATAGCGGTATCGCTACTAAAGAATACCAGGTTAGGGAACTCGGCGCGACTGGTTGAAGGGCACTACAACGCTGCAGAGTGTTATAAACGCACGCGAGGAGAGCTGATTCGTCTCAATACGAAACCATTAATGAGAATGGGAGCCAAGACTTGGGCGATTTATACGGGCTGTTAATCAAGGCTCCAGCAGTTAGGAGACGCATATATTTATATCAATATCTATAATAATAATAGGAGCAGTATTTTCTACCACCTCCCTTGTGCCATGAAGTCTTATGCGTAGCATGCACAAAAGTATAGAAAGCAACAAGAACGCCCACGAGGTCCTTGACGATAGCGCTCCGGCATTGTCGCCAATTCCAAACCTCGGTCCAAACGCGCCGTCCCGGCGATGGCGTAAAAGCACTATCGCCGTCGAGAAAATGCACATGCTCGTCTGACAGCGGGTATAAACGCTGATGGGTATCATAACAAAACAATGCAGAGTGAAAAAGATGTAACATCATAGGTTTTGAAAAAAAAAAAGGGAGATTACTGCACCAATGATGGCGTAGGAGCGTTGTCACCGCTACTCTCGGCGCCTTCGGGCTGCTGCTGCTCGGCTAAGCCGATTAGAAGAGACTATGGCGAAGGATGGGCCCTCTTGCTGATGACCGAGACTGTTGAAGAGGTTGGTCATTATCCCCCGAAGTGTCAAGCTCGATGGTTGATGCGCTTCTCGTCTGGCAGCACCGTCCTCAGGCTCGTTCAATACGTCGTTGTCAAGCTTCGTGCTAGGCGGGTTACCAAACATTCGCAGCAGCACCGCCATGACTAACGCGCTGGCGATGCTGAGACCCAGAATGCCAACCATGACAAGGTTGCTCTTGCGGAACCGGTGCCGGCCTTCCATCGCATCTTCAGGCCAGCCTGCGTAGAGGGCATAGGTTGTTGTTATGCTACCCAAGTTTCCCAAGCCCGAAACAAGGGCCGTGGCTGCGGCGACTCCGACCTCGCCGTGTCGACGCTGGAAGGTTTCGGAGGTCCATGCCATGCAAATCGGCACCGTAGGGCCAAGGCCGAAGCCGACCATGAGCAGACCGCTGTATCGGGCCCATCCGTCAACGGCGAATGTGGTGACGAGGAGCCCGGCAATTTGGATGCAGGCTGCGGCGGAGAAGAAGGCGGCTCGGAGGCGGTGGAAGCGGTCTGAGAGGGGCGTGACAATGATGATTGCAATGAGATCAATCTGGGACAGTTAGCAGATTGTTCCCGGGGCGGCGGGTAAATAGACCAACTTACGATCCAAATGGGTGCAAACAGTAAGCTTACTGTAATTGCACTTGCCGTGGGCTGAATTGCCGCGATAATGACGGAGCCGTATAATTGGGTTCCAATACCGACACCAACGACTCCAAAGTACATTAGCGTCAGAGGCCACAGTCGCCAGTCTAGGAGTACCTCGACAAGATCCCTGATTGTCCACGGCCTGGGGTGGTAGACTCGACGCAAATCTTGATAATGAATAGTTGCATCATCTCCGGTGAGAGCCTCGGGCGAATGTGGCAACCAGCTAAGCCATTTTGACCGGTGTCGCACCTGTCCGGGAGCCAAGGGACGATCGGGCAGCCACCAGAGCAGCGTGAAGCTCAAGACAATACCAACCAGTCCGTAAATTAGGAACATCCAGCGAAAGCCAGTCAGCCCGCCAAGACTATCCATAAGCTGAAAACCTGCCGATACAAGACCAACGACGGCGGCAGATACCTGTGAGGCAGTAAAGTACATGCCGATTCTCTTGCCTGTCCTAGAGGGAGGATAGAATAGGGTCAGGTAATAGGCCATGCCGGGCCACATACCGGCAATGACCATGCCGAGCAAGAACCGCAGCAGCTTCAAGCTCCATACACTTTGAACTGCCGCGAAGCAGGTCCCAACAAGACTGGTGGCAAAGACGATTCGGGCCATCCACACGCGTGGATTGAGTCTGCTCATGACGAGATTGGACGGGAGGTCGAAGATGACATAGGAGACATAGAACAGAGCCAGGGCGGTTGACGTGTCTTTGGGTGTCATGTGCAAGACTGACATGAGGTCGTGGCGGTCACTGACGTTCATGGTCTGCGCGATGCCAATGTTAGAACGGATGGCCGAGCACAAAAAGTAGAGACACCAGAATGCTACATCATGGTCAGCCATGGTTCGACGAGACAGATGCGATGACCTACGTGGAATAATCCTCCAGTCGAGTTTCCTGGTCGTTGCAACAGGCAGAGGTCAGTATGCATGGCCGATTTCGGGATGGAGGGAGACTGAGTCGGCTGGCTGACCTGTACACTCGTTCCACCGTCTCAACATCATAATCGTATTGCTGCAACTCGCCGTGATCCTGACGGCTTCCTGCCTGGGAGAAGTCGCCGACGGCTACGCTGCCCGCATCAGCTGCCTTGACTCGGAGGGCAGATGGCTCTGCGGCCGAGCCTGTGGCCGTCTGCCATGGAGCCATTGCGGCCGATGCAAGGCTAATTGATGCGTCAAGTGTTCAGTTGGTGCAACTGACTCTAGACGGAGTGTACCGCCAGGTCAATATCTGCACGAGCGGGCAAGTTGCAGCAAACGAGAAGAAATCGTGAGCCGAACAGCATCTAGTTTCCAAATGGCAAGGTGCACATCCCTTTGAATGTGCGCAGGTCCAATTGATGTGTTCAACCCACTTCTTTGATGATACTTGAAGATACTTAAAGATGCTATATTATTAGGTATAATAAACTAGTATATTTTTATATACCTATGTATCTTTAAAATCCTAGTTACTTATTATTGGCCAGAACCCTGGCCCGTTGCAAAAATTGGACCAGACCAGATTGCGCACATTCAGAGGCATGTGGGGTCCTCCTGCCTGCGGCTTACCAAGGTACTTTGGTACTTGAGTAGAATCAATAGCCGAGTGATGTAGTACCAACCGCAAAATACACCAGACATTGAAAATTCCACTTCACAGTTATTCCTCATTCAATTATGCAGTAATGAGTTGATAGGAGTCGCCCTCCCGACTGAGTTCATTTGCGCTGAACCGCCCGGCGCTCACTATCGACCACCGACACCATTAACCAGGCTGAGCCGTGACGAAGCCTTCATCAAGGCAACCTAAACAGCCCAGATCGGCGACTCACGAAACAGTACTAGCTAGCTTCAGAATCTCAGCGGCACTTTCGTCCGGCTTTTCCATATTGACCCAGTGTCCAGCCCCGGGCACGAGTGTCGCGCCGCGCCAGCACTCCGGTTCAACGCTGACGCCCTGCTGCATTGCCTCGAGTCCCCCGGGAACCTGATACGTGCCCCAGTCGCCGAGGCCAGAAACGTACTTGGTGGGCATCTTGAGCTTCAGTCCAGCAAGACAGGATAGATCCCCGGAGAGCTCGGGGTCGGTCAGCACGCGATACCAAAGCAGCGGGCCCCTGAACGTGGTACGGGCGTACTCTTGCTCGTAAACGTCGACATCTGCATCAGTCAGCCACGGCGTGAGATGTAGCTTGGCTGCCGTCTCTTGAGGTTCCTCCGACATGTCCAGGGCAATGTTTTCTCGCATCGTCTGGTGCGCACGCATGACGTAGTAGTGCGGGAGGATGGCCAGCTCCGTCGCCGTCCAAGACGCCAGCGGCCGAGGAGGAATCTTCTGTACGTGAGCGCCAGATTTCAAGTGAAAGTAACCCCTGAGGAAGTCTCGCAGAGGCTGACCGGTGGGATATGTCCATTCATCTGATGCCGCAGCCGAGGCATTATACCACTTGTAATGCTTGCGCGGGGGGTCAAGCCTGCCCAGCGATGTATGCACGTCCGCGTCCTTGTTCTGTTCCCAACGAGGCATTTTTGGTGATTCAACTGCTGCAGCTAGTGCGTCTGCGGGCGAATTGCCAAAGGGGGTGGCTGCGATGCCTTTCCATGTGTGCGCCATCAAAAGCAGCGACCCGACCATGTCCTGTCGCATCAAGGCAGTGATGGAGGCCATGTACGCGCCAAGATCGTGGCCTACAAGAGTGTGAATCTTTGCGTAGCCCAGGGCGTGGACTAGAGTGACTACATCGCGGATTGCGGCCAACGGCCGGATTGCCTCGTCGCTGATACGGCTTGAATCCGCATCGTGGGTGCGGCCAAAACCTCTCAAGTCAAAGGCGACGGCATAGTAACCGGCGTCGGCTAGCTTCGGCAACACGAATCGCCAGTCATACGAGAGGTTTGGAAAGCCATGGAGTAGTAAGATCAATGGCGGAAGCCGTCGGTCGGCGGCCTCGAAATTTGGAGCGGGAAGTGATTCAAGAATGTGGAATCTAAGTCCGGCCGGTGATGTGTCGACGAACCGAGAGGCAACGCCATCGGGTAGACGCCAAGGCGGAAGTGTCGTGGGATCCATGACCAAGATCAATGTTCGCGATGAGTGTGTATGTTGTATCTCGAAATGTTTTGGACGTGCGCAAGGGGTGAAAGGGCGGAAAAGAATATCATGAAACAAACCGTGTCGGAGGTGCAGGTGCATGTGAGATGACATCGGGCTTTTAGCACCAGCCGCGGTAAACTATCCATGCTTACACACCAAGTCGGCGTCGTTTGCACTATTCTCACCAACTTTTTGGATATTGTATTCGCATCACATGATGGAGGAATTGCTCTCTATTCACATAATGTTAGTTTTACAGAAACGGTTTTTTTCATCGTGACGAATTACCGGCCGACCAACACCCAGGCCCCCGCCCCGTGCACTGGTAAGAAGCCGGCCTCAGCCAGCTGGCATAATTGAATAGAATACGGCATCCATCATGGTGTCCTTGAGAGACGAGTTGGCCTATTCAAGCACCTATACCGCGGTACACAGTACCACAGATGTAAGCCATAAGTTTGGTAGTGCCAAGGCCCAATCTGCAGCAATGCCCATCTCGGCGACTCCAAAATTCTACCGCTTCAGTGGCCAATTTTGATGTCATAACATGCATCTCATCCCGAGGTGCATGTCTCCTTATCTTGAAGGCTGACCTCCTCCAAGTCGAAAGTAAGATGCCTCACCTCGGTGATGGTAGTACTAAAGAAAGCTTGCATTCTATGCGATGCGCAGGGCGGGAGGGCGGATAGGGCGAAAAGAATAAACCCTTGAACCACGGGTGCCACGGCCTCCAAAAGGAAAGTGAGGCGTCGCGGATAACACGTCAAGGCCTCCCCATCCTCTCTTCTCGATACAACGACGCAGCAGGGCAAGGCAGCATGTGCTGCAAACCCTCAGCCACACGCACAAGTGACTGGCTCTGGAGCAACGTTGGTGCCTGGACGGCTGGCTCTTATATTGGGCCGAGACCAAGCTGCTGGTCTGGGTAAAGATCCGAGACTCTGTCGACAAGTCGAAATACACTTGGAACCATGTGTATCCCTCTAGTCGATCGCAACCACAAACGAAACATATTGGATGGCTGCGCTAGGCGAGAAAATGCGCCTATTGCCACTGCGATGGCTGATATTTTGACTGGCGACTAATGCGACTTCGTCCCATCTACGTACATTTCGCGATGAGATGTTTGCTCAACTCATAGCCAGCAGCATTGTCAGTATGCTTTCGATCCGACAGGCGAGACGACGGCATGGCCAGATTGGGTATCCGTTTGCCCGTTATCATGTTTTGATGCCATGCCATCCGGTTCTTGTACCCGATGCAGCGAACAAGTCCTGTTAGGGGGTTAATAAGATACTTACCAACAGAAAAAACGACTTCTGAACGCGTGTGATAGTCACTGTACATCTGCATGCGTTATTCCCGGATACACGGTGAAGACACCTAAAGCCCCAAGGCAGCTCCTCCTTGTCAAGTCAACGGAAAAATTGCATCACAATCCCACATCGGTCCAAAGGATACAACGAATAACGGGAATGAAGCGGTTTAGAGTGCCTTTGGTTCAACATCATATTCGATATAGTGGCTACGGCATCGCCAATAAAAGGGCACGTATAGGTCCAGGATGGACCGACGTCCATGTGCAATTGCATCCACTTCAACGTGAAACACGCAAACAATGCGGAGAACTGTCAGGCCGCATCAGGCAGGAACATACCTTCCGTCGCCGGACATTTCTTATTGGCATCTCACGACTTTGCTGCCTTGGACGCCCGAGACGCTTCGGGCATGCGGGTACGAGATCCCCGTCGCAGACCAAGAAACTGGATTTCAGGGCTCCCCGAGGATGCTGTTGCATCATGGATCTGCAGGTTAACCAGTGAGCACCTGTAGCACCGCGTCTTGATCAGGAGGACACCAGTGGTGCTTGGTATCACCATGTGAGTGACTCGTCCGAGTTTCGGTGTCGGTCGGACACAGCCCAATGCCTTTTCCAAACGCATCGCTGAGAGAGTTCGTCGTGATTCGAACTTGTAGACTTATCTATTCCAGGTCGTCGGCGAGCCTACTAGGCAGTGACCAAGCACAGACGATGGTTGACAGGGAGTGGTGCCTTCAGCCATGGTCCAAACCACTTTCGCAATAGGTCACACCACCATCAGACGGCGACCCGATCACATGGACGAAATGCATCGATCGGCTGTGGCATACAACGTGGCCCAGTCAGAATTTCTTGTCGCCCGATAGGAGAAGCCTCACGATACAAAGGGATGCCAATAGTCAGAAGTCTCCTTTGCCCGAACTGGTTCGCCGTCATGGTGATGACCCGCCCGGTGTGCCGACACGAACAACAGTCCTAGCTCACGACGCCTTTCGCCTCAGCCCAACAGTTGGGATTTGTTAGACTGCCTGGTAACCTGCGATAATTCTGTCAGTCATGGCTCGTGCCTACCCGCTCGTCGCCACTTCATGCTGCTGAATCACGAAGCGGTTCAGGTCCAGGCAGGAGTGGATTCGTCAAAGGAGACCACGGCAGGCGTATGGAGAAGCAAGGCCGACAAGAAGACGAAGGAGATCGAGGAGGGCCGCGCAGCCTTGCCACCCCGGTAAATGGGGGACATCAGCCTTGGCCGGGGTTGAAAATGCCAAATGAGTCAGACAGGCCGTGATGCCTCATAGCGGGATGCACGGGAACCGTGAACGCAAGTGGTGGAGTCATGCTCTGGAAGGCTGCCTAACCATGTTGCCGAGCGGATTGGGAATAAATGCTGGACATTCTCCCCCTTTGGAGTGAACTCGGAGGGAGGAGTCGAGACGAGTATCACATGATCGTGAACAATCAGCGCGTCGCAAGCCATCCGCGTTTGAACACGAGTCGACTCGCTCTGTCACTGCTTCGTACTTCCACAGTGTTGGGGTACCAAGGTCGAAAGGCCCACCTTTATTTCACGTGACACCCTCTGACTAATTCAAGCTGGCGGAACTCTGGATTTCCGCTGAGGCGGATGCCGACGGCTTGTCACCTTCATACCATATTTTTCAGGCCAGCAAAGCACCCCAGGCGGACGCTACTACCTACTCGCTCCGTCGAGAACTGCACGACCTCTTATCGTCGGGTACTGCGAATCTGTACCAGACGCCGGCGACGACTCCCACAGGCACAACACCACACTTCTACCCTGACCAGTACACTCCGCGACACCTCGCGCGACCGGCGCCTTCCCTTCCCGGCCCACGCGGTCCACGTGGTCGTCTACTTCCGCCTCCCTTGCCGCGCAAGGCGTTGTCGCGACACCCTCGGGCGACTTCGCCTTCGTCGTATCGAGGAGCGGCAGTCATGAGTGTCGCATACGAACCTAGGTCCTTCATCCACGAGGGAGCCTATCCCCCGATAGGCGACGAACACGACCACGCTGCCGACCAGCGGTACACAGACTCCGAGGTCGCCGAGCATCTTAGTCACTATACCTCTGATGCTGCCCTCCTGGGAGATGATCGAAGCATCATGGACGATGGCACCAGCGTGCCGGATGCTACACGTCTAGATCTCGGCGCAACCGGTTTCTCCTCGCCCATTCAAGTTTCGCTGCATGCGCCGTCAATACCAGAGCCCATATCGGAGAGCAAAGATGCCTCACCGGGTATTGGATCGCCGCCTTCGTCGCGCACAAAAACGATCCCCAAGCCCGACAGAGATGTAGTAAAGCAGGCTGACGGCAAGTTTCACTGCCCCTTGGAGGAATGCAAAGAGGAAATGCGCGCATTTTCGCGCAAGTGTGAATGGAAGTAAGTTTTTTGTTGGATGATGGACCAATGCCGCCGAGTCGCTAACGACGCAAAGCAAACACATGGATAAGCACGAGCGACCCTACCGATGTCCCGCCCCTGGATGCGAGAACCTTCCAGGCTTCACATACTCCGGAGGCTTGCTGAGACATGAGCGAGAAGTTCATAACAAGCATGGGGGTCCCAAAAATACCGTAAACTGCCCCCATCCGAACTGCAAACGGCACACCGGCAAAGGTTTCTCGAGACAGGAAAACCTCAACGAGCATTTGCGGCGGGTGCACACCACCGGCGACGGCACGACACCCCCGGCCGAGTCGGTTGCTTCACCGGAAGACAACGAAAGCGAGAAATCTAGTATGAAGCGCAAGCGCCGCTCCAGTGGACAAGGGGATGAGCTTACGGAGCTTCGTGACGAGATCAAGCGAGTCCGCGAGGAAAATGAGAAGCTCAAGTCCGAGATGGAGCAACAATCGCAACATTCGCTTGCCATGATGGCGCAGATTGCAGAGCTTCAAGACGCGCTGCGGCACGGCATGTCGCCGCACGGCCTTGGAGCCCCAACAGCACAGATGATTTAGGGATCACAAGCTATATCCTCCGCCTCACACAGCGACAGCGTTGCACTTGATTTCACGCGATTGGGAAGGTAGTTGCTCTAAATAAGCAATCTCCCATACCCACGAAGCGAATACCGATACACAAAAAAAAAGAGAAAAAAAAAGGAAACGGCATTAAACGATGAATGTTGACGACCACCCTCACCCCCTCTCAAACGAAGACACGGAACGGATAGACATAGTCCCACTCTACCACTTTGATATTAATTAGCACCCTCTCCCTTCTCCGGCTCGCGGAAGAACGCACCACTCCTCCGAGGTCTTTTATTTCCTTTGCTTTTTTTTTCGTTTTGTATTTTAGCAGCACGGCTAGGCGTTTGGGAGACAGGGCAGATACACAGATAAACATGGGCAATGGTGGCATTTACAGGGAGGCAAATCAGACGCCGAGGGAGCAAACGGCGTCGCAGCGATATTTATGGAACAGCACAAGACTGTACTTTCTCAGGGTTCTTTGGACCCTTATTTATTTTCCCTCCTATTTCTTGTCGCCTGGCATCTTTTTCGTTCTGGTCATCGGAAGGCAAACTTTGAAGCAGTGGCTTTTGATACCCACCCTGTAGAGATGGGAAGCGGACATTTCATACCCTCGCCGCGATGATGTTTCCCCCCAAGGTGGTCTGCAGGCATCCGAGGAGCCATCATGCATAGGGCGAGGGTGGAGAAATCTGGGAGAATGGAAGGGAAAAGGGCAACGATGCGGGTGCCCTTGTTTGTACGATTTAAGGAGGAAGGAGTTTCTGCCATGGCCTGGCTGGGTTGGCGTCGACGGTGGGAAACTGGTTCATTGTACTGTAGCTATAGACGACTCACCGCTTTTCGAAATGCAGCGACTTCCGGGCAGCCGGTGCAGCTGACATTTAGGATGAATGCTTCTTTCCCTGTGACTGGATTTGACTGGGCATGAGTCGGTCATGCTCATGGCGTATTTTGTTGAGAATTGGATCATGATGATGCTGCGTTTGGGTAGGGTCCAGGCTACGTGTTCCATGGAGCTTACCCTGGCCGCGGCTCAATCTTGGAGGCAACGCACATAATCCATCTGAGACAATGCGTGTTCCACCGTGACCTTGACCAGTCTCTTGATTGCCTACGTGACAGGTATGGGCGGCTGCATTGCTACAGCATGATTCTTAAGCGCAGACTGTCATGCCCGTTTTTGAAAGCATCGCGTCGGGCGCATGGGCTGTATGGACCGAGCTTGATGGCAACTTGTTTAAATTTAATCCAACAAGAGTTGCAGGAAACGCTCATCTAGAAGAATGATTTTTTGTGGAATACTTGCTTGAAACGAAATGCGTAAATGAAACGGGATGACGTAGCTGAAGGCCGAGGCTGTGCTGCCTCACGCTTGGCTAGCCATGGTCGCTTGTATTGGCATTTCGACTGCTGGAAGATGTTTCTCTGGCAAAGGCCAGGCCTGTGGTCATATGGACCGAATTTTGATAGTTCTTTGACTCGAAACGTTGTTTACCCTCTTTTTCTCTACAGACTTGGAGATGTACTGTGGTGTAGGGTTAAAGGATCTAGTCTATGTGCTTTAAGTCAGGCCGGCCCTCTATGGTTTTATCGGTTTCGCCACCGGATCTACTCATGGTCCAGTTGAAGACTTTAATTTAATCAGTAGGGAGTATGCTGCCATGGAAAGATAGGTTCTGGGTTATCTCATTTTTGCAGGTTTTGCTCCTATCGGAAGAGCTTGGATCGTTTGTGTCTATCCGATGAGCTTCTTTTGGCCTTTACTAGTAGTTCTTAGATCGAGTGCAAGGGAACCATCCGATGTACGTAGAATTGAAGAGTCCCGCGCCGTAAAGTAGATCGTAATTGCCTCTCCATACTTGACGAGAGCCTTTTACTAAAACCAAGCTCACAGCGTTAGAGTGTGTCTTGACTGCGAGCCGGTAAGGGGAAGAAAATACTTTTGCGAGAGCAGTGTAGAAGAGTTGTCTTTGTTCAACAAATCCACAACATTCTGATGCTTGCAAATGGCCGGTAAATAGGTTATCCCTACGCTTCAGCTAGCACACCTCAAGCATAAGCAATTAATTTGACGGGACAACTGGTCCAACGTCGGCCGCATTCTGCCGCTTAGCCGTTAGCTGGTCCTATGTATATGACTCCGCTTGAAATCATGACTGTGGCCTCTGCTATCTGCGCCTTCATCACTTATTTACTGCGTTTGGAGAAGCCGCAATACGGCATGATGGGTACAAACTTTGAAAAGCCACCGAACAGCCTCCATGCTTCCAAAACGTCGCGCCTGTTCTAGGGTGCCATGATGCCGTGGCCGCGGAGGCAGCGGGAGCCGAAAGACGCAAGGTTTCACCGCTGTTTGCGGAACGAAACCATACGCAGGAAGACAACTCCTTCCCGGACAACGAATTAAACAGCTTGAACAGAATGAATGAAATGAAGAAAATGTTGAACTCGTTGACAACGATGCAGATTTGATGGATGTTTTCCCCCCTCGGACGAAGAAGCGCGAAGAGAAATAATATTTCGCGAAGCAGAAGTGTATATTTCCTTTGTCGTGAGTATTGTATACAATTTGGCACATTCTTATATTATTACAGCGGCGATGTCTGAGGGCTGCGCTAATAGAAGTTGAGGAACCAGCATGCACGCGATATATTCCAAACCTTAGGTGATGGCCTCGCTCGGCGGTATAAGAAGGATTGTTTTCGGCTGGACAGAAATACTTTGGGAACATCCCATTGTGGTCTTTATTCAGGCCTAATAACTCCTGAATGTCCAATACCCGCTAGTTCGTTGCGTTGGGGCATGAGAAGCAGGCTAAAATATTGTGGCTTTAGGGATTTGGGGAGAATTGGTTACCCAAACGACCATATATCGTTTTTTGATCTTCAATGGGAGAGGTTGATCAAAGGGGGAGAAATGAATTTAATATTGCGAGGAAGATATTGTGTGGAAAAACTGTATACTCCCACGCAGAAAATGCTAGTCAGTGGAGAGAAGGCCGGTTTACCCGATTGAATAATGACGATTAAATATATATTTTAACAAAATTATCCATTTTATCTCGGTAATATTGGGGGGAACAGAGACATAGAACGATACAGGAAGAGTGCCTAATGGCATGTAAAAAGGAATGTGGATAGTTGACTGTAATTGCACAATGACGCTGAGGTATTTGTTGGGCCAAGTCTTGCCGATCCAACAGTGATTTTGATGTGGGTGGACTTGGTTTCATTTGCAACGACATGGTGATTGGAGTTTTGAGGTGTCTCCCATCTCGGCTGGTAGTTTTAATTATAACTGGAGTCTTTGTTCTGATGCCGCTCGTAAGAAGACACAGCGATATTGCTGCCTGTGAACAGTTGACCGGCTCCTTTTCTAATCAGGTATTCCATCTATCAATATTGACCGGCAAGAAATCTCATTATTCGATGAAACACAGGGAGCCAGTTCTATTGCTGCGGCGATCAAGGACACAGATGACCACCATTCTGAAGTAAAAAACTAGATATATTTCAAGTCCACTCGAAGAGCATTCTCATATGTCTTCTCACCACTTTCCTTCGTCAAGGAATATCTAGTTACCTACCATTAAGACATACTCAAGCAGTCCGCGTAAACATGTACGCCTCCCATGCAATTCCGTCCTCAATCTGCATGCCATCCGGAGCATCAGGCCCTACCCAGTCTTGAAAAGCCCTGTCACTTTGCCGAGCCCACTCACCATTCCCGCGGCCATCAATATCCAAAGGAAAGAACGTGTCGGCGTTGAAATCGGCTCCGATCCGCGTAAGCAGCAGACGATCTACCCACGGCATCTGCAGTGCCTCATGACACAGCCCAGCCCCACCGATGATAAATACGCGGCCCAGATCTGGAAGCCAACTGCCGCTGCCAAATGAGCCATCCGAGGAGCTCGAGCTCGAGCACCGGTAAGTCTCCGACAGAAGCTCCATTGCGCCTTCAAGGCTTGTCGCCACATGAAGCGGCTCTGTCCTCAAATCACCCTGCAACCGAGGCCGAACTTTCTCTGGGTTTTGTGTGATGACAACATTGATTCGGCCGGGGTATCTCTTGGTAGGAGTCTTGTCCCACGTCTTGTAGCCCATTATCACAGCATTCATCGTTTGCGGGTCTGTGCTTCTTGTGGTCGTGGATTCAAAGTAGCCGCTTTCTCGCTTTAGTTTGGGCCATGGCATACGTGTTTTGTAGCTCATTCCCATGGACGGTGTGGCCGCCACGATGATAGTTGCCGTCATGCATTCGCTACCGGTGGCCATGCTGGGTGTCGCGCGTCGGGAGTGATGGTTCGGCTGGAACGTCAGCTGCTTGGTTACCCTTGAGGCGGACACCATCATTAAAATAAAAGGGCACATTCATGACATGGGATCACATAATCGTGTATAATATGATGAAATGCGGGGGGATCAGCCCCTAAAACATGGTGAAGCACAACATGATTTCTTGCATATTCTGCTACCGTTCCATCCATGGCTCTTTTGTGCTTTGTGTGACAGCAAGCAGCGTGAGTAGAGCATTCTAGTCAGACATCAGCTCAGCCTCAAGATGCATGCCCGCAGAAACGGAAGAGGTGAGGTCAGCGGCGCACTGAAATTGGAACTTCTCCACAGGGACGGCTGGGATGTGACTTCAATATCGATTACTTGCCGACAGAGAGAGCATGTAAGTGGCGGAGAGAGGAGGGAAACGCCAGCGTCAGCAAGGGTCAGCCCGCCCCCTATTGCTCATGCCGATATACCCGCCAATCGCTTGAATCCCGTCTAGTGGTCCCATCTGCATCGCCGGGGCGGGTTTATCAGATCCGATTGCGGCAAAAAACTTCCCGGACAAGGAAAATATGACCAGTCGTTTTTTTAGAAGCGACAAAAAGTAGGTCGGGAATGTCAATCTTGTGGGAAGGGGTAAGAGATTCCTAGCGCAATGACAGCAATGATTTACTTCGTCGATACTTAGTGGCAACCTCTTTCCACTAGGGGCGGTTCTGTTTATATAAGGCTATAGCCACGTGGAGATGTCGGCGTTTGGCAAATTCGAATTATTAGGATTTTGATCTGAAAGCAGCAGCCGTAGTCGCATAGGAGGCCGTGTCTGCGCCAATAGTACAGTTATTGAAGACTGAGTTGATTCGCTAGGAGGAATGACATAGGGCTATGGACTCATTAACCGCAGGCCGAGATGGGACTCCAAAGACATGCTGCAGCTCTCGCCTCTGGAAACTGCTTTATTCTCTCAAATGAGCATAATTTACTCCGTCCTGGCAGTGCAAGTGACACAGCTTCAAGTAAACGTGCCATTAATGCCAGGACTCTCAGATACAATCACAGGGTTCGTCTTAGAAGAACAACCTATTTACGTTATCGCATCGCATAATACCTCAATTATTGTCAGAGCTTACGCTGCGGGCAACCCTGAAGCACCTGGGGACGAGACTATGGTAAAAGAGCGACTATTGACAGATCTCAGGCGACAGAACAAGAATGTGCGCCATCTGACAGCAGGCTAGTCTCAAATTTGATATTGAACTTGGCTGGGCGTGGGGTAAACCTCCCCACTGCCAAGCATAGTAAACAGGCGGCTGGGAGAATCTCCCTCCACCTCGTACGTTGTCTCTTTGAACGGCACCGCCTTATTGCAGCGAAGTCAGTTTACCAATGAAGTCAAAGCGCACTAGGCTCGGCCCGCTCCGACGGACGGACCCTTGACCCACCTCACCAACGACCGACGTCAATAAAATCCAGCCTATTTAGAGCAATTTATTTGTCTCTTTACTCATTTATACATTCCTGTCCTCTGTCCAGAGAGGAAGGACGCCTGAGGGACAAGATTAAACATTAAAGCAAATGTGTACAACAACCAAGTGCGGTCTGGTCGAATCACGATTACTGAGGGCTCTGGGAGGGTTGGATGAGTGTACACAACATGAAATGGTAACCTGCCCATGCACAACACCAGAGCTGAAAACCAAACACAGTGAGTAACACCATGGCATGATGGAATCGTTATCGTAGTCACACCATGTCCACTCAAGAGCCATTTTTGCACCAATTATACGCAGAACTGCCCATCACATGCTTTCACCCACCATCCATCCGCAGTATCTGACATGCAGTTATCCTGAGTAACGCCAGAGTACATTCTCCATTCAAATCCATGTCTTCCCCCCCTAATCCGTAGATTTCTTGTTTCCTATCCCTGCTGAACTGGGCTGTGCGAGGATAATGTTCGCGGTCAAAACGCACCCGATTCAGGCGACCCTTTTAAGTCGATTGCCGTACTGCCCCATACTGAGATAGGATATATTGATATTATGCAGGCGTGCAAGTGGTTCTCAACATATATTGGTATGAAATATGGTCATATTACGATTTGGTCTGTGGACTTGGGAAGCCCCGCAATTTTAAATGTCGATCACACATGATGCTCTGCTGTATTGTGTATAGGGTGTTGGTGAATATTACGTCGTGCTTACACCGACTGTGGGATCCCTACAGGAGGGTGTCATAATCGTTTCACCATTTTAGTATTAATTTCATCCTACATGTCCCGGGCTGCCTTACATAATGGTAGTTGAGGATCAGGGTTAGGGTTGTGCATTCGAATACTCATGACGCCATACTTTATGGAGGGACATCGTGCAAAGTGGCGTCGCGCACGGTGTCTTAGTTTTCAACCCTTCATATTCTCAAAAGGCGCGCCCTAACGACCCGCGCGATCGGATAACTGCCGGTACGTGGTACTAATTCGACTTGGGGCTCACTTGATAACAAGCTATAATAGAGGCTACCTTGCCATATCTCGTCCAAGTCAAGTCTGCCGCGGAGCTTGCCATCATGGACCATTCCAGCTTGCACGAATTCATCATCTCGTCGTTTCTCAAAAACCAGCGCCCTCCGACTGTTGGCGACATCGCCACCCGCTTCGAAAGCGACGTCCCTACTGCGCGGCAAGGCCTGCGAGCTTTGGCAGACTACCATGGTGTTGTGCTACACCCCCAATCCGACGAGGTGTGGGTTGCCCATCCCTTCTCCGCCGCGCCCACGACCTGCATCGTGACCTCGGGCCATCGCAAATGGTGGGGAAACTGTGCCTGGTGCTCGCTCGGCGTGATGCACCTCGCAGGCGGCACCTCGACTCTTACGACGAGGACTGGCGCCATCGGCGACGAAGTGTCCGTCACGGTCCGGGACGGACAGCTGCTGGACACGGATTTCGTCATACACTTTCCGGTCCCCATGCGTCATGCCTGGGACAACGTCATCTACACATGCTCGGTCCAGCTACTGTTTCGCAATGAAGCCGAGGTGGACGAATGGTGTGCTACTAGAGGCATTGCCAAGGGAGATGTGCGGCCCATTAAGCAGATTTGGGATTTCGCTGCTGAATGGTATGGCCGCCATGCCGATGCAGACTGGAAAAAGTGGTCTTTGCACGACGCGGTCGAGATTTTTGCCCGTCATAGGCTGACTGGTCCAATTTGGACGATTGGAGACGAGGCAGGGCGCTTTTGAGCGGGCTTCGATTTATAGACCCATTTGACACTCCTTGGGTGACATTTGAAGTCGGCTACTGACATCTCGTAATAATTCCCGTCGTATTCGGCTGTGAGCATTCAGGTTTGGGGCTGGCATCGGTGATCTGGGCGGCATTTGTACGTCCTCGTTTCCTGTGACAAGGGCTAAAGGCTTGGGGCAACATGACTAAATTCATCTGATAACAGTCTCTAGTAGCAAAGGTCCTTTGTTTTCCTCAAGGCCTCGTTGACCAAAGACCTCTTTTAAATACAAGAAGTCGGTGAGGGACTTTGCCCTAGGTCCCGTGACCGTAGGCCTCGTGTAACCTTCGTGTGACATTTCCGCTACCTGTGTTGTATTGGTGATGGTTGTCTCTTGTCCGCCCTCGGACGTAGATTTGAGAATAGTTTTTGACTTGGCTCCGATGCCTGGCAGGCCTGTAAAAAATTTAATATCCCCGCCCACTTTAATTGCTTGTTCCCACCTCCGTGTGAAGGTATTAGTGATATTCATGTTCGGCTGGCGCTGTGTATTACCGCAAGTCGGCTCAGTGACTTCGATGGGTGTGAAGTCGATGTGGGTATTGCCAGCAGCAAAGACTGACGAGCTAGGAAGGGAGTGTTTAACACAAGACTGCCCGCACACGGTCTTGATATTCATCCTGTACCAAGATACAAATAAATCCCTGATCATGGTAATAGAAGGCACGGGATACGAGAAACAAGCAGCTTTTTGTTATCAGTACGTGCCCTAATTTTGATTCACGTCTTCTTAAAAACATGTTTAAACTGTGAATCTCGAAAACTCTCGCATCCATCCATTTTGTGGCGCCAACATGAAAGCGTCACTTATATTGAGGACTTTTAGACAAGACAAAATCAGAGACTGGATTTTTTAATATAACAAGTTGAATTGTATATAAACCGACTACTTGTTGGAATGTAGCTGTTGAATTGAATAAGCGACTTTTGTCTTGACGCAGTCATGGACACAAACTTGGCGTTCCCATGCCCTTTTCAACGTCGTCAAAGTTTTCCTTCTTCCGCTTCTTCCGCTCCTTCAAGACACACTGCCCGATCTGTCGCCTGACTTCGTCCTCGGTACTGTCGCCGTAGTTGAATTCCGTCAAATCTCGGCCGCGGAAAAGTCTGCAGCGGCCGAGAAGTTCAATGGGAACGCTCCAATCCAGCCCACAGGCCCGCCGACCTTGTTCATAAACTCGATGGCGTGGTACTCCATTGACTTCCCTTCAAATTCTCGCGGAATATCGAGTTGAAGGCTGCCTTTGACTTTGATTGGCCTGCCACCAAGTTGAGGCTGCCCTTCGCTGCCGTGATACTGGTTATACGCCGGGTTATAATCTGGGTTTTTGACCCATTTCAAATCAGGGAAATCCTTGGTAAAATTTTCAAGCAAGGCCCACTTCGCCAACGTGCCATCCGACTTGAAAGTCTTACGGTCCCCAGAGGTCACATTCTTAGGGACGCGAAGCCAGGCCTCAATCTGGTCCCACCGTATCCCTCCCAAGGCGGCGTACTCTACCTCATCAGTAAACGGGGGTGCGAAACCGGAGCCTTCTAAGTAGATCATATTTGGCGTGGCGTGGATTTGATACATCCATCCAAATTCCTGCTCCCTAGTCAGGACAGCAAAGTAGAGGGCGGATGACCATCTACTCGAGGTTGCGGCGTAAGCAGAGTTGAAGTGTCTGTTTTTCCCTCGCATTTTACCCACCCATCCGTCTAAGCCAACATTGTGCCACCACAAACTGTATGATCTGTTGTCTGTCTTTCCTTCAAATTCGTGAGGGATCCCACCGAGGTTTTTATAATATTCTGGAGGCAGATCGTCGCCACGATAGACAACACTGGGGAGGGGTCCTTCTGGTAGTGTCGACCCCTGTGGCGCGACTGCAGAAGCAGCCAGGGGGACTGCCAAGGCAGATGCAAAGAGGAGGGCAGCAAAGTTCTTCATGGCTAGGTGATTACTTTGGTAATAGATTGGAGGCTCTGAAATTTAGAGTTCTGAGGTGATGAGTTGGGAGGAGTTGGGATAAGCCTGTGTCTTGGAACACACATATATATATTTATGTACCTACACTCGACCATATATTGACAATTAATTCTCTGGCTAGTCATATCTTAATAGAGTAAAATTATACCAGAGAAATTTAGTATGATGCCACCTCATGTTACCTGACTCGCAAATGGCCGAGGTTACAATCCAACTCGTATAGACATTAATGGGAATGTTGTGGAGATTATTAGAAGGGTTCTGGTAATAATTCTGTCCATGTTTAATAGAGACTATGAATCATGGTGGTGGCAATAACATTCAAGTCTCCTCTATGCCTGGCGGGTTAGTTAGCATTACCACTAACAGATAACTACCTAGGACTCGAGCATAGACCCTTCCTCCCGGCGGGATTACCAGGACTAGTTGGGATAAACGCTATTGCATAGCATACTAGTAGAATATCCTAATATTGATGGCGAAGCGGGCATAATTTCCGTCGCAATAGATTGGGAGGCCGGGCGGGGGACTTGGGCAAGATGTAAGGCTGCTGGTGCCACACGCAAGACTTGGCATAATTTTATGCTTATCTGGTGTTTGCATGAGATTTAACCGAAGACGAGCATGGGTCCACCATTCTCGCTAATTAAATGAATGAATTGACGTTGGTTTGGAGTGGTTTGCATTGTCTTGTTGCGCGGCCGGCGGGAGTCGCTTCGCAATCGCCGACAGTAGTGCCGTGAACTGATATTACAAGGAGACATCTCGCTGTATTCACCCCGCTCGCGTGACATTGTCCAGGGCTCCTGCGGAGGTGGTGCTTGTCCGGCGAGTTTGCGACGGGCCCGAAGCCATGTTACGACCCAAGCGTGCGATGAAGACGAAACTAGAGACTCCAGATCCAGCCCACAGATGGTTGGATCCAGCCTCAAATCGTAAAGGCAGCAAATTATATGTCTTTGAAATAAGCTGCGTGGTTAGAAATCCGGCGGTGGGCACACTCGCGAAGTCTACACATCTACTATAACCATGGGACGTATATATTGCCCAGGACCCGGCTCAGCTTGGCCCACGCCGAGTTGGACAGACGGCCAATCCCACCTCGGCCGCCGAGTTTCTCAACGATAGCCGATCGTCTGTGGATTTTGTGCTCTCCAACGTTGGCGCTTTATTAAGCGTTTACGTGGTGGAGTTTTTACCGGAATGTGGGCGTGATGGGAATTTCTCGATGGGGTAGCCGTGGATTGAATTGAACGTGGAACTGGTCCTTCATTGAAGCTGCCCATCGAGAGATTTTTGACCTCTTTCGTGGTTGGAAACCTAGTTACTAAAAGCCAGCAAGTTGTGACCTCGTGTTACACGGAAATAGCTTAATATTAAAGGTTACATAAAAGCTACAATCACAAGACCTAGGGCAAAGTCCCTCACTAACTTCTTGTATTTAAAGACGTCTTAGTCAACGAGGCCTTAAGGGAAACCAAGGACCTTTGATACCAAAGACTGTTATCAGATGAATTGAGTTATTGACTCCAAGCCCTCTATCGAGCCCTTGTCACATACGGTGTGTCATTGACAGCACAGCCCACGACTGAATAGGATTCTCCCATTGAATGTACAGGTACACGATTGCTGGCCAAGTGGCGTTAGTATAGGGCATGTGGCGGTTTGTTATATGTAGTCAGCAGGTAAAACGCCGCTGGAAGCCTGTGCCCTCAAAAGACAACTGCGGCTGAAAATGGCAGTTCATTGAGATTCCGAACCCCCCCCCTCCTGGCATAGTTACAAGGCGCATTATTTGGGTCTACCACTTGTTTAAGGACCATCACCCGCTAACAAGTATAAAGTTGTCACAAATTTCCTCGCTGCCAAACCTAGACCACGGCTGTTGTCTGTGTTTTAATCACTGACCCTACATGATTCTAAGCACGCATCACCTCGCAATCCACCATGTCCACGCAGGTTATCGTCAATGGAAATGAGCTCTCGACTGCAGTAGCTTCCACGTCGGATACAAGCTCTACAAACTTTATAGTCGTTTGAGGCACTCGACGAATTATCGCTGATGACAAAAGGGAACTCGAAAAGAAAGGTGCCACAGTTACTGAATACCTAGGAAATGACATATACCTCTGCCACTACAAGCCTTTCTAATCTTCAACCCATTCGGGACTTGACTTTTGTGGCACAGGCCAACATTTTCCCTCATGATGTTAAGAAGTCTAGAAGGATAGCCAACGCGATAAAATTAAGTGAGAGTGAGGGTCATCCCCAGAAGACTTTCGATGTCGAAATCTTCCTCCACAAGGGAGAGAAGGTATCGGACAGTTTTATTAACAATGTACGTGAGAAGACTGGAATAGTCACGAAGAATATAGTCCCAGAGGAGAACGTCACCAAGCTTACGGCTGATGCCTCCACGATCGACAAAATTGTGGAAGTTGACGCCATCAAGGCTATAGAAGAGTCCATAAAGCCGAAACTCTTCAACGACATATCTTGAGAGGATATAGGCATTGTTTATCCACGAGTATCTGCTCTCGGTGTGAACTATGAAGGCCAAGACCAGGTTATAGCCATAGCCGACACAGGATTCGATATTGGGTCAATAGATAACCCTCACCCGGCATTCGCGGAGCGTATTGTGGCTTTGCTCTGGAACGAACGACGAAATGGTAGAACTGATGACCCTGTCGGCCATGGAACCCACGTGGCAGGGTCCGCCTTGGGCAACGGATCGTCGGACACCATGGGAGGCAGCATTCAGGGAGCGGCACCGAAAGCATCGCTGGTCTTTCAATCAATGCTCGACAGCGATGATGTAAACATCAGCATACCCAAAGATCTCACAGGGCTCTTCTAAGAGGCCTACTCGTACGGGGCTCGTATTTCTTGCAACTCTTGGGGGGGCAAGCTGGCCATCTTACCAGATACCGTACGATGTAGGTGCCTGGGCGGTTGACAACTTCATATGTCGCAAGCAAGATCGTGCGTGGTCCCTCACATTGTTTTCCACTTACTGAAGCTAGTTGACAATAGCGCAGATGTCATTGTCTTCGCCGCAGGCAAGGACGGTGAAGAGATGTCCCATTACAGCAAAATGAGCCAAATCGGAAGCACCAGTGCCGCCAAGAACAGCATTTTTGTTGGTGCTACAGAGTCCCGTCGACCTTCCATTAAGCTGAAATATAACCCAGAGGGGCTTATTGGACACCCAGACAAAATTGCATACAACAGCTCACGAGGACTTACATTCCACAAGATTATTAAGCCAGATGTTGTGGCTCCGGGCGTTGCCATCCTCAGCACATGCTCGCGCCACGAAGCCGTAGCAACTAGGCGTCAAGACTTTGGCCAGACTCACGACAACAACTGGATGTTCTGTTCTGGCACGAGCATGGCCGCTCCCCTAGTGTCGGACTTCTGTGCGGTACTGCGCGAGGCACTGCAGTCAAAGAAGATGGCTGATCCTAGCGCTGCTCTCATCAAGGCATTGTTGGTCAACGGGGCCGACGATCTCAGGCTACCTAAGCCTGACCGGGGATTTTGCCTAGTCAACCTGAAGGAATCCCTTCGCTGTGTGGTGGAGCCTGGCCCGGGGGAGCAGGTTGGCTTCGAGGATGTGGGTGGTGAGAACGCTTTAAAGGAGGATGAGACGTGGCCGCTGGAACCAAGGAAGATCGATTTTACGGGAGACCGGACCGGGACTCAGAGGGTCACTTTAGCATACTCGGATCCCCCAGGAGAGAATCTGCAAAATAATCTGACACTCAAGGTCAATATCGAACAGCAGTCTGGGGCCTCAGAGGAACAAAGGGGCGATGAGGGTTTCGTGGCGGAGAACAACGTCGAGCAGGTGAAATGGGATACAACATCAAAGGATAGGGCGGCTATTATCACCGTTAGAGCCGACAGAATTGCTCAGCTTGAAGGCTCGCAGCCTTTTGCTGTGGTGTGGGGTATTTACTAACTTGGGAGTCCGTTGTGAACATGAAGCATGGAGAGCAAAACCATGGTCCTGTCGGAGAAGGATGTACACAACCGAGCATCAGATGCGGTGCCATTTAATCACGTCCACGGTGGAGATTTCTCTCTCCGTGCTTATTTGCGCAGGGACAATACCGAAAAGCTGCTAGGAATCGAAGTTTGCCCAAGGTTGGGCTGTTTCTGCTTAGGCTGCAGTGTTTCCTTATGAAAATGCGATTTTGATCGCCATGTATGTAGTTTAGTTTAAGATGTATCAAATGGACACATGTAATGCCCATACGGGCTCGTAGGAGTTTTAATTTGGGCTCTAGAGAAGACTTGTCACGTATGGCAAAGCTTTGGGTGACGGTAATTTGCAATTCCATTCTTCTCTCACGGCTATGTCAAGTTCCGTCTATTCCACGTAGCGGCTAGATCGGTCACCCCGCCCTCCAGCTTCGTGAAATACACTGCTCTGCACTATTCGAGGAGGGTCGGGGCAGAAGCATACCTACCTAGCTAGGTAGTGGTTACTTGGGCGCCACTCGAAAGAGGCCCTCCGCGGCCTGGAACCATGTGTCGTCGAGCTTGAAGTACAGGCGCAGATATTTCATGTTGCGGTGGCCTTTTTGCTTTACTATACCGCAAGCCTAGAGTTATAGTTGATGAATTGGCGCTTGGGCAGCAAAGTCTGTGGTGCCGAATTCCGATAGGCATAACAACTGTGTGGAGAACCTTTGTATAACAGCAACCAGTCGCGGCCGCCCACCGGCGGGTGTGGCGGCCGGGGCTGTGAGCCAAGCCTGCGGCAAACTGGATGTGGATTAGAGTTTCGAAACTGTGGCATCTCAGCTTTCAGCTGAAAAACGCCTCGGGCGCGAAGCCATGATGCCACATGCCACTATCAAAAAGGAAGAAAAGAATACGGTGGTGATATGATAAATACTAACGCCACTCTTGTCCAGCAAGTGACAAGTTGAACATTTCTGAATGTGTAGTTTGGATTTTCATGTCGTGACTTTGAGGCTTTCCGAAAGCCTTGGAGTTGTTTTGTGTATGTACATGTCCTAGACTTGTCCGACGGGGAGTTCCATGAGGTGGTTTCGGTGAGGGAAGAGAAGGGTCAATGGGGTTGTTCACCTGCTGATCAACGGATATCTCAACGTCGGAAACTCCAATTCACTGGTTATTCAGCGTCGAAATCTCCATCCTAGTTAGGATTTGTCGGCTTTATAAACACGTTTAGGGCTCCGAGTCAACACCAATGAAATGCAGCATCCATCAAGACCTCTGAGGCTTACGTAAAACAAAAAACGTCGCTATAAATTTAAACATTAAACGGTCTCCTAATTGACTTGTTACCATCTTCAGCTACAGATGTGGCTTTGTAGACAATTCGGTCGAAAGCGTCAACGAACAGTCGTGCCAACGGGTAAAAAAATAGAGGCCATCTACAACTAAGATGCATACAAGGTTCAATTATTTAAAGCACTAGTGGAAGTATGATTTCTCTTTTGTCTGGTCTAGTTGAATTGTGACAAGTCAGCCAGCGACGGTATGCTTAAATGACGACAGCCGATTCTGAAGGAATGTTGTTCCGAAATCCCAGCCACGGCCCAGAAAATATATTATTGTATCAAAGCCACAATTTTCAGACCGAGTTTCTGTGGCGCATAACTCTGAAAATGAGTTTTTGGGGAAACTCTGTGCAGTGTGGAGAAGGCGCAGCTCCAAGCCGCTCATCATACAGCTTGCCATCAATGATATCATGTGCATACATATATAACACTCCTCATTACAATCTGGACAGCAAAACTGGCTAAAAATGGAAATTCACTCAAGGTGCCAGTCTACAGCATGGATAAAGTGTATACAAAGAGCCTGCACCCCGTTGGCTTTGGACGCCCGCTATATCACGCAGCGCCCAACCTCCAGCCCGGTCACTGTGGATATTTTGATATAAACGGACACTGGCACCTTATTATCGATCTCTCTGCTGATCTCCCCAAGGACACGAAGCTTGTGACAGAGCCCCCCGTTCAACTGGGTCCAGTCTATGGAGAGACTATGAAATGGACCAAATGCAACGCGGAAGCTGAAATAAGGTTCGCCTTCTGGTACAAGTATAAAAGCTGTGTCGAACTCAGCACTAACATGGATGTAGAATCGGAAACTTGCCCCCAAAAGCTGGCTTTTCGCTGGGCTTTACAACAACAAAGTCCGAGTGTGGCCTTCTCTTGACCGACCCCGTCCAATACAGGGCATATGAACCAGATGAACCTTTTCGCGATTGGGTCAAGGAACATGGCCGTGAGAAAATTTCTCAGCTAAAATTTGATGACCCAGTCTCAGACCATGGGCTATTCCTGGTCACCCAAGTATACTGCACTACGCACTGTAAAGTAGCGGCAGTTCTGGGAGCGAACAAAGAACTATCTGTTCAGTGTACAGGGAGTGCTTTGGATGGACAAAAATTAAGTGGCAAAGGGAATTGGGGAATGATTACTGGGGCCGGCGTTTCCCAGGAATTTAAAGCCGAGGATGGAATAGTGAGTCCCCTTGCGAAAATGCTGTTTTGCTACGATTGCCATGTCTGACTTTATCAAAGGAGTATACGGTCTTTGCTGGTGGCTGGTGGTACAAACCCAGCTGGGTATTCTGGGTAAGTCTAGTCTTTAATCCTAAGAATAGATGGCTGACAACCGGAAGCCTTTTCGTCCGTTCAATCCAATCGTATTGAGGATGCCAGAGGCCGTCCAGCAAGAGGTCGACAGAACCCAAGAGCGATGCGTTGGGGACGAAACTATGAAGGACCGCAACGGCGCTTTGGAGAAATGGACTCATGAATCACCTGTTGGGGGTTAAGTCTATGCATTATCTAGTCCGGAAGAGCTTCTCCTTGATAAAAGCTCTAAAAATGTTAAACTTACAAGGGACGGGATGCAGTCGGATTTCGTAGGTTGCTGGTGCATAAACGGCTTGAGAGGTAAAAAACAAAAGATGTAATACCCGTGAGCGACTACGATAAATTGCGACCAGAGGGGACTGGAGAATTAAAATAGTATTGATCGGACAATTGGAGCTTATTATCCAGGGCTAGATTTCCACCCGTGAGGCGCGAGCCGACTATGCGCGTGGACCAATTGGCCAATTCTGTGACGTAATATGGAGGATGTATGAAGTGTACGCAGTCCATTTTTAAATTTTGGAGAGATTAGCAATATTATTATTCCTTGTAGACCAAGCTTGGCTCCAGGAGTAACTTGGCCTTGCTTACAGCTACTAGGAACAGCCTTGCAAAACAACTCATGAAGATAGACATTCTGTGATAAAGGTGTCAAGCTGCTCTGTGAGCTACAAGGTGCCGTAAAAATATGACTGTATTTCAGGGTAGATTGAGAAACGATGTGTATTGCGCATCTTTGCATTCTTCTGCTAAATGCGCACGAATAGCAGCTACGGATCAAATCCATATTAAAACCAGGACATGCTCAAAACGGTCTATCAGGGTCTTTGAAGCTTTTCCCGATATAGAAGCTGACTGCTTTCAGGGGCTTCTTGGAATCCTGAAACACGCTTGATACAGCTCGTTAAGAGAGAACTGCATCCACTGCTTGACAGCTGATGACATCATCGTCGCTAGCAGTAGCTTTTATGAGGAATCTAGACGTCAGCTCTGAGTAGCGGCTGTGAGAACTGCGTGTTTCTATTGACTTGTCTCTCACCGCGCAGGCTTCACAATATGAAGCCAATGCGATTTGTAATGTGGGATGCAGCGGCGAAAACTCATCCGGGGGAGTATTCCAAGCCAATGGACATTTATTCACTCTAAATATATTTAAAGAGCTGCCAAGATGGGCTCGTGGGCTTCATTTTTAAGAATTGAAGCGTGAAGCCATCGGCTCCTACTCATATGACATGTATCACCAGCGGCCTCCAAGCATCGAAGGCCGCGCGCTTTCCGCGGCTTCCGCGGTTTTGTCCCGCGGCAATGAATCCAGACAGCGCGTGATGTTATGTATGCCACGGCCATCGTTTGTGTCGGGTGTTTTGTCCCAGAGGGGCGAATTTGTTCGCGACGAGAGCATCTCCGCGGCGATGCGCTCGCGGATGGTGGCTTAGGGGTCGCGTAGGATCAGAATACGAAGCATGACGCGCAATTGAAAAGATAAGGCATCTGTCTCGAGTTACGTAGCGGTTATTCTTTCGCCCACAATAAAAAGGGGAATCATGCAACCCGGCTGTGCAGAACCGGAATTTCCTACGCCTTATCGGCTCAGAGCCTCCGACGGTATGGAGATGGTTCCCTCGAATTATAGAAGTCGCCATCGCATTATAGTCCAGGGACAGGAAAGGGGTGGATCCTGGATCAAAGCATGAGTAATGCATTGCCAGGAAGGTAATTGCTAGTGTGTTTGAGTCGTCGTGGGATGGCTCTTTTGTGACGAAAAATCGGGCCATTGCCGAAAAGTCCACGTAGCGAGGCTGAATATGACTTCAATCTAGATGTACCTTGTTGTTTATTCTTGGATAGTTGCTAGTGAGCTTCTTTATTTATAACCAAGGCAATATGGCTTCTTCGTGCGTCCAAGTCCAACTTCAACAACTTCAACTTCTCAGGGCGCATCATCACCAAGTTCCATAACCACACTTCAACATGCGTCTTCTGATATTCCTCTCTGGGCTAGCTGTCTCCATCGCTGCCCCTGGTTCTGCACCGCGGGCCGTCCATGCGCCACTCCTTATTCCTCGTGGGGACGATGCAAGCCTCGTTGCCGATAGATACGTCGTCTACCTTCGCTCTGGCGCCTCTGAAGCCGACCACAAAGACGCTATAAAAAGTTTTAATATCAAGCCCAGACACGAATACAAGCACCTCCGCCGCGGTTTTTCAGCCACTCTTGACGGAAATACACTTGCGGGCTTGCGAAGACATCCAGCTGTAGGTTTCTACCCCTGCCGCTCGAATCCAGATGGCACCCTTGACTTACACCCACCGTATTAGGTCGACTTCATTGAACAAGTGACAACGTCTTCCATTTCTAGTTCCGAGCCAGTGAATCGGGCCCTTCAAAACTCGACAGGCACTCCTATCGAGCAGAAGGGCGCAACGTGGAATCTGGGCCGCATTTCAAACCAAAAATCAACTTCCGAGGGTGAATCCAAGTACGTGTACGACTCTCGAGCCGGCGAGGGCACCTGCACCTATGTTATCGACACTGGAGTGGACGACACTCACCCGGTAAGAATACCATACCCAGTCTAGAGAAAGCCCATGCTAAGACTACTATCATGCTGGTAGGAGTTTGAAGGGCGCGCACTGCAAATCAAGTCCTTCGTCGCCAACTCAACCGTCGATGACAGCGCAGACGGCCATGGCACCCACGTTGCCGGCATCATTGGCAGTGCTTCCTACGGAGTAGCAAAAAAGACCAAGATATTCGGCATCAAAGTATTGGACTCTAATGGTGATGCCGAGGGCGACAGGCTCATTGCAGGCTAGTACCCCGTCCGTGTGCCCAAGTACTCGTGTCCATGGCTAATACTTCAGCGCGTCCACAGGCCTCGAGTACGTGCCCGTCGATGCCGCGAATCGCACCTGCCCCAATGGCGTCGTGGTCAATTATAGCATCAATTCAAAAGGCTACGCCAAATCCATCAATGTTGCCGCGGCCGAACTCGCCAAGAAGGGCTATTTCGTGGCCGTCGCGGCCGGCAACAAGCCCAGAGACGTGGCGCAGTCGTCGCCCGCCTCCGAGGCGACGGTCTGCACTGTCGGGTCTATTGATATTAACAATAAGCCTGCCGTCGACACTGGTTACGGCCCGGGCGTTGATCTGATGGCTCCTGGTGTGGACATCTTGTCGCTTCAGCCGGATAACAGAACTGTAAGTTGGGATCTGCCCTGCTCCGACAACTGGGTGTAAAGCTGACGCGGTGCAGTCATTGTTGAGTGGAACGTCAATGGCCACGCCCCATGTTACTGGTCTGGCGGCGTATTTTGCTTCTATTTATGGCAAGTCGGCTATTCCGAACATGTGTCAGTACTTGAAGGACGTGGCGGTCAAGGGGGCGGTCAAGGAGCAGAGGCTGTGTACGGCGAACCTTGTTGCTACTAACGCGGTTGTGGATGTATAAAAATACTACGTATGCGTAGGGATCTGCATGCCAGAATAGCATTGTGAAATGTTTCTGGAGTTTGTATATTTTGAAGTGTTTTCCCTTCTTGGTGGATTGAGAGCAGTACTGGCAAACGGACAACTATCAATGCCGACTAGTACATACAAGGCCAGGACGCATGTTGGCCGTGGGCAGTCAAATATTTAGTGAGACATGGCTTGGGGGCTGGTGGCTTCTGGGCCGTTAAATATATCCAAATAGCATCTAGTTTACAGCGGTACCAAATGTGCACAGATCTGGTGTGTATTCTGCGCGTTTGTGTTCGCCGATACAACCCAGGTATCTCATATCCGGATTCAAATTCACACACAGCTCTAGCGGTTTCAAGATACAGTCATATAGGACCTAATAGAAACCATAGGCAAGCTACTGCAATGTCTGCCATTACTAGACTGCTGGAACCCATGGTAGTGGCGGTAATTTTAGCATGAACAAAGTGTGAAACTTTCTTGGCAGCAATAGTCGTCATTTCATAGATGGGCGAAATGCCGATAAAATGTGACTTCTTGGATCGGGTTGGTACTCATGCCTCGTTGGGGAAGACATGAAGGATGTGGACCGGACTCGCGATACATCACGACCTCACACGCTACTGCTCCTGTTCCAGGCAGAGCACTACAAGTGAAAAGACTTGGTGATATTGCCTAGCCTGTCGTAGGACAATGGCGCTTCCTCTGTTTAATGTTTGCCGATCCATTGCCCAGTCAAATTGACACAAGTCACTCTCTGTCCGCCTTCATAGCATACGCCTTGATGCACTGCATTGGCACCCGACATCCCGCATACCAGCCTCGATAGCCCGGTTAAAGTACTGCGATTCCCCGCCGTGAAAAACCATGTTTACCTCGTGGTGTGCTCCGATTGGGGTATGTCTTGTGAAACCACACTCCCGCGTCAGCCACTACTGTACCATCACCGTCTCATGCCTGCAGACCCTTCAGTCGGCAGCAGAATCTTGGACATTTCAAGGGCCCCAAGACATGATCAATACGATACCAAGCATATTAGACTAGAGAGCATCTGGCTTACGTGTCGCGCAGGCACCATTCATCTCGGCAAGTCTGTAAACTTGATCGCAGCCCAGAGCCAAATCGCACGACTATCGCAGCGACGCGGGGAAGCGCGGCAAGCAAACGAACTAGGCCGAATGTGCATTTGGTCTCGAACACGTCTGCTTCATATGAAAGCTTCAACGGTCGAATCGAAACTGCCGACCAGACCCCTCTCGCACCCATGAACCGACACCAATGACAGCGCTGATCTCTTGCCGATCCCGCCTATTATCTTTCAGCCCTGTGGTTTGGTGCACGCCCCCGTCAAGTGATACCGTGCAGGGTCGAAGACATGCGCCGTCTTATATTGATCATGTGGGTTGACTTTGCAGCGAGGGAAGCGGGAGGAAAGGGTTGTGAACGGGCCGAGGTTGGCTGGCTCCGGCACAATGACGATGATGACTGCATCAAAGGACGTGGTCCAGTTGGCATCCATAACACCCGTGAAATTGTGCAAGAACTCATTTCGTGGGATTGCAGTCTTTGAGGATGAAATATGTTGGGAAGACACGCACTGATAAATATTTATGAGTACTACCATTTCTACATCAATGACATCAAAGTCTACCTATGGTCCGAGTTGAGCACCTTCGTATCCAAATGGATAAATGATGGCTCTTTCCTCAAAAAATTCGCTACCACATAAAACAATCTATGTGGAAGCTAGAACAGCGAAGGCAAGTTGCTACCTACCGTGCTGTTCTGTGGCCAATGAATACTGGCTAGTCTGGCCTGCGATAGGCGTCAGGCTGGTTATAAAACTGTGTCCTGGACTAATTCAGAACGTCATCGGGGAGTAGAAAGAGCCGGTTCCTGTGGAGAACATTTCGTAGGAACGTAGGGGCGCAGTCTAGAGCCGAGATGCCAAGAAGCTTGACATTCGGAGCCGACGGCTTTTCCAGCCCAGCACTCCCATCGAACTGACGGTCGTTTGATGAGTAATGATGCTGAAAAGGACGACGGCCAAAATTGAGGATTCCACTCCGGGTATGAAATACTCCATGGTCGATTTAGATTTGAGGCATCGTTGAAGGCACGCAGGCTATGGATGGCGGAGCGTTTTGCTGCTTAAATAATTATTTTTGAGCTTTGCAGTCAGAATGGGCACGAGGCCACCTTTACCACTACTTTACCGTAGCCCCTGCTGTATGTATTTCCTACTACAAGGCTGTAATACCTGTCAGGCACGAGAGTCAGATCCGCAAGATCGGCAGGGGAGTTGAATGAGATACGTCACGGCGCTGCCACCCAAATTGCTACTGCTTCCATCCTCATCAACCATCAAGATAGATTAATGGGCAGTGGAAGAACTGTTAAGAGTTGGCGTTGGGTTTCGTCGTTGGTTGTGTTGTATTTTCTAGTCTTGCGTGGCTGCAAGTCGGCCGTGGGTACTAGTCTCGAGGACCCCAATGTCTGGCGGTTTGCGGCATGTAATGAAAATTACTCTATGAGATGACAACGTGCGCCCGCACAAACCGTCTTGTAGAAAAGCTCCCGGAGACTTGCTCGGTCTATTACAACACACAGACATAACATGCATGGTAAGTTGGCAAGCTGTGTCGGCATTTAGTGGTCACACAGCACAAGAGAGCAGGGTAGTCGCAGATGAGTACATCATGGGACTTCCGAGGTGTTACGGTGACAGTCTCTGTCGTCTGGGACCAGCAAATTGTGGACGGACGAAGGCGTCTTCTGCGTCGGCAAAAGGATTCACAGTTTGGTCGAGAGCACCCGGAGTGCATTTGACTCGTTTGATGTCCGCACAGTGCTATCCGCTCTGATGATGGTGAAATGTGATGGCAAGAGTCTGAATCCAGAAGGCCATTTCGCACGAGGTTGCGTTGGGTCGTAAAGACGCGTGTGCGGAGTCCGTAGCCAAAGTCTATGAACTCTGGCCAGTTAAAGCGATGACAGTGGTTCGAGAACGGGGGCAGACCAAAGCGAGGGTTACATCGTTCCCAAAGTCCTCAATTCATGGGGAGACACGCGACCACTGAGCTGTGGTGCTACCATAATTCGATCGATGAGTCGCCAAGGTACTGTAGAGCGGGGACAGAGGAGGAAATCTTGGGTAAGGTGCCGGAGTTCATTAGCTACCGTGATCCGGATGAAGAACGGAGCGCTGCATCATTTGAAAGTATCCAGAGGCCGTACGTACCAAATGCATGACAAATAGGCTGGTTTCGCACACACAGCGCGAACCAGCTTCCCATTGACAATCAGGCAGGCAAGACCTGTGACTTGGAACGATGTTGTGCAGGAACGCAAGATGGCGGCCACAAATGCGTTGAGATTGTCGAGAGCCATGTCCTGCGACACCATGTTCCAATAGTATTTTCCAACTCCGGGCCCTTGGGTACTCAGGGGCGGAACAAGAACCGAAACCGACCATCAAGCAGGCACGGGTGTCTGGAAGGATTATTCGCGGTAGACTCTGGCCATGGCCGTGTCGAGGAGAGAGGAAGACATCAAAAGTTGGGGCATGCAACATTAAAAGAAGTAAAGTTTAGACATGGCGCAGGTGGGGCATTGGAGGACGAGCCAACAGTCGACTGGTTGGAAGCAGACAGACACAGAAATAGTATGCACAACAGAATTAGCATGCGCGGAACCGCGGAAGCACACGCCCCTCCTTCGTCCTGGGTGGTTCATTGCACACCGATCAAATCTCGCATAATGGCCCATGGCCATCGGCACTTGGGTAAAGTACCTACCAGGTAGGTAGACATCCGTCAGGGTCAGGCCGTGCCAATACGTAGAAAAGTGTTGGTGTGGTCATGCGAAAGGCTTGCACCGTCGACCCAAAAGAGCTTCGAAATACTTTATAGTGGCCATCATAGCTTCATTGTTCATTTGCAACGGAGAGGGCGTCTGTATTGCTCTGCGCATCTCGGCCGATTCCTTCCATCAACCAACGATGCAGTTTGGGAAGGCGCAGTGGAGCTTGGGTTTGCCTTGCCCCATCCTGTACGGATTATTAGGTACCGATGCGAGCGTAAATGTGCAGAGATGGAGGCGCTGGGGCATCTGGAACGCTCAAGGCACCAGACGAATACCGACGGGCATGGCAGCCTCTCACGGCCTCCTTTGTGCTGGTTCCGTCAATCTTCCCCAACGTCCCCTCATGACCTCATCTCCCATTCTGTTCCAATGCTACGAGGCCCAAGTTACAGTGGCTGTATACAGCCAGGATGCGGACAGAACACGCACAAATGAGTGGTTCTGTCGGGCGTCACGCGGCATTTTGGCTCTGCTTTTCGCAGCCGTGACGCTCTTGCCTGCCTGGTCGACTTTGGGGTCAGCGCCACTGCCGCACGCCCCTCCGCATTGTTCTGCCCCACCGCGAGACCCCTGGATGTCGTAGCCCGCACCTCCACCCCCTCTCGTTCCATCGCCAGCATCGATTGATCCGCCCACATGCGCACTTGCATTGCAGTGACTTGTGTCACCCTCTCCTTCTGCTCCCTTCCCCTTCCGCAATCCATCAAGTCCATATGCATACTCAGCCTTCCTTGTGTCTTGCTTGCCAGAGTCAGAATACAATCGAGCGGACCGCGACGCGTGCACCAAAATAAGCCTCGACTAGCCGGCCCATTTGCGCATACCGAGTGCGACTGCGCAGCTCGCCTTGCCGCCCAAATCGCCGTCCCCGACTACGCTGTGTGTCTCTCGCCTTGCCCGCTTGTTTGATTAGCTTGTTTTCTGTTGGTCTTGCCTTTGTGTTTTCCGGTCGGGTGCTAACCCAGTAGAACGGACCTAGCCTTCAAACCTCGTCCTTCGGACTCTGCCAAGTTCAACTTTGCTGCCGATTGAGCCATTGGATGGATGTGTTTGCTGTGCGGCCTAGACCTTGCATCCCCCATCGTTCGACTAGACCTTCTGCCTTTCTGAATGCCGTTTCTGCTATCGGTGAGGGCTGTGTTCGATTGCACTGCGTCTTGAATTTCGTGGACGCGGCCGGCCGCCACCACGCGCATTTACCTATTGCATTCCGCATTTTGCACGCACGCGGAAGCGCACACACCTGCACATACACACCCCCTGCCTTTGTCTATGACCTGTCTCATCTGCATTTACTGTCGTATTCACTCTTTCCCAATTAGAAAGTCCCACCAGACATGTTTCTGCCCAGTATAAATACCACGGGGGAGGACCTCTACGAGGTGGTGGTTGAGACACCCTGGTTGTCAACAATCTACTCCCCCGGCCTTCAACAAAGCTTGACGCGGATTCCTGGCGTCATGAAGTTCGTCAAATTCGCCTCGGCGGCTGTTCTTGCTGTCATTGGTGGACAGGTAGGAGCCGATTCTTCTTTTACTCCTGCCAGACCTCCGGCTGTTCCTCTGGCCGTGCGTAATCCATATCTGAATGTCTGGCTCAACGGGCAAGAAAACGGCCCTCACGCTATCCTCCCGGGGCAATGGCCCAAATTCTGGGCGTAAGTTCTGCCCCCCTTTCCCCCAACGGTGATCTCAAATTGCACAAGTTTTAGCATCAAGATCACGGGAGAGACGCAGTAGCTAATTTTCCCATTCTCTGCCGCGTACAGAACCGGGATTCAAGGATGGCAAGGCTTCGTCAAGGTCGACGGTGAAGTATATAACTGGATGGGTGGCGCTCCTGGAGCTCCGAATGTCGACCAGTTGAGCTTAGAGTATACGTCAACTCGTAGCATCTTCAACATGTCGGTTGCTGACAAGGTTGACATGCGAGTGGAATTTCTATCGCCCGTCTACCCAGACGACTTGAGGCGCCAATCTGTCCCCTTTTCATACATCAACGTTGCTGTTAAATCTCGCGACGGCAAGTCGCACAGAGTGCAAGTCTATTCCGACGTGTCGGGAGGTCAGTCAGAGCCCCTTGGCACCCTTGACACCCGTGGCTGTGAGCTTTCTGCTGACGTACGTGTTCTCAGAATGGGCATCGGGCGACACTGGAGCAGTGGTTGAATGGGATACTTCATCCAATTATGGCGTGCGTAGCCACAGGTTCTGGAAACAGAAAGAGACCGTCTTCCAGGAGGATGGAGAAAATGCAGCTTGGGGCACTTGGTACTGGTCCACTGGTGACCAGAGTGGTGTAAGCTACAAGATTGGTTCTGACGTGGATGTACGCGGGCAATTCCTCCAAGAGGGGTCGCTGGACAACCGGGTTGACAACCTGTTCCGCGCCGTCAATGACAGGTGGTGAGTCAAAACTCTATTGCATCTTGACATCACTGGAAACACTGCTGACCGGGGACCAAAGGCCCGTCTTTGCCCTTTCCCGTGATCTAGGCACTGTCAAGGGCGGATGGGCCGAGACTGTCTTTACCATCGGGGTGGCCCAACGGGACAGTATTCAGTGGGTTGGGGAGGCTGCAGACCCGCAGAGCGTGCCATCTCTATGGGCTTCATATTTTCAGGAGAATGACCTAGTCCCATTTTTCTACCACGACTACGACAATGCCACGCATGCTGCCAATCGATTGGATCTTCGCATCCAGAGAGACTCTGTTGCTGCTGCTGGCCAGGACTATGCAACAATCACCACTCTATCTCTTCGACAAACCTTTGGTGCCCTCGCATACACAGGCACCCCAGACAATCCTTTAATTTTCCTCAAAGAAATTTCGTCAAATAGTGACATTCAAACTGTTGACGTCATCTTCCCTGCGTTCCCCATCCTCTTGTACTTGAACCCGAACCTGCTCAAGTATCTTCTCGAGCCTCTTTTGCTCAATGACCGATACCACTATCCGAATGACTTTGCACAGCACGACTTGGGGCGTTTTCCCAGGGCCCTTGGCTACGCTGATGGGAACGATGAACACATGCCCCTGGAGGAGTGCGGCAACATGATTATCATGATGCTTGCCTATTCTCAGATGAAGCATGACGACGAATATCTTTCGGCCAATTGGGATTTGCTCGTCAAATGGGCTCAGTACATGATAGACGACGCCAAGATCCCTGCGAGCCAGCTCTCTACCGATGACTTTGCTGGCCACCTTGCGTAAGTCTCGCCCAAAGCCACGTGAAGACGAGTCCCAAGTTAACCATGTGACCATAGTAACCAGACCAATCTGGCCATCAAAGGCATCATTGCCCTCCAAGCCATGTCCGAAGTCGCCACCCGGGCCGGGTTCGAAGACGAGAGTAGCAAATACTCTACTCTGGCCAAGGAATACCTTGAATTCTGGACTGAGCATGGCGTCAATGCCGAGGCCGGGCATAGCATGCTGCAGTATGACAACAAAGACTCTTACGGTACGCGCACTGCACGCTCATCAATAGTCACTAGGGAGAGCTAACACATGGGGTGCCAGGTCTCCTCTACAATATCTACCCAGACAAGCTTTTAGGTCTCGACTTTATTCCCCAGGAAATCTACGACATGCAAAGCGACTTTTACCTCAAGACGCAAAAGGAATATGGCGTTATTCTCGACACGCGCAACGTCTGGACCAAGGTGGATTGGGAGCTGTTCGCGGCCGCTGTAGCCAAGCCCGAAACGCAGAACATGTTCATCTCCAAGATTGCCAGATGGATCAACGAGACGCCCACCTGGCGTGCCTTTACAGACCTGTACGACGTGAATACTGGTGGCTATCCTGGGGGTCTTCAATTCACGGCGAGACCTGTGGTGGGCGGCACGTTCTCGTTGCTTGCGCTGAAGAAATAGACGCAGCACAAATAGAGTCACGATTCGGCGGCTAGGATTATAGTTGTTTTTGTTTTGGAAACAGCCCCTTTTCAAGCGTATCATGCCCTTATTTCCGCTCACAAACAGTCTCGTTGCATCCCGTAGTTCAGTATTGCTACAAGGCAGCCTTTTTTTTTCCCGGACAAGCAGACCGGTCCAGTTGGTATTTGATGCGCAGTAGTTATCGCATAGTGGACACTGCATGGGCCTATCGCTTGTGTTGGAACAAACAGGACTCTTTTGAGCCTGCTGGTCTCGATGGTTGCTTTTTCAAGGGCTTGGGTCATAAGGAGCCCTAGCACTCTGGTGGTTTTTAGGGGCTCTGAATACACATGTAAGTATAAAAGGGGACCCTGATGATCAACATGATGAATCAATTCAATTAAACACGATCAAATTGCTCTACTATTTCCAACAGCTTGCCGACTCATTGAATGGCACAAATAAAACATGGAGTCCCACACAGATTCAAAAGCTCACGTGTAATACGACACAACGGGCAAACACGTCTTGGTGTTACAATGTCATATAAGCAAGCTGTACTAGTGGATTCCGAGACTCGAGGCCGTCACTGTGAGCAGTTTGCCACGGCGTTCTAAATTACATTCCGGCAATGACTATCGAGCGAGTGAGCGTCTTGCCATCTGAATCATTTCACGGGTGACAAATATATACACTGGACAGGACTAATCAGCACAAGGTGGGCAAAAGTATATGAAAGCTTTGATGAATTCAGTGTTCCTAATGCTACTCTTCTCTAGAGTACTTGCTTTCCTTTCCACACCGAGGCTCCCCATGCCGTCTCGTTGCACAACCGACCTTGCCCCGACTTGACTCTTCCGTCAACGCCGTACAATCCCCTACTCCGCGTCGTCGCACTTGCCCTGCTCAAACAATTCCTGCGACTGGGTGAGCAGATTCTCAATCTTGGCGGCGTGTCGCTTGGCGATGTTCCTGGCCATGCTGTGGCTGATCTTGTTGCAGATGGACTGGGTGAGGGCGCGGCCGGCGGTGCACAGGGCGCCGATCTTCTCGCGCGCCAGGCCGCACTTCTTGGCCTTCTTGACGGCGTCGACCTTTTCCTTGACGGCGTCGAGGAGTCTCTTGGCCGACTTGTCCATCTCCTGGACGGGCTTGAGGAGCACCAGGGCGCCGGCGAGGCCGATGGGGTCCGAGTTGTCGACGATGGCCTGGCAGGTCTGGATGTTGGCGGTGACGGCGTCGGTGGCGTTGACGACGGGCTGGATGGTGCCTTCGAAGGCCTTGGTCTCGGCGTCGAGCTTGGTGATGGAGCCGGTGACGTCGTTGAGGCACTTGGGGAGGTCGTGGTCGCCTGCGCGGGGGAGGATGGCCGCGTGGGTGCCCGAGAGGGCGAGGAGGGCGAGGGCGGCGAACTTCATGGTTGCTTTTGGTGGTGGTGGGTGCTTTTTGTGTGCGTGGTGGGAAGGGAGGTGGGATTTGGGGATGATGTTGTTGGAGTTGACTTTTTGTTGGCTGGGGCGTCCTGGGGGCTTTATATAATGGCCTTCTTGGGGGATCTGGAGCTTGCTAGCAAATGTTGTTGGAGGGCTAACTCGGTCGTTTGCGTCACCTTGCGAGGATGAGTCTGTAGGCTCGGTGGTATTGGCGGAGCTAGGATCGAGCGAGTGGTGATATCTGCGCCGAGTCGTGGAAAGGGGTTTGGGGCGCATGGGGCAAAAACGGCGTCGGGCGCAGCATCTCATTACGAATGGGGGACTTGGCTCAAAATCAAGACTAAATTCGTGCTTAGCTGCGTAATCTTGCCGGTTTAGCTTATCCTTAGGTCCGGTATCATGCGGTCACTCTGTCGTCCGGCGGAAGTCGTGAACATTGAAGTCTTCAGGCACGGGTCATGAGGCGGCATTGAGTTTCGCCCAGCAAGTCGCTTGAGCAAGCTGGGCCTAGCGCAAGGCGCGCGACGTAAAACACGAGTTTGGTCTGGTCGAATTTGTCTTGCCGCGCGTGGCATCATGCCATCATCGTCTGAGCATCAGATTGCCCAGAGCGGCAAGAGGCTCGGCCATACGCATCATCCATTTGGGGAACTGGCGCCGTGTTTTCTTGCTATATCGACTGTGTAGTGCAGGTCCAGCAGCCTCGGGCCATTTTTAGACACTTATACTGTTCATGTCCTCCTGGGTCCGGCGTCGCGGTCATATGATGATTATGCACGAGGGACTGCTCGTGGACGTCACGGCCTGGCTGTCCAATCTGGGGACCCGGCACTGTTGACAATGTTGCAGTTTGGAGGGCTTTTGCGTCCTTTAACCGCTGCTCTATTTGACGGTATCAGCCCATATCGAGCACACGGAGCTGTCGGGCCCTTTTCATCTCTACTCTTGACCAAATATCCCCGATATCCCTTTTGGTCTTGACGTGGTCCTGTGACGGCACAAAGTGTGGGCAGCCTCACGCTCACCCGGGCAATACGCCTAGGACTACCCTAGATACTACACCTACAGTTGGACGTGAGGAGAGACGTGTGAAGGCGGACTGGCTGAATGGATCAGATCGAATACTGTCGTTGTGGGTGGAAGAAGAGCGATAACAGACTGCGGTTGGGCTCTTTGCGTTATTGTAATGTCTCCACGGCCATTTTCGGCGGCGTGTATAGCAAAGTGAAATTACTTGCTAGGATGACTACTCCGTGCTGGTCCAAGATGGGTAATGTTGACTGATACTACCTGCTCAGTCAAACTCAACTGTAGTAGCTGCTGGCATCAGTCATGCTGCCTGACACAACCTTAAGAACAAGCCTTCAATGCTGCGTTCCGACATTTGTACCAATATTCTCAGATCTTAAAACGGAACACGGTCACAATGAGTTCACTCGGTTACACCCTGATGCCGGTATCGAGGTGATCTGTATGTGGGAACCACATCACCAAACGTAGTGAACTAATGAGCTCGCAGTAGTTCAGTATCCAGGGACTGGTATCTTTGACTGTCTCAAACTACATCAATCCCCTTGAACCGATGGGAACCATCTAACGTACTACCTAGTCTAAAAGAAAGGTCATAGGATGTAGGTATTATGCCAGGCCAACAGGCTGTTCACTCTTGGTAGAACCACACATCCGTTGGTGCCCTATGAGAGGATCGGAATGCCGGCCTACTCCATGCCCTGATAAATAGCCGGGGGCAAAATGGCAACAATAGAGCCATAAAGCCAAGTGAGGCCATATTAGCATCTTCGTTCTCGTCAGCTGGCTACGTATTCCAAGGGAATTAGTGATTCAGGTGCCGCACAAGTAGCAACTGCAGGCCACACGGCTCTATTCAGCGTATAAATAGCTAGATGACCGTAGGAGTTTTCAAGACCAAGTACCCTGAAACTAGCGAGGAGTGCAAGAACGGAAGTATTGGTAACGTTGCGCGGTACGCCTTTGTCGATGATGGCCAAGTCGCTTGGAGTACGTAGAATTAGACTCGGATAGACGCATTACATAGGACGATGTGCGTTTATCTAACCGTCTCTTGTTGAATATATAATTTGAAATTGTCGTGCCGTTCACTGCCAAAATCAATTTAAAGAATTGGATAACCAGGCAGTGTTGTGTTTTCTAAAAGTTACCAAACACAACCAAAACTCGTAGCAGACCGAGGTTAAGCCTGACACTACTTGTTGTAAACATTCATGGAAAGGTAGAGATGGTGGTGGCTACTGTCTAATCATATTAGGTTGATGCGATCTCTTGACTATCAGAAATGTATTTAAAATGCTTCACACATTTCATGTATTACTAAGCCCTGCAATTTTATACCACCGTTAACGGAAAAGTACGTGTAGAGAATCTCTCGTACTTGTACTATAGTTTTAAAGCTCAAGTTAAACTAACAAGCAACAGCTAACTATAGAGGACTCGAAGCCAATGCAGAGACACTCAATAGGCTACATTCTAGTTAGACTTGCTTCCATTTAACCATGCAATTTGAACTGCAATAAGAACCAGTCCTTAGTATCCGTTCCATTCTAGCTTCCCTCACAATAAATTTCAATCTCCAAAGTCGTTGGCAAAAGGCTCAACCCCACGCTTCACCCGTTACAAGCCAAACGGCCAGGTCTCATCGTATTCCAGAGGCTCCTCCGGCTGCTGAGTTTCAATACCCCTCACAGGGGACGAGCTATCGAACCACAAGAAGCCATCAAACTGTTCCGGAAGAATAGCCGAAGAATAGTGAGATTGCCTTTCCGTCCTCGGCTTGTATATGACGCCAATAAACCGCTCCAGCCGCGGCTTCATCAATTCCCTCCGCAGGGCCCCGTCGCATTTTCCACGTCTGAGGTCCAGAGCAAAGCTGTCAATGCCCGTGGCATGCATCAGCTCCTCATAGCTGCCGGGCAATGCTGGCTGTACCTTGACAACCCGCATATCGCCGCCCCAGGTACTCGCTGCTGCAACGCTTCCAGTGTACGTGCCACAACCTATACTCAGGCAGGATTGGCCGTACGTCTCCTTGCAAAGTTGGCCAATGTTGATTTCACGCCGAGAAGCGCCCATGCTGGTCGCCCGGGCGTCGCCAACATGGCTGTTATGTGCCCACACAATGGCTTTTGACTTGACGCCTCGGTGCTTGAGGATTCGGCCCAGCGTGTTGGCCATGTGCGTGTCTCGCAGGTTCCAAGACTCGTTGAGCCCATAATACATTGTCTTGTAGTACCGCTCTGCGTCTGTAACGACTCGTCAGTCATGGCTGTGTGACAAACACGCTCCCCGTCTGTGTCGACTCACCCGCCGCCACTCTTGCATTCTGCTCTGCGCTATGAAACTCGTCCCCGTCCCAGTGGACCGAGGAGTATTGCACGCGCTTCTTGAGCAAATCCTGCAGCATGGAGATGACTTCTTTTTCGTGGACTTGGAATCCTGTGGCGAGGGCTGCGACGCCGTAGTCGTGAGGGTCGTCTGCCCACACCATGAGCTGCTCGTACCTGTGCCTTGCTAATTCGGCCATGTCGCCGTCTACTTTGTCGAGATAGTCAATGACGGCCTGCATGGAGCTGCGGAGAGAATACAAGTCCAGTCCGTAGAAGCCGACGGATTCGTGTACAGATTTGCCTTGGCTCGTGTTGTATTTCCGGAGCCACTCTACAAATTCTTGTACTTCCGAGTTTCGCCACATCCACGTCGGGAAGCGCATGAATGGTGCCTCGCGTGCGTCTTTTGTTTTGCCAACGGCCGTGAGACTGATGCCTTTGTCGGGAGGTACTCGCCGCCGGACATATCTATCCACAACTTCTGCGTCTGGCCAGTCGCCTTCGATGGCGATAATGTTGAACCCGTGGTGTTCAATCATGTACTTGGACAACTCGGCTCGCGCCGTGTAGAACTCAGACGTCCCATGCGAAGCATCCCCCAGCAGTAGTACCTTGCATTTCCCAAAGTCATCGAATGCCTTGTTATAGGTTGCGCTGCCTGACGCAGAGTCGAACGATATAGCATTGGCCGCTAGGAGACCACATGGTGAGTTTGGGTCTTTCGTAGGTTCTTTGCCAACTGAAGTCATTGTTGTGGTTGTGTCTCAACGTCTCATCTTTGTACTTGTTCAGTGTGCCATTCCACTGATGTTAGCGTTCAAGTTGAATTTCGGAGCACATGCATTGAGACACTTACACGCAGGGGCCAGAGTATGACAACTTGTTCGCTATATTACTGGCTTCGCCTCACCTCTGCGTAACCCGCTGGTGGTCACACCTAGTCCTTCATTGAATCATTCCGCCCGTCACGTATTATATTTCAGAGGCGGGTGAAAATTCTGCCGCAGAAGTGTATGCGGAAAACTCAACACCCTCAAATGAGTACGTACTGTGGAATTGGTGGGAAGATATGACGTGACATGTCCGTCATCCAACGCCATGTCTATTTTGTGGCCCCCAGTGCCATCTTGAATCAATACAGCCCCGAATGTCCCTATTGGCTGGTTTTTCAGCCTTGGTCGCAATTTGCCGCGAATGACAAGCGCCGTTGTCCGAACCGCCAGTTATAACCACATCAATGAGGCCTTGACCATTCTCTCATATCTCGCGACGCCTAGGCAAGAATTCTGGAGTCGGGCATGATATGCTTCTTTATCCCAGGCTGTATGAATATTGACGCGAGAAGAGGGTAGACGATATTGGACGGACTTGTATAAACCTCCGTTCTAATTCCCGGGGGCATCGACCTCGACTACCAATGCCTTGCGAACCCATCAAACTTCAAACTCGTTGCCAGAGCTACAGCACACTTGCAACTCCATGGCCCGTGTCGGTGGACCCCTCCTCGTTGTGTGTCATGTCTGGTGCGTGACGTGGGTTGCTGGAGTTGAAAATTTAGCCACGTTGTCTTGGCACCTCGTCTGTAGCCGAGTGTGTGGTACCCTCTTCCGTATTGCAATAAAGGATTGGTGCCATGCAGGTGACGGTTTGTATAGAGTCAAGTCTATTAGCCGCAACCACTACTCAAGACCAGAGTTATATACACAACAGTGGTGCCCAAGTGGACCGGGACGCCTCCTCGGCTGGGGCGGAATATCGTTTGACATGCTCAACGGTTTCTTATTGTCAGTCGAGCTGAGCCTTCAGTTGAATCAATGGCAAATTATCATGACTGGGTGTATGTCAAGACGTCCATCACGAAACACACGAGTTGCTGTGTAGAGCTGCTGTGACTACACCAGTGTTTGATAGCTCCCGCTTCAAAGGGAATAGGAATAATATAATACAAGAAAATTAAATAAATTGAACCAATCGAGCAAGATCCCCGGCCGCCTCACCGTATCTGACCGCTTGCTTCAAGTTCACAAGGGGCATGACCCGAGTTCCCAGCAGCCGCTGCACCCATCTCATACCGCCGCCTCGCGGCACTCTCAGGCATCTGTACGTGTCGATGCCCATCGTCACCGTGCAACTCGTGTCCGCCGGCAAAAGACGCTGCCATCTGCAGCGGTACCCTACCACCCGGGCTCGTCGTGTGAATCTTCTCGTCGTAACCCGGTTGGGACTGTGAGTGGTTTGCCCTCGCCCTTGCACGCCTATGCCTGTGCCAAACATAGAATCCAACACCGGCAATAGCCAGCACAACGACGGGAATCGCAACGCCCAAGCCGGCTTTTACGGCCGTGGGCGTCCCCTCCGAGTCGCTGGCCATCACGTACATGGTCGACGTTGCTTGGACGGTTACTAACGGTGTTACACCCGGGCTCGTTAACAAATGATCAAGTGATTGCAATTCATGCGGAGCGGGTTATACCTGGACTAGCAGCAGGGACACCGCCATTCCCAACAGTAAGAGCATACCCTGCGGAATAATGCCAACACCAGCGCTGCTGGCCTTTGTTTGTGTAACCACTGTGGTCTGCGTCGTCGCCACCGACGCAGACCCGGTATTGTCAGTCTTGGATGGCTGGGTGCCACCATCTGAGCTGTTGAGCGAGGTGCTCGGGGGCCACGAGCTCACTTGTGTCTTTGAAGTGGGAGCGGCAGCGGCAGTGGCAGTGGCGGACACGGATTGAGGCGAGGGCTGCGGGAGGCCGGCGTCCTTGCAGTAGCCGGCGTAGATGTTCTGCATCGAGGTGCGGTCCTTGTTGAGATCACCCACCAAGCACTGTTCTTTGGCGCATCTCTCGATCCAGGAGCTTGCTTTGCTCGCCGACGCGACTTCGGTTGCGCAGTAGCAGTCGTTCTTGTATGGAATCCCACAAGCTAGGGCGCCGCCAAGGTCATCCTGGAAACCAGGGTAGATCAGGCAGTACCTGACGCACTTGTGTGCATCTGACGGGATGTCCTTGGTGATGGTGACGGTTTGCGCAAGGCAGAGCGCAGGGATTAGACAGAGAACGAGGAAGACGAAGGCGTGGGACGCCATTTTGGAGATTTACAATGGCGATGTGTGAAAAGAGGTCCAGAAATGTAAAGTCAGGCACGGCGTAGGTTCCTTGCCCGCAAACAGAGGACGTGGCCACGACTTTATACATATGGATGGGTGTTTGGCGTGTCCTTGCCTTTCATCTCGTGCATATCTGGTGCAGTTCCGCCCGTGTTCTGCCAAAGCCAAGGATGACTTTCCGTCTGTATTGGCGCCGATGCGGATCTACGGGGGCTGAAAGATGGCGTGGACGAGCTCCTTTATCAGAACAGAGTTCTAGACCACAACCCACGGCAAGGCGGTGACCCATGACGCTGTCCCCGAAATAAAACAAGACCAGAATAAGCGCCAATGCTGCACGACCAGGGGGAACCGACTCCATCTGCAAGGGCTCGGGTACCCTTTCGATATGACGGAAGCACGGCGCTACAATATATGCAGCCAAAGTACGGATACTCAACAGTATCCTATAGCTCAACGCATCATCCCGCTACCCGCACGCTTCAACTATGCTCATCATGTCATAGCCCAGCAGACACTAGGAGTCGTCATACGTTTCGGCGTGGAGCCACTGCTTTTCGAAATGCTCGGGATTTAGCAAGGAGCCGCTGAGATCGCTTCATTCAGGCCTCAAATTCACATCACACAACTAGACAGGTTTAACTAAACGACGAGGATTGGCAAGATGCTCCTGATTCTCTTTAGAGACAAATCGCTGATACCTGTGAACCTAGCCAAGCACCGACTGTATTGGAGACGGAAGGTCCAACGTTGAGTTTCGTAACCAGCTTGACTCCATCTAAGCGCGCCAGACAGCTCAGCTCACCAAATACCTCCTGTAGGCGTCCCTCGTCGAAGAGCCGCATGCGTGTTCATGTGAACCAACTGCTTACTGGAGAATATGCTGCCGCTTTACAACTTACGGAGTCTGGTGGAAGTTTAAATTAGGTAGAACCAGGTTCACAGGACTATCTAATACAAAGACGGGGTGTCTGATGAGCAAATAGCAGAAAGATAAGAAAGAATAAGTAAGGGATGGTCACCTGGAATGCCGTTGGGGGCCTGATTATTCATTCGACGGTAAGCTATGCGCCACGGAGCATTGTGAAACAAAATACCAGACACCAGACGCATTCACGGATAAAGCGGAGCACATTTAACGGAACCCCCAGTCAAAGTAGCCGATAAATATTTTAATATCCCTCAAAACAGCACGCCGCCTTATAGGCGCCGGGGAATCATCTGTACGCAGCACGATTGAGTGAGAGCATCGAATGGACTGGGATGGATGTGTTTCAAACCGACGCAGGTGGCCATGTTTGGCCAGAAGGAAGACATGGAGAGGGGGAAGAAAGAGAGGACTGCCAAGCCCATATCCTACATATTCTGTCCCTGAGAGCCAAGTGTCAGGGCTTGTCAAAATAAAATTAAAATTAAACTATGGCTGAAGCGGCCCGACGGCTGCGTTTATCTCGACTGCTTCCAAGCGCCAGTCGCAGGACAGCCCTCATCCAGGATCCAATGGACGTCGTACATGGGGCTGAACCCGGACCGCAGCTGGATTACCAGGTTTGTTGACGGCCCTGGTCAGAAATTGTCATGCTTTGATTCGGAGGTGGCTGGAAGAGCCAACTCAGCCAACCGACTTGTATCATGGGGACGACGGGCAGGCTTTCAGCTTTGCCCAGCTGGTTGGGCGCCAAGGGATGCGACCAACAGCTAATTATCAATATATTGATTGATCCTGGAAGCAAATATTGATGACAAGCCTGTTGGTTCAGTCAGCCCAGTCAACCGGTTAGATTTTGAGTAGTTGTTAGGACGCGCTCCTCTACTCCATAGAGCATGCAAAGGACTGCGACTAAAAATAGCCGCCTCTTTCGAGGTGACAGACAGCCTCGCTGATCATGTACCGTTAAATCACACCTCTGCAGGGGTTACCGCGGGCGCTTCGGTTCATTGAATATCTTGGAGACGCCCGTTTAAAAAAGTCAAGACTGAGAGACATCCGCCACCTCTTGTACTCGACACACATACTCTATATTTCTACAAACTGACTTACACCCATAATGGCTAAATACGCCAATGGTCAATGGTTCTGCCACTGTGGCTATCCTGCAAAGTGGCTCAAATCGACGCAACCACATAGCTCGGGCTGGGAATGTAAGTGTCGCCTCCCATCTCGCGTACATTGAATGATTTTTCGTTGATGCGTATCCAGTCGCGAGATGCCGCCTCAACGATGGCGTCGGGTGTCGGTTCTGGATGTGGGCAAAGGACGAGCCCTTTGAGCGAGCCGTATATCAAGCAAAGACACAGGGCCAAACGAACGATGCGGACATTCATGAGCCGCCTATGCCACCGGCAGAGTCTACGAACAGGACATGTATCCCCGAGCCCAATACCTTGCGCGTCGACGGGTCCTGCCCACACCACGGCTGCGGAAAGAAACGACTGTTTAGTCGTAATCGCTGCACCTGTAGGCCGCAGTGACGTCTGGTGGGAATGCCTTGGATGAAACTGTTGGAATTGGAACGGTGTTCAATTTGACGAGTCCCATGGCCCAACATGGCTGTCCATATTGTTCCCTATGACACTTGACCTGCCTGATGGCAAGTTTAAAGCCGCTCTAGCTGCTGTTCTTGGCACCGCCCCTCACCCTTTCACCAAGGTTGAAGCTTTTGAAAGGCCCGGCACTAAATCTTATAGTTTCAGTTGCTGCCGCAAAGTTTAGCCAGGGCATAGCCTTTTTTTCATACATATGAATATGAATAGAAGCCTCGCATATGCATACTTATGCATATATGTGGATAGTATCACGTGGCAACTCAGAACTCCAGCTTTACCATCCTGAGAATGTGTTTATGCATACGAGCAAGTCGAATATGTGAGCAAACTTCTTATATAACCGACGGAAAATATTGAGAATTATGCAAAGGTAAATAACAGGCCGTGTAATATGAACTGAACACCTTTAGTCCAGAAGTGGATCAGAGTCAACATCCATTGTAGCCGTCCAATCTTGTGGCATGCAAAAACCCCAGACACTAATAAGTTACATTTTGGACTCGGAGTGCTCGAGGGAGGCCCTCTGCCCAAAAAAGAGCTAACGGGGAAAAAGTCAATGGTTCAGCTCACCAGACTACATCAAACCAGACACGCTGACACAGTTGGAGCTTGCTCACCATGATGCCCTGGAGAATGGCGCAGATGTATGCCGCGAGTTGTGGGCAGCTATTTAGCAAGGACACGCAAACAAACGAGCGTTCAGTGCCATATACCTCCCACAGCCCAGCAGCAACTAGGCCGACTGCGCCGACAATGATGGGAACCAAGGCATGCCAGCTGCTCCATGGGAATTGCGCGCCGCCCCAGGTGATGCCGATCAAGAAGCTGCTTGCACTGGCTAACCCGGTCGAACATCATCAACCTAGTTGCGACCGCCTGTTCACTAATGCTGCTCAAAGTACTCGGCCTCGCTCCTGGTTTCATTCGCTTAATTAGCAGAGTACTTTGCGGCATAGCGAGACTGCGCACCCATTTCTGGTTCATGAAAAGGCATAGTATTTGACTAGAAGTTACATGTCTGTAAAACGTGCGACTTTTTTGGTATCAACCCCGTCTCAAAATATCACGCTCAAGAAATAGACAATCGATCTCGGCTGATCTCAGCTTGCACCATCCAATGCAACGCCACGTCGTCATCCCGTATCCCTCTCTACTTGGCATGGTAGAAGTTTTCGTCCGGTTGCTCCTCTGGCGCCGTCAGAGATGGCTCCCACTGTTCCTCCTTTATCTTTGTGGATGACGCGTTCTCCAGTTGAATATCGAGGCTGACAATCCGGACCTGCTGCCTCCGCACCAGCATGCTATTCCCCCTAGACGCCCTGGATCTCGCCATTGTCGAGTTGATCGTACTCCCAAATACCCGCGGACACATGCGGACCAGTATCAGTCGGACTGTTGGAAGACAGGCACATATGAGGCCGATGTTGATCTCAATAGTCGACCACCACGCTGTATGCCACAGATCCCAGGTGGGATTTTCTGAACTATAGAAATAAAGAAGCGACTGCAGTCGCAGGATGGACACAACTGTTACACTGCAAGACAGTCAGCGTCTGCGGCTCCAGGGCAGCCAACTTCAATTACAAACCCAAGCCACACATCTCCCAGGCTCAGGTGGCACATTTGCAAGGGTCATTACTTACAAAGTTCCCGTCAAGAACATGATTGCCGCTCCAATCTTCTTCTTCCAGTGTAGTTCCAGCTTTTTAATCTGAGACAGCGGGATGCCAATCATCCACACGTCGATGCCGACGCTGACGGCGCCGTTGATCCATCCGAGCAAGTTGATATTGAGGCATTTCCCATCTTCCTCCTGCACGTACTGCATCCAATAAAACCGAATCGGCGTGCATTGAAATATAGAAACAATGGTGGACACGACGCCAAATGAGGCGCTGAAAGCAACAGTGATCCACAACAAGAGCCTGGTGGTCCTGCCCGGGAATATCGTGAGATAGAAGCACAACAGACTAATCTTGATGCTGGTGATGAGGAAAATGTACAAAATCTGCTGTATGTAGAAATACCGGGCAAACTCGGCGATTGTCGCGGGCTGCAGTGTCCAGACGTCCTTGCCCAGGCCGTAATGCGTAAGTCCAGTCGTGTTTAGAATCGTGCACGGCAGTCCGACGAGGACCGACGCGATGATGACCCAGTCGTCCGTCTTCAAGGTCCGTTGGTAGCTGAAGTACTGTTTGAATACCAGCCGAGCCAGCACGAGGAGGCCCGTCACAGAACACATGGCTATGCTTGTGGCATTGTACTGGCCGGACCGATCTCGAGGTTTGCGGTTGCATGCTGTTTCGGTCGAGTTTTTGGTAGCTATGGCCAAGGGCGGGCCTTGTCAGCTAAATTATCTTGGGAGACGGAGGCAAATTGCTTTCGTGAGGCTTTACCTAATTGTTGTCCAAAATCACAGAAAGTTCTGACACATTGGGCTGCACCATTCAGGACGGTTTGATCTGCACAGAGACATGACGTATCGCGACATTCTGCCTTGGTCAAAGATGCCGCCACGCAGGGAGCCTGTGCGTACACGTTGTCAGCAAGCCGTTTCGCGAGTCGCATACACATTGTAATTTGTGGCCATGAGTTATGCGCCATTGGATATGCTTACAGCACAAGAAGGCAAACCCTCGATATACGCACTCAGGTCGCTTGGATATGAGGTGGAACTAAGCAGTACGGCTGTGGACGATGTGGTGGCCGAAGGTGTTGACGAGTCCAAGGTCGTGCCTCTGCAAAGTTGGACGACACTCGCAATGGCGAAAATGCATGGCGAAACTCGTGGCTTCATCCCGGCGGTCCGAGCACGACGTCGCAAGTATCAGAAGCAGATTTGTCGCGCAGTCCGGGTTGTTCCCGTTGGAGAGTTCTCGGTGCTCCTGTCCCTCAATCGCCCAGACATGCCAACCACTTCCTGTTGCTCCCATGCGGCGAATATACGTCCAGATTCTTTTCCCACGCTCACCGGTCCTTGGGATATTTCTCACAATAAAGGAGACTCGGCGGAGGCCCGAGGATATGCCATTGTCTGTCGATTCGCCTGGTCCCGTGGGAAAGGGATCTTGTCCTTTACATGGCCGGGCCAAGGGGCCCTGTGGTGGCATCAGGTCGCGCCGGGTGGACAAACCGGAAGCCAGGGGATCCACCCCCGCAAATTGTCCCAAGACCAATTTGGCAAGGCTTGAGAGCGCCATGTCGACAATTCACCCAACCACAAACCTTACCCACCCCCCACATTGCATGGGTAAAGCCGTCATGTGGGCCTGGCCGAGGCACGGGAGAGTCGGGCTCGAGCGAGTGTTGCAGTCTTGCTAAAATACTAGTAGTACCTCATGTCTTGGGTCCATGTGAAAGAAAGGCTACCGCTACAATTGCATCCGGATAATTTTAAAGTCCAACTGCCGTGAGAGTGGAGGGAAAGAGGGGGCAAGAACAAGCCGTGGTGAAGACTTGATCCCGTGTCCCTTTAACGGACACGGCTGGCTGGTGGAAAACCGTGGGTCCCAAGGACATACAATACGGAGTACGTGATGCCGTACCATATTTAACGTCGCGACGAGCCGGGGCTGGTAGGTACATACCCATCTAGTAATTTCAAACGGTTCGGCCCATGCATCTGTTCACTGTCCCTTGTATCCAACGGGTCCAAGTTGAATCGCTACCAAATGCCAAGGCAATAGGGCGGATTTCCCCAGACCAAGTGCTTTTCGCTCCGTCTCGGGGCGAAGCGGAAGTGTCCATGGCGGTCAGGATGGCGCGTTGAGCTCCATTGTAACCAGGACACCCTGGTAATCTCCGGGCCGTACTAACGGGATTTTAGTCGCGATTGGCTAGCATGCCCATCTGCAGAGTTGGATTAACATCCGGTCGGTCAAGATGTGCATTTGCAGAGCGGGTTAATTCCCACACAGACGCCAACCGAGTTTTGGACAAAATCCCGTCTGCCCATAGCGAACCCTGTTTGGTAGTATCACGCCCGATGTAGCCTGTCAATATACTATAAGTAGCATTCACCGGAGACGTCCCAGTGAAAATTTCCTAGGCAGCTTAGTGTCCGTGGCATGTCAAGTAACCGTTCTAATTGCCATTCCGTGCCCAGTCAGGATTCATCGGCAGGCATGTGGTCGCCAAGATGACGGATGGTATGTGATTGTACGCCTCGGGCTTTTTCAATAAGTACATCTGCACTCCGCAAGTCCCAATTTCATCATTGCAGCTGCGTGGAATTTCCCATGTGCCATCACAGTTCCCGGGCGGAGACAAAGCCAGCTTTCCGGGTCCGATGCATATGCGGGAGAGTGGTTGCAACGAACACTACCACCTAGCATTGGTCTAAGTCGGGAAACGGAGCACATGACACAGCTCAAAGTCCCCTCCATTACTACGGCCCATCCTATGTTCTACCATCTTTCATTATTGCCTAGTGTGGACTTGAATGCTACTCGCCCATGTCACCGTGTTTGCGCTCGCTATTTGCAACCAAACACAACTGAAACTGTGACAGGCCGTTGAAATGCTATTGCTACCGTCTCCGTAGTCTGATGGCTCGGCGGTCAAAGCAGGCGCCGCCCGTACCGCTTGCAGAGCACACACATGAGGATCTGCACAGCTGTCCATGAAATAGCCCGAGCTTTGTTCTTCTCGCAAATAAGGCAAAGGGCAGCGCCGCCAAGGCGATCCTACTTTAGAGCGGAGTCGTTACAGATGGCCGTTTTTTTCTCCATTATTTCCATCTCGTGGTTTCTGGCAGCCGAGAGGGTTAGGCACAAGATGCCTGTTCCTGGTCAGCATACTTAGAGGGCCAGCACATGCGGAGCGTTACAACGGCGCATTTTAGTGCCAAGAAGCTTGGTTCTGGAGACTGCAGATGTGCGACTTTGTTCAGATACGTCTGTGGACAGATACAAAAGTAGCTGAAACGTGAAACGGTTTTCCGGATGTGGATGACGCGTCTAGTCTTTACGGTAGTGTGCCCTTTACCGGGATCGTGATCTGCCAGGGGGCTTCGTCCAAAGTTTACTACTGAGGCATGCGAATCATATGACACGTGTCCGTTTTACCCCGCAAAGCTTATTTGACGTGCTTTTGGACTGTCGAGATTCGGGGACTTTGGTCCTTGGCGTCGGGTTGGAATGCTTTCGGTGGCTTGTGATTTCGGGTCATGTCACGGGCAGACAAGACGACACCTCCTCGGCACGCCGGTTACGCGGTTGTGTGCGGATTCGTTTGAACCCGATTACCTTGTGAATTAGTAAACTTTTGCCTCTTGGTCATCTTGACAGTGGTGTCCTTCCCATTTACCCGTAGTGACAGCGGCGGGAAACCTACAGTCTGCATTTGTGGCTACAGGTACTTGGTATGATGTTGGTCTGATCGCTGGGAAAACTACGGTTCGGATGGAGTAGGATTTTGGTTTCGTTGGATTACGATATGAGTCTGTGGACTAGGGTGGCCTTGATATTGCTCTATGAGAGGGCAGGGGTTGGTTGAGGGTTAGCACGCTGTTTCGGCGACTTTTTGACTCCAACTGTGTTTATGTTGCATTAGAGGTCTGTGCTATCAGGTCTTGGATACCCACTTGCGCGGATTTGTCTAAATTTGCAGACGTAATTTATGCCGGAGCATACTCTGCTTCCTAAAAAAGAAAAGCTTATTGTCGACTACCAGGCTATTTGTAATGTAGAACGCGTCAGCATCTAACAATGCTGCGGGTATTATAGTTCGCAGCTATGAATTAAGTCAATTACTGGACTTCGTCCCTCTTGAAGCTATCTACCTAGGCCACTGGACCGTCTTACAGATTTGAGCTAGCTGCATATAGACGCTGCTCGGAGTCTTGAACTACAGTAATGATACAGCTGTGTTTTTTGATAGTTGCTGAGATTATGCTCAAGTAAAAGTTTTACGTGTATTCAAACCTGCTCCATTGCTTGCAAGAATAATATCTGAAATTACGTTTTTTAAGCAATGTAAAAACTCAACCAGTTTCTAGCTTATATATAAAGCCTCATAGTGGCTTCCAGACAGAAACTCTTCGTATATAGAGAAGCAGCGCTGTGCCGCCATAGACTGAAACAAGTTGAAAATCCAGATGAGAAACCTTGTAAACCTAGCTGACCTGCAGAGGACGTACCAGCCCTGCATTGATGAACTGCTTCAACATGCCTCCATTCTACCTGCCGCAGCAACTTCCCTTTCCCAAACATTGGTAAAAGCTGAGCAAGAAGCACCCAATGACAGACAAGTCCCATAGATCTCCTGACTCTACTGTCTCAGAGGCAGGGCCAGGACGACAGCAGCAGCATTGTAGATTGAATAGCGCCTAGGAGCAAGAGCCTCCTGTCCGGCCGGGAGGGCTTGTATGGGATACTCAGGTACCGATGAGGAATGCGGTTTACCAGCTTGTCCTTCGCGACCGGAACCCGTGCAGTGGGCAGAGTGGCTGCCATGCGACGGTCCAGATGACGGCACTTCGGTCGATACGATCCCGGCTGGACGTTACGATGCTGTCGGCTTTCGACATGGAGTGCCCCAACATAATCCGGACGTCTGGACGTTCAATTTCTTCGGGGCCTTTAAAATAGCTAGGTGTGGTCCAGCTACAAGCTCTGGACCAACTTCGCATTCCCGTTCCCCAATAGTAACCCGAATGTTTGCATCTTCGCCGAGAATTACACGAAGCCTATGAGGTAATGCTGCCGCAGCTTTAATACTTGCGAATCCATGACTCTGTTTCTTGTCATGGCATTCAGCCTTTGAGAGAGCTCATGGCGAAGACATTGATAGTTTCGGGGTCTGCCTCGTAGAACCTGGCCGGCAGTACTAGGTGTTGTTCGGGATAACTAACAAGTGTTTTCAGCCCTCCTGTATTCTTTTCTTCAGATTGTGTATTGCGACTCCTGATGCTACGAATTTGTATGTACCGGGTAAGTACTGGTGGTATATCACGTTACCAAGCATCTATCCGTAGATCATGCTCCGTTGGAGCTGTAACCAAGTTGCAAGGCAACGTTCACCTTAATATAAATATTTGAGACCAAACATGGATTATGGGTCTCCCTGCCTCGCAGTGTTTCGCTACCGAGTCCCTCAGACCAGTCACCCGCAGTCCGAAGTAAGTTCCTCAGCCGGAGATAACCGGCCAAGTATATGTATATTTTGCCAGAGGAGATGGCAAAAGCCACAGAGTACTACTCCTGCGCGTGTTGGCCAACAGTGGAGTGACGAGTCCCGACACGCATACAATCTTGTCTCCTCCATGGTGACATATACAATGGCCATCGGGCATTGTCTGTCCTGACCTATGCTACCACTTAATCATGCAAAACGACTTAATAGGTACCGATAATTGTATTCAGCTTCCGGCAGGCCCCGCAATCTTCTCTTATTACGTGACTGGCTCCCGACGAGCATCCTAGTGCTATTAAGCTTTTATTGCCTTTTCTCGCCGCCAAAACACCCCATAAGAGTGCCCGTCATCCCATCCTGGGTTGCTTTATCGAATCCGTCGTCAGAGCAGTTGGAAAAAAACAAAGTCTTTAGAAAATATCTTCAAGAGCCGTTGTTTGCACACATCATGTGAAAATACATTGCGGGAGCAAATGGACAGTGCTAGCCCACATTCCCAAGCATGTCACAGAAATGTAAAAGAGGGAGGACGTGTATCAAAAGGGAGGAGAATTGAAGAACATGCCTTATCCTGTACTAGGGCCTTTTTGGATCGAGTTATCTCGGACACCGCAACGAGCTGGAAACACTATCGGGGAGTCATCCGGGTCTACCGTTGCTAACGTCCTGGTCACGGACACACAGCACCGGGTGGCATTTGTGACTCATAGCCAGTCTCGTGCCACCGGTAAAGCATCATCATTCAAGGCATTTTCTCAAAACAACGTATCCAAAACTAGGGCCTGTTTTCATGAGAACAGGCCTCAATGTGGATGCTCCAGGCACATTGAAGTTGTAGGTTCTGGAATCTGAGGGCATCCTATTTGAAATGGTATCTCCTCTCGCTATCCCATAGTGAGCAGGGCAAGTGGACAAGACATTTAACATCCGACTACAAATATGAGCTCGACGAATGTGCTCCCCAAAGATATCGGCGAGCCTAGATGACCGGTTGATCGCCAAGTTTCTGTGTAGATATCAAGCAGTTCAACAGAATAACAGCTTCGAGACAACTTGAAAATCACGTTTGTAGCAGGCTAGGAAAACCCCTTTTTTACGCTACTGTCTACCATGTGCCTGTTGGCTAAGAGCCCAGCGTCCAGACAGTGTTTACTCAGTGTTTACTTGCGACACCAGTGACATGCTATCAGGTATTAGCTCTCATCGCACGAAGGCCAAGCAAGAGAATCTCCACGAGGACACCAGCACAACAGGAGACGATGCCCCTTCTTGGGATACGCTACAAACTATTCCTTGGCTTCCGGCAGTCGTCTACGAGAGTTCGCGACTGCTACCGCCCATCTCTCAGCTAGCCAATCACCGAGCAGCAAGGTCCATTGCTCTTGACAGGGAGAAAAGTATACCCCAAGGCACACATATCGGCTATTATTGCTACTCAAAGAGTCGAGAACCAGGCTCTTGGAAGTTGGGTCGCCGACGCTGAAGAGTTTCGTCCTCAACGATGGGGCACGACTTGCGAAGAAGGCCAAAGGTTGTATCACCTTGGGCGCAGACGGGTCAAGATCATTTCCTTTCACAATGGTAAACGGGCTTATCTTGGTGAGAAGTATGCCTTGACGTAGATCAAGATGACTCCTTTCCCCTTAATCACAGAATTCCAAGGAGGGTAGATCCAGGAAGGCCGGAAAAAGTGTCCCCCGTAGGCTCCAATCCTGTTTCTTAGTATCTTGTTCGACCAAGGCAGGCTGCTCGGACAACACCGCTGCATCATAAAGGGCTGAAACTAATTTTGGAAATGAACAGCGCAAGAAGGGGTTACTTTAGCGTGTGAAGAGGAACTTCGGGACCAAGCTGAGATGACAGAGTGACTGGTGAGATGATACAGGAAGACTCGCTAGGGGATGGCCAACTAGGTTGGGTCGTATAAGTGGCTGTATTAGTCTCTGAACCTTCCCCCTGAACACGTCTGGTGGCTTTGGCTACCCCTTTTATTCCCAATTCCTCCCTCCCCATAGCTAGGTCGTAGCTAAATCGCTATAAATGCCTCATATAAAACTCCCAAGGGGCCCGTGATGCTGCTTCGTCCGTGCGTTAGTTTCTCACGATTGGTCTCTGACAAGGACAAGATATGCGCTGTTAGTTACAATTACCGCATACGGCAGTCCGTTAGCGGCACTGTCTTCATGCGGGACTGCATAGAAAACCATCATATTCATGCGTTGATTCTGTGGACTACCATGGGAAGTGCTGTATCTGATACATTTCATCAACAAAGGCTTGTCCACAGGTAACCGAACAATGTTGCCAGATCAAGTAGTTGTATAGGATCCACCCCCCCAAGTTTCCAGTTCCACTCCAATAAGAGACGCCGCGATACGCATTGATGCTCATTGTGGCTCACGTCTAGTCTGTTCACAAACCCGTCTCATTGGATGCCGGATTCCGAAGCACAGGACACTTCGCGATGTGTAAGCTACTTAAATAGTTGGCTTCCCGGCGTGGCTGATTCGACTTGCAACCCCGCGCAATGCCGTCTCGTTACGATTCGTGATCAAATTGCTGTGACCATGGTTGCGCCGAGGCGGCATCGTCTGGACAGTCTATATCGCTTCGCGTGCATCCTGACACTGGTCCAACTGGGCGTCGCTGGAACCGTCTTTGCTCAACAAAAGCCCCTGTCTGACGGACATGTACCGGGTCGAAACCCATTCGATGACAAGTTTGGGGCATTTGTCAAGGACACGCTGGATGAATGGCATGTCCCCGGGTTGTCCATTGCCGTGATTGACCATGACCAAGTGTTTGCAGAGGTAAATACCCCGTCATGACACGATGGAATGATTCGAACCCCCTCGCTAATGCGACACTAGGGCTACGGGATTGCGACTTTCCCAGACACTCCGGCTACCCCAGAAACAATATGGTACGGCGCTTCCACCACGAAAGCTTACGTGGCTGCCGCGATGGCAGCAGTGATTGACTCGAAAAACTACTCGCAATTAACTCGTGGATGGTCGACGCCGGTCTCATCCATCATCAGGGATGACTTTGTCCTGCAGGATGAGTGGGCAACGGCACATGTTACTCTGGAAGACGCTGTGAGCCATCGAACCGGTCTCGGGAGTCTTCACTTTTCGAGTTTGAGAATAGAGAACGGCGTCCAAGTTACACCAAGGGACGTTGTTCGTCGTCTGCGCCATTTGCCGCTTTTTGCTGAGCCGCGTACGACGTATGCGTACTCAAATTCCATGTATGTGGCGTTGGGGTATGTCCTGGAGAAACTGACGAGTAGTCCTCTTGCCAAGGTCCTCGGAAACTTGATCTGGGAGCCGCTAGGAATGAGGTCGACATATTTCGACCTTGACGATGCCATCAAGGCACCGGAGCATTTGGCCTCGGGGTATAGGTGGGATCCCGATCACGGCAACTACACGGAAATGCCATACATGGTCGTCACAGAAGTAGGCGGTGCTGGCGCTATTTTTTCCAACGTGCTCGATTACGCCAAATGGGTCAAGTGCCTGTTGTATGAGTCTGCTCCATTTTCAAAGGCAGTTCATAAAGATGTCAAGACGCCCAGGTTTATCACGAGCCCGCTGCCAGGCGAGGGCTTTGACTCGGTTTTGTACGGGTTGGGATGGGAGCGCACCTTGATGTACGGGCACGTCGTGTACCAACATAGCGGTGGAATGCATGCGTACGGCGCCTACGTTTACTGGCTGCCGGAAATTAAGTATGGCGTTGTTTCATTTGCCAACACGGCGGTCACGTCAAATGCCGTCGAAATTATTCTTGCGACGAGATTGATTGCGGATAGGCTAGGCATCCCGGAGGAGAAGCGCTTCGACTATGCGGGCAGGTAAGCCGTTGCAGAATTAACCGCCATGCATGTGTGTAAACAAGGACTAACGACTTGTTGTTAGTGAGAGAGACCAACTAGAAGAAGAGATAGAGTGGCTAGAGCACGCTCTCGACAACCTCTATCCGAGCCGGCCAAATCCACCACTAGCTCCAACTCTGAACACGAGCCAACTCGCCGGCACGTATTACCACCCTGGATTTGGGCCCATTAGGCTTCGCGAAGTGATAAACCCCAAGAACCCAAAGGAAAAGGTGCTGCGGTCGGATAGAGAGGAAGCTTCATGGGATCACAAGTTTACACTTCACCATGTAACGGGCGATAACTGGATGATCCGAACCGAGATGTATACCACCGTCAGGAATACTGCTTTCAGGAGTCAATTCAAGATCGGTGTTGATGGAAAGACTGCCGGGTTAGAAGTTGAGTTTAGCGATCGCGGAGCCGAAGTTGCTGAGGCAGTGGTTCTATTTGATAGGTTGAAGGAATGACGGAGTTGAGTGGAACAATAGCCACCTACTCGAGGGAATGATGGAAATGTGAAAGAGAACCTTATCCTGTGTCGAGATTGGGCACGAATGGATGGTGGCGTACAGAACGCATCATCGATGTGACACAACGTGGTGACGCCCAATGGCCATGGTGTTTTGTCCAATGTCTCGGTGTGTCGAGGGTCGGAGTCTCGGCTGCGGGCGGCGCTAACAAGAAACGAGAACTCCGCAAGTCGAGGGAAATGTACACAGTGAATGAACGGGCTAATTTACCAATGGCCAGGTATCTGGCGGTTGAATAGTACTCACGAGATACTCCGAAAAAGGACGGAATTCCCAATTCACACTGTATATAGGCATGCGTGGGGGGCAGAAGAGGCAGGAGACATCTGCTCGACTCACCACGGCAGAAAATCACGTGTTGGTCATTTCAAATCTGTGTTCTGCTGCAGCTCTCCCAGCCCTTCCCCGCTCTGGCAGCCAATCAGGGGCCTGCCAATGCCCAATGATGGTGCAGGGGGAAAAGTTCGTCTCGTGCCATTGGCATCTCCATCATTCGATTGCTCCGTGTGTGTGAGCAGAATCGCCTCCGTGCCGTCTCGCATCTTGGTTCTTATTTCTCCCCCTCTTCATCCCTTGCCATCCACTGGCGTCTTCGTGCACTTGTGCCTGCCATCATAGCAAGCCAGTCCGTTTGATTGGGATTCTTTTTCTCCCACGCAGCTCAATTTCATCGGCCTTGCGACGGTGCTGCAGCGAGGCACCGAACTTGGCTGAAGCTCATGATCAGCTCCGAAGTCTCCGAGTGAGCTCGAGGGCCGCACATATCAATCAGCGACCAGCGATATCCATCAAGATAGCGTTATTGCACCTGCGACTTGTCTTTTCTCGCCCTCACCAAATCCCTGCCAAGCCGGTGACAATGGTCCTCACACACACGACCGCGCACACCTACTCTCATCCATTCCCGACCGTCACCCTTGCGTACTTCCTCCGCTACTCTTCTCCTCAGCTCAATCCCTTTGCCGCCCATGTGTTGAGCACCGACACCATCTCCAGCTATGTCGACCCCGAGACCCAGCGGCTCCATACTACCAGAATCCATCTGAAGAAGAGCCGTATGCCGGGAGCAGTGTACAAACTACTACCCACTAGCGTCACGGGCGGCGGCAGCGGCGACAAGGCATCGTATATTCTCGAGACGAGCGTTGTCGATATAAAGGAAGGATGGATGCAGACCGAGAGCCGCAACCTCAACTTTACCGGTGTCCTCTCTGTTGTTGAGCAGCAACACTTCAAACTGCCGGCCGAGAAGGTGTCTAGCGAAACTGACGTGACAACGTCGGTCATCTTCCGGTCGAGACTGGGTGAAAAACTTCGGGGAAAGTTTGGTCAAGCTCAGCAGGAGGGCGGTCTGCTCTCTGGCTTCATCGGCGGCTGGGGTGCGAAAGGCGTCCAACGCAGCATCGAGAGCCTTGCTTCCACCAAGACTCTTGACCAGCTTGGCAAGAGCCGTGACGGCATGCGACTTGTCCTCGAACGAATTCGAAACAACGGCGTCATCGGAGTGTTGGAAAGCCTCCGACGGGAGCGCCAACGACAAGCATTGGGCGCCTGATCAGCCCCAGTTGTAATATTGTATATGAAATGCTGGAGCGTGGGAAGCGATCATACCACGACTAGCCATGACAACCCTTTCACGACTACGGATTCTGTATCCTTATTGTATAAAATCTCATCTCCCTTTAGCCAGGCGCTTAGTGTCTTTTCTTGGGTTCGGGTACGGGGGGCAGAAGTTATGTGGCGAGTGGTTGAAAAATGCAGAGAGCTCTGTAGCGGGTGTTGTAAGGCAGTGGAATCACGGACTACACGGAACTTGAAAGAAAAAAATCATCAAAATCATACATTTTATAATATCTTGTCCATCATAAGTGATGTCATTGGGATTCCTCCAGTCAGGTTGCCGACCAGACGGTGGGTACATAGCGTTGCGATCTCTGTGCTTGACCTTTGCCCCCGAAACAACCCATCCCAGCCCAACCGCCTATTTTTCCCACAAGAGCAAAAATAAATAGAAAGAAATTAGAAAAATATTTAGTGACAAAAGATAAAAAGAACAGAAAGGGGTAAAAGAACAAGACGAAGAAGTACGGGACAAAACGAAACACGGGACAAGCCAAATCCATCTGGGGGTGGGTGGGTGTCCCTGATTGTCCTGTAAAATCGAGCATAATGGCCAGGCACACGTGGGGGCGGGCCGGCTGCATCTCCCAACGTAAGCAATTATCCATCAGTAAACCCTCTGCCCTCCAAGGTTGCTTTTATTATTTTCCTCCCCCTTAGCAGAGTATCACGCCAACTCGTATATTCCTCCAATTCACCCTCCCTGCAAACACCTGCGGAAAAGAAGCAGCGGCCAAAATGCCAGAGCCTGTGTCGGTGCTCTTCGTCTGCCTGGGCAACATCTGCCGGTCCACCATGGCCGAGGGCATCTTCCAGAGCCTAGCAAAGCAGCCGCAGTACCAAGGCAAGATTGGGCGCATCGACTCCTGCGGCACAGGTAGGTGCCCGGGCGCGAGCCGAGGCGGGCGACGATGGTGCTAACACGAGTCGTCGAAGCTGCCTACCACGCGGGCGAGGATCCGGACTCGCGAACCATGTCGACGCTCGAGGCTAATGGGATTGCCGACTACGAGCACGCCGCTCGCCGGGTAAGTTGGGCCGTTTTGGGGATGCTGACGCCCAAACCGACGTGGTGTGGGCTCCCGCGACTGACGCGTGGCGCGGCTACAGTTTAAAACGACGGATTTCGAAGTCTTTGACTACATCTTTGCCATGGACCGGTCCAATCTGTCTGACCTCCAGCGCCTGCACAAGGGCAACCCGGACACAAAGGCCAAGGTGATGCTCTTTGGGGAGTTTAGCGGCACGGGCAAGGCCGAGGTGGTGAGCGACCCTTACTACGGCGGGCGGGACGGGTTCGAAAAGGCGTTTGAGCAGTGCAGCAGGTTCTCCAAGAACTTTATCAGGGATGTCATCGGCGAGTAGGAGGGTGGTTGGAAGAGGAGTGTGTATGCTGTGATACCCTGGGGTTGGACGAGCTGGTGGCCTGACCTGCACGTTGAGTAGACGAGATTGGTGCTTGACTTGATGGAGCTGCGAGAGATGCCATGGTGCTCTGTAGATTAATGACAGATGATGGCGGAGAGTCGCACCGGAGGGACACTGGGGAATATATACTCCGTACCGAGCGAGCCTTGGAAGTGTTTACGGAGCAAAGATGATGCACATGATTTGATGGTTGTCATTGGTCCCTGAAGTATAGCCACAGTTGGGCGCATTGATTGAATCGAGTACGTGCAGCCAGCAGAGGCAACAAAACGGGGGAAGGGGGGACCAAACACGTGTTAAGCTGACCTAGGTAAGTACCTAGGTATGTACTTAGATGTATGTACTTGATGGTCGACGGCGCTTTTTGTTGGCGTCAGCCCCGAAAGATGACGGCTTCGTGATGCTTCGGTCTGGTAGGGCTGGATCGGAACGGGGACCCTTCCAAGTGGGTTTTGTGGCACAGCAAGGGTGGCGCCATTGGTGATATCAAGGTTGGCCATGGCTGTTGGCTTGAGCCTTGCACATATCCCACCGGTGACAAGCGTTGAGCAACATCAGTTGACGGCAACGCACAAGCCATGCACTCTCGGCCGTCTGGCGAGCTTATTGGCAGAGGCTTCGAAGCGTCGACGGTTGAGCTCACCACGGGGCAGCTCAGCGACGCGCGCGCTTAGAACCTGGCCGCCCGGGAAAGCGAATGCAGGGCCGTAGTGGTGAGGCGGGAGTGATGCCCACAGGCATCCTTGGGATGTGATGTTTAGATGGATGGTTCGTGAATGGCCATGCGGGCGATGCAGGAGACGGAACCAGGTGCCGGACTCGAAGGACCAGATGATCGACGTTGGAACGGCCTTCCGCCTTCAGCAGGGGAGCCAGTCAACTGGTCCTGCCGCAAGACGCGCATCAATCCGATCCCACTTGTCAACCCGTCAATCTCAGCACAGGCGCTCCAGAGTTCCACTTGTTGCAACGTCTGGACCATCTGAACCTCCATCTGTCATATACAAAACCTGTCCCCGCCCAAGCTTGCATTCATTTTTTTCTTGTGAGCTATCCTTGCAGACCGTCGCCATTGCAGCTTTCTCCTGTCGACCGTATTCCGCTACATTGGGCTTTGCGCGGTGTCAAGAGACGCAAAAGCCAGACAAGGCTCGTCACGGTCCCCTCTCTGCGACCCCTCCTCCCTCCTCTCTTCCCCTCCCCCCCGCCTCGACAACGGCGATACAACGCGCAGCCGTGCGCGTCTAGGAAGCCATCATGGCCGATCTCCAGGGACGCAAGGTCTTCAAGGTCTTCAACCAAGACTTCATTGTCGACGAGAGATACACTGTGACCAAGGAGCTGGGACAAGGTGCCTATGGCATTGTCTGGTAAGCCTGCCCGAGGCGGGATGGAGATGCTGCCTCAGCCATGCTAATCCGGGCATCCCCTTTCTATCCAGTGCCGCCGTGAACAACCAGACGAGCGAGGGCGTTGCCATTAAGAAGGTCACCAATGTATTCAGCAAGAAGATTCTCGCCAAGCGGGCGCTGCGAGAGATTAAATTGCTGCAGCACTTCCGCGGCCACCGCAATGTAGGGCAACCCGGCCCCTCAAGACACGTCGCCCTGGTGCGTCAACGGGCTGACATGAAGCTATCAACACTAGATTACATGTCTGTATGACATGGACATTCCTCGCCCCGACACATTTAACGAGACGTACCTCTATGAAGGTTGGTCAAGAATGCTGCACACCACCCTCCATCCAACCTGACCCGTGCTGACTCTCGGCAGAATTGATGGAGTGTGACCTGGCGGCCATCATCAGATCTGGCCAGCCCCTAACCGACGCCCATTTCCAATCTTTTATTTACCAAATCCTCTGCGGCCTCAAGTATATCCATTCAGCCAACGTGCTGCACCGTGACTTGAAGCCGGGCAATTTGCTGGTCAACGCCGACTGCGAGCTCAAGATTTGTGACTTTGGCCTTGCTCGTGGCTTCTCGGTCGACCCAGAAGAGAATGCTGGATACATGACGGAATACGTTGCCACTAGATGGTATCGAGCACCAGAGATCATGTTGAGCTTCCAGAGCTATACCAAGGCCAGTATGTTGCCAGCGGCGGCCTTCCCATACCGCTTGTTCGTGTTGCGCTAACCCTCTCGACAGTCGATGTCTGGTCAGTTGGCTGTATCCTGGCCGAACTCCTCGGCGGACGACCCTTCTTCAAGGGCCGCGACTACGTCGACCAGCTGAACCAGATTCTGCACATCCTGGGAACGCCCAACGAGGAGACGCTCGCCCGCATCGGCTCGCCCCGCGCACAGGAATACGTCCGAAACCTCCCCTTCATGCCAAAGAAGTCATTCCCCGGCCTCTTCCCCCAGGCCAACCCTGACGCTCTCGATCTCCTCGACAAGATGCTCACCTTTGACCCGTCTTCCCGCATCAGCGTGGAGCAGGCCCTGGAGCACCCCTATCTTCACATCTGGCACGACGCCTCAGACGAGCCCGACTGCCCCACCACGTTCAACTTTGATTTTGAAGTCATTGACGACGTCGGGGAGATGCGCCGCGTGATTCTCGATGAAGTCATGCGCTTCCGACAGTTGGTCAGAACCGTGCCCGGCTCAAACTCCATGGCTGGCCAGGGCCAACCGTCGGCACCGGCACAGATTCCCATGCCCCAGGCGGGCGGTCAATGGACGGCAGAGGACCCGAGGCCGCAGGAGTATGTTGCCCACGGAAACGGGCTCGAGCAGGACCTCCAAGCGGGCCTGGATGCATCTAGGAGGTAAATGGCACTAGCATCCGGTGGGGGCGACGGAAAGGACGGGAAAAGGCACATATTAGTAGTTACTTATGACCGAGAGTCAGACAATAAGACGCCCGTTGCAGGGCTGCAGCTTAGCATGCAAGTCACTTGTGGAGCAGCGCTTTTCCCAATGTATATGATGAGATTGAAGACCATGAATACCACCGTCCGGGTCCGCGAAGACGGGAAATGTGACTATTGGTACTGTTTGCTCCTCAATACGTACAACGTTGGTAGAACTTACCTCGTGCTCTTTGGACGGCGAGTCTTTCCTCCCTCGCTCAGCTTGCATAGTTCAACGCAATCCGCCGGATCCAAAGCGTTCGCGTAGATTGGGTTATTGGAGGCCACTGCACGACTTTCCTGGCACTTGATGGACTCTTTTCGGCACGGTCTCCCTGAAGAGATTGGGTGTTTTCCGCTCTCACCTGCTGAGCACACCATCGCCGGCCATAAGCTCCCCTATACCTAGTACTACTCGACCAGTGTTGGCGGAAACGGGGCCGTAGAATAGCGAAATGGTGTTGTGACTTGAGTTGCCGACGGGTGCTGATGGGAGCCGGGGATTTGGAGCTTGACATCAATGGAATTAGCTGTTGGCCCGCGGCCCCTAGCCCTTTTGCAATATCGATTTATGCCACTGCAGACCCCAAGTCTTGATCCGCCCACCCCGATCTATCAAGAGAGGCCGCCACTCTTTCCAATATCTTGACAATGTATTCAAGTCGAATTAAACACAGGGAGGCGCGTCACTCTTCACCCAGGTTATCGCATACAAGACGTGCCGAAATCGTGGATACGTAGATAGTATATGTGTAAATATGCCTATAACTATCCCAAGTTGCCTTGTCCTAGTCTTCAGCCCTGCTCTGTCTTATGTATAAGCCAGCATGTGATTATGCCAATACCAAATAGGCATCGACAATATTCGACTTGAGGAACTTTTGTCATTGTGGGAATACAGGATTGTGTATTTGATTTGGATAGTGACTGCCAGCAAGGTGGCTTATTTCCGTGGCACTAGGCATACTGAATAAAAGAAGAAACAGCAGAAATCATCTGATCCCAGTGGAGCTTATATATGCAAACCGCAGAGTGTCCCTGGCTGAACGCTCTGCTCCCTCTCAGTCGGTTTCATGGTCGATTCCGAGCCCAATGGGCGGGCATACAACTAATGCTGAAAAGGTCTATTTGTGACGAGTCCCCTGTGCGGTAATGGTCATTTTGGCCACGAATTCCAAGTTGTTTTCCTGTCTTGTAGCCGCTGTATACCTCGCGCAGTACGCGCGTGTATCCAAGAGCGCGTCTCTGAAACGACGTCACGATTGTATATTCCGGCAAGGAAAATAGTCCAAAGAGCATGCAACTCGGCCGGCATTTCAGGCACTCGTCGAACCACATGCCAACGCCCATTCATCGCGCCCCCTGTAGCATCCCTTGCAAACTCGCTTCATTCCCTCTGCTACGTTCTGCTCAATGTAGACCAGCGCAGCAGAGATCCTGTCCCAGACTTCGCCCGGCTGGGCTCTCGCGAGACCAGCGGGCGAGTAGCAAGTCTCGTTTGCGTGCGGAGGCGCCTCGTCGAACAAACCTACATATGGCCCTTCATCCACCAGAGCCAGCACCTCCCTGCCGACTGCTTCATCCAAGGCTATAGCCCCGGCCACAACTCGAGATGCAGCCAGCCAAGCTGGCGGATCAGCCGGCGCAGAATGACTGTCCTCGGATGCCGTCTCCGGTGACACCTCCATAGGTTCGGGCTCCGTGTCGCTCTCCGTTTCAAGTGTCATGTCCATATTCTGCGCCTTCACGTCGCCCATGTACCAGGCAGCCAACTCCCAGACCTTGTCCCCGTCATCGCTCGGGAACGACGGAAATGCCCCGTCGGAAATATACTCGGCCGCCTTGTCGATATCCTCGGGCTCGACGCGACCGCCCGCGTCCACCTTTTCCTGCACCCGCTCGCGGTGGGCGATGAGCTGGGTCCTCGCCTCGTTGAGCCGCAGAATGCTGTCCTCGAGTGCCTCGCAGTGCCCGAGAATGGCGTCGCGCAGACCAGCCTCGGCCGGCGGCGTCACGGCCGCCTTCCCACAGGCCTCGCGGAGCTGGGCCAGCCCCGTCTGCCAGTCCCTCTCGTCGTCCTGCTCCGTCCGCCCGGCGTCCTTGTCCCAGAGCCGCTGGCACGCCCGGTCCACGGCGTTGGGGAACCTCTGCTCCCCCCTGATCCAGCAGATGATTCGGAGCTTGAGCTCGTTTCCGTAAATCTCGGGCACCTGCTTGCCGCCGAGGGACTCCTGGAAGCTGTTGATGGCGTCGTCGAACCACGCCACTGCGTGGCCGATAGGGTGATCCCATTCCTTCAGCGCATTGAGCGCCATGTGCGCGTACGGTGCTAGTAGAGAAATGGTTGCCACGAAGCCCAGCTGGCCAGCGACCCGGAGTCTGGTCACAGTCTTTGTGCTGGGCTTGAAAGGGCGGCTTGCATGTGGGCTGCTGTTGCCCTTGCCGCCTGCTGGACGGTCTGCTGTAATGTTAGCCGTGAGCACCGCAACAGACACGCTCCGAGGGATCACCGGGTCCGGGGACGGTACCTATCATTTCCGGCGAGGCCCCGGGGATTTTTATCTTTGTGGTGCCCGGCGGCTGCGGCGGCCCAAGCCGGCCCGGACGGACGGACTTGGCGAGCCACACCTCGTCATCCATGAGTTTGGCCGGGTCGCACATGGTCATGCTCCTCTTCATTTGAGCGCACCCCGGGGCCCCCCTCAGCGCGTAGTTGTCATTGTGAATCTTGCGAGACTTGTCGGACGGATTGTCCTCGTAGACCTCGTAGGCGTGGGATATGCTCGAGCCGGGAATGGGACCGGTCGCCGCGAATTCCTGGTTCTGGCCGACGGCGGGATTCTTCTCCGGCGGGAAGAGGCCCGGCACCCAGTATCCGTCGGGCACGTCGGTGGGCGACACGACGTACACGTAGCCCCTGCCCGTCTTGGCCCCCGTCCGGCCAAACGCGTATCCCTCGGCCGATCGGCGCGATCGGGAGAGGGACACCAGGCCCGACTCGCCGACAAAACTCAGGTGACGCTGCAGGCTGAGGTCGTGGCCTCTGGGGGCGAACCCCGACTCAAATACTTGGGACGGGGGGCGGGAGTCGCCGCGATAGAAGACTCCTGGTTTGCCGCCGCCGGGCAGCTTTATCCGGGACGCTTCTTCTGCCGATATAACCGGGTGCTCCTCTATAGTCGGCAGCTTTACTGGACGTGATGCCGTGTGTTTTGGGCTGGCTTGCCGCTTGAGAATGGCCCCTCGTAGAACCAAGTTGTGCGTGTTGAATGTCGTGTTGTGATTCGGGGAAACTTGGAAACAGGTTTTACCCACGGGAGCAGAACCATTTTGGAAGCCGTCGGAGCTCTGGACAACTCTTTGTTCGGCAAAGTGCGGACTTGTGACCAAGGGGGCTGCAAGGGCGCGAATTGCCAAGACTACGAGCCACTGATATGCCTTCATACTTGACCGGCAATGCCAAGAGCTTTTGTGCCGTAGCTTTGAATGAGATGAATTTGGTTTGTTGAGGGGGAAAAGAACCTAAAAGTTCGCAAAGCATGGAATGCGGACGGACGAGCACACTCTCAGAGACTGGCCAGTCTTATATCGTCAGACCGAAAAAGAGCACATAAGACCTGTTTATCGGGGGTATTCGGCCAAGTGCCACTATTGCGGGATCGGTTTTGATCCATGACTCTGTGTCAGAAACCAATATTGCCGTGGCATGTTGCATTCAACTCCGCGGGCCTAGCCGAAAGTGCAAAATCCATGTCCCTCACTGAGCAATTGTCCCTTGGTGCGGCCCGGGATAAATGGGCTCGTTGAAGAAGAGTGGGTGTGGTATTCCGATATCGTAGATATAATACAACATTAATATAATTACAGTCGTATGGACAACTAATATCACCGTCTCGGATAAGCGTCTCTATTCCGAGCCATATTTGAACGCGAGGGGGCAACGCTTCAACGTCAACTCCAACTACAGATGAACTTGAAAAGTAAAAGAAGCGGCCAGGTTACTACATCAGCCAGCTACACAGGGCATATAAATTTTGCAGTCTCGAATCGTATCCCCTCTGTTCTCTGGCCACTCGGTGTAATGCATACTGGCAAGCATGGAGTGTCCTATACCGCGGATGGTTCATAAAGGCTATTAACCGAAATCAAAGTTACTATAGCAAGCAGAAGCGTCGGCGAAAAGGCTTACGCGAGAAGACGTACCAACACTCCACGCCTCAACATGGTAGCAAATCGTCATAATACAATACATCGAGGCACTCTCCCGCATCACGCCTTTTACTCGCTCTCCCCACGCCCTTGTATATAGCCTTCAAGTGTTGTGGTGAAGGTGTCGGCGGGTTTACGGTAGCAAATTATCCAATACTGGAGAGCATTTTGCTTGCCTGGATAGGGACATGAATTACTTGATTGAACCTGCCGTTGCTAGTACTATTCCATGAAAGTAAAGGGCAAATAAACCACATGATATATGTATATATGAAGAGTAAGTTGCAATAGAAGTTTTAGCATCGTTGGATCCGCTGGGGCCATCTGCCTTGATCGGTTGTCAGGATCAGAGACATGCCCGGGAGGATACACCAGAAACGGTATAACGAACCGCCTCTTCACATGCCGTGTTCTAGAGTGCAGACTGTCCTTGAGTCATTTCATCTCACCCCACGCACCCACATGGCAACACCACATGGCAACACCACATGCCAGAATACTGGGGATGTTTCTCCACGAGATCCGTAGCACGGATCCTGTGGGCGCCCTAGCCAGCTTCGATTAATTACTATAGGTCGCAGAATTTGACATATTGCTCACAAGACTTGACATCTGGTTAATCCATTAAGATAAGAATACCTTGTGGCTTGTACAAGAGGATTTCTCGGGTAGAGTACAAGCCTAGACTTGAATACCGTAATGTCATCACTTGAGTTGTTCATGTTCTATTTTATATCAAGGGCCGATGGGATGATTTGCTTTTCTAGCAGAGTCATCAAACATCAAGTAGCATTACCATTTCACCGTCAGGCGCTCTCAATGGGAGGTTCCAAGTCCAATTCGGCCCTTGGGTCTACGCCGGCCCGATGAGCATTCATATAGGCAAACGGTCTGGGAGAAACTACAACTACATTATCCCTCTCTTGCAAACATGAACAAGATGAAACCAACCCAGACCACGGCTCCATGCCATTTTCAGTCATCATCCCGAGTGCCCACATACACTTTCCCATGAGCAAGACTTGCTTCGCGAAAGCCGCCCAGCGTCATGAGCGACTCGGAGTAGCCAACGCCAACCTTGACCGGCCAAGTATACTAACAAATAAATGGAGGGCAGAAAGACACCAGCACTGCCAAGACCATGCTAACCCCACGCGCAATTTCGCAAACTACGGAATTGTCCTCGGAACGAGACCGGGCGGCAGAAGGTCTTGGCCGAGCGGGATCTTGTGAAAATTCAAACCGGGGACCCGTGGGAAGGGCTCGGGACTCCATTCCGCCGAGCGTTTCTGGGGCCCGCGGCCGACGAATGCAGCAGGGAACCAGCTAGCGCTTCCCTGGCTGTCGGAGAGTGCCGAGGAGATGCGGCAGGGGAATGGAGACGAGGCCCCGGTGTGGTGTTTCGCTCCTGTGCTGGCCATCCGCGAGCCCTCTCCTCAGCTCTGAGCATCGGCGTCTGCCTGAGAGACGCGGTTCGCGCTCAACTTGGATTCGGGACACCTTGTAGTTCTGGGGACGCGTGTCGTAGGCAAGAAAAAGCAATAGTCTTGATGGGATCAAGTAGTCCAAGTATGCTGGTCACAGGCACACTTGCATATCAAGCTTCGCAACCGTCTAGCAAGAGCCAACCTACGTAGAACCTTTTCTGCTGCTCATCCGAATAGAGTAGCAAACCAAAATACACCAAAGACAAGCGGAAGTGCTTTTGTTCCGGTTTTCAAGGATTTCTACGCGTGTCTCGCATGACGCTGCGTGTAGATAGAGTCAGGACCAGCACCAATTGTAGAGTAGGTACGAAGTAGTTGAGACAAAAGACGGCATTTCCGTACAATCACAGATTCACCAATCAACTTTACTTGTCTTTTTGTATCCGACGGAATGGGCCCGTACAGTCCTGGCCACGCAGGCCTGTGGCGTACTCGGAGAGAATCACCCGTGGCCCCACGCTGTTCCATGCGAAACGTATCGCGGATCCGGCGAGGGCGGCCAGATCGTACGTTTTCGCGCTATCAAGAGCAAAGGCTGGGATAGAAAACCGCTATTGCAGGGGTATATCAAAGAAAGCCCGCCATCGCTGCGGTGCGGAGGTACGAGGGCGGGCGGCATTCGACCGTCTGCCCAGTGCTGGTGTTGCACGGAAATGGCCCAACAAAGGGCTCCTGACTCCTCACCGGCAAAGGACCCAGAGGCCACACAGACTGAACACGTGACCGGGCAGAAAGACCTTCTTTTCATGTATCGATATATAGTGGCCACTGATCCCTTCTTTCCTCTTGAACAACCAAGCACGGTTAACATCCTGGGGGATTGTCTTTAAAACCACATGCAAGCACGTCTTTCCAGCCAAGCCCACTGTGCCTCTATCACACTGCTGCCGCTCCGCATGTGCACAGCACATGGCGCACACGCTGGCAGCTAAGAACTGTGCAGCACGCGGCTCGTTTCTCCATTTTTTATAAAACGGTCAAGTCCATCTGCCACGGCCACGTAAACACTTCACGCGTGAGTTGACGCGTGGTGTGATAAGCGTGCAACAGTGGGCTTGCTTGAAAAGACTCGGTTCTGAATATAATATTGGAGGTATTTGAAGGCCTGCCCGGCGAGTCATGTGCATGCACATACAATCGGGAGATGGCGGTACAATATATCTAAAAGACGGTTGTATTGTAATGCTAGATGCTGTCATTGTGGGCTGCCTTTGGTGTTGAGCCGTCTTGTAAGCCGGCTCGCTACCCTTTTCGGGACCCATTCCCGTTAGCGGATCCACTTCCGAAGGCTGCTACTAATTAAGTGCGTGCACATTCTGGTGGTGCAACTATTCCAACAGCATTAAAGCTTCTTACTTTTCTCAGGATGAAGAGAGGGATAAAAATAAGTGACTATATAAAGGGGACGTTTATACCTAGAGCTCTTGCCCGGCCGTGTAACCAACGGATCTACTGTGAGTGGGTTTGAGTCGTTGGGCCTTTTCCGTGTAGCAAGTGGTCGGCAGCTACCCGTCAGCAACCAAGTAGCTAGCCCGCTTGGTTGCCGACGGGTACCAAAGTGGACTCCCATCCTCCAAGCAGATGACAAGAATATTGTTCGCCATACGGATTAACCTGGAAACTCTCGCGGTTATCACAGCCCTAGGGCCCCCCATCACGTTGAGTAGTTGGGGCAAGAAACACCATGTGGTACCGCTTTTATTCAGTATATACGCCTCCGAACCAGCTCTCCCATTCATCCCGGCATGTAGATAATCCCGGGTCTATGTACAGTCGTCGTTGCATCCTGTTGCAACCATGGCGTGAACGTTGAAGAGGGTAAAGGGGAAAAAATGCCCAAAAGTGCTGTGCGCCGCTGAAACAAGTTATAACAGTGAAAAATAAAAAAGGTCCATTAAAATGCGTATAGTAGGCTGCGAGAGGAACCATGTACATCATGTCGCACGCGCCAACGCAGTGAGCCACGTCTATGTATAGAACCAGTACATGGCAGTGTACTTGGTGCTATCTTGGCCGGCGGCATTTCCACAACCGTGGCTGTTACCTCCGGCTGTTGAGACACGGTAGACCAACTTTGCGTCGCCCACGGTGCCCTCTTTTGCGCTGAGCTTGAGCCATGCAACGGCGCCGGTGCCGTCTGGTCCCTTGTCCGCGTTGGCGGGAGCATCCACCCCTGCGTCCTTTCCGGCAAGCACGTTGATCTTGCCACCGTCCAAGATGAACTCGGGGACGCCGGCGCTGTTGAAAAGGTGGTGTCCCAGAAAGGGCGCTTTCGAACACTCGAGGTCGAGGGGGGCGTCCTTGGGGAATGGATCGGTTTGAGAGGCGCCGGGGGAGTCAGGTTCAACTCGTCCCTCCGTAGACGAGTTGAAGTTCAAGGGCACATCTTGTGTCTGCAGAACGCGGGAAGTAAGGCTGTCCCAATCCTTTTGTGAAAGAGATTGACTGCTTTGGCCGGGATAGAAGCTGGTGATATCGTAGAGCATCGCCAGAGCGCCAGTAGCCGCGGGGCTCGCGCCCACGCTGGCGCACGTATAGTTCTGAATACCAAAGCCCAGGGCGATGTGCAGAAGCTTGGAACCCTCTGGGGGCTGTGGAAGGTTGCTGGCTGTTAATTGACTGTTAGCGGCGGCTTCAGCCGGTGGCAGGCTCTCTCATTTGACTTACCACCATCAGTTTGGGGGAGAGCTGGAGCCTTGGGGCTATTTGCGCAACTCGAGCCAGTAGGCAGTGCTAGCGCCAATGAGGCTGATAGCAGGACTAGATATGCCTTGAACATGCTGGCTGTGATGATGAACTCGAAAGGAAAAGAGGACGGAGACGAAGAGGAAAATGAGGTAGAACAGGTGTAGATCCTCTACCGCAATGGTGAATTCGAGAAGACGTCAGGAAGCACGCCGACTTGATATAGTTGTTGGTCGAAGGGATGGAGACGAGCTGGGGGCGGGAGCTTGGTGGCTAAACTAGCCCGATTATGGCAGGACGGTAAGCAATGTACAAGAATAGAATCCAGGAACCAGTCAGTGGCCTTCAAATTACGGCCTATTGGTGGTGTACCCGCCTGGGCGCTTATAACGACGGTGGCGTGCAGTAGTGTAGATTTGCTGGAGGCGGAAGACGGGTATGGATGCCGGACATAAGTCAACCAGCGAAGGCAGCAGGGGCAGGGCAGGGCAGGGAGGCGAGCTCAAGTGGCGGTTCCTCAAAAAATCGCAAACGTATTCCAGAAGCGGCATTAAAGAAGGGCAGCGTGGTGCTTTGGAATCCGAGTAAATCTGAGTAAGAAGAGGGATGGGTGGCGGCTTATATAGCTGAGTAGATGATGGGCTTAGCTGTGTAAGACTTTGGTGAATCCAGCGTGTCCGGGGAAATTGCAACGGAGCTTGGGGCGTAATGCAATGCAAGGTCTCTTGCCACAACGACTTCGGACGATGACTGGGATGGGTGAGCGCTTCGTTTAGCCCCTCATGGTTATGCAAGATGGTGGTGGTGGTGGTGGTGTGCTTGACCATGTGGTGTTATGCATGGCCAATTGATACAAGGCCCTGGCGTCTACATTTCCATAATTCTCTGCCATTTAATTTGCGGCATCTGTCTTTTGCCAAGTCGATGCAACGGGCGCTTGACTCGGCATCTTGTATGTATGCGGGGACCGATCTCTGTGCCCGCCAAGGTCCGAAGTTTGCGTATACTCGTATGAATTGCCGCCCGCCATGGTACATACAGCCCGGCGAGTTGACATGCGAGCAAGCAATACTGCAACGTCATGATGAGCCAGACATCCTTGGCGCCTCTCGTTCGTGTCAATAGCTCGCGAACGATTGCCACAAGCCACGCCGAGGAGGCAGGCTAGCAGGGTTCTGCCCGAGATGGTTTCAAAGGGCATCGGAGACATGCAGATATGCCGTGACCACAGATCAAGGGCGGGACGCAGTCGGGCTGCGCTGCACCGCGCTCGGTCACTGTCCTGGAAAAGACGCAGGTTCGCTGTCTCGACAGCTGCATAGCTGCATGACACCTGAGACGCACCACGTCGACGCGACTCCATGATCCTTGTCGAGTCCGGTGCGATGCTGGACAATGCTGGTTGCCGGTAGCCGCGCTTAGCACTGCATCATATGACCAACCGCTGGCCAGATGGCCCTCCACTCCAGATGCCCCAATGCACGAAATGGTGTTACAAGCAAGACTGTGAATGGTTCGTTTAGCGGAGGCTTGCGGAACCGAGGGAGCATTTGGACTCTGCTGGCGCAAAGAGGCTAGCTGACGCGGGCCGTATGCTACCCGACGATGCAGCGTCAAGAATAGAAACCGTGGTGGTGAAGCCGTCGTGGCGAGATGGACTTGTTTCCAGATGTTTTGTCGGTTTCTCGCCGCCTTGTTCTAGCCGGCCAGCCTCCCCCGCCCAGAGGTGATCTACCCTTGGCGATCCTCAAACGGTGGACGGCGCCATGACGATCCTTGGTCGGTCGGGAAACCGCACGTGCGGTTTGGTGCCCTATCCCAAGAGAAAGGCAGCAAAGGGATAGCGAGCGATGGTGCTGAAACAGGTTGGTGTTTTAGCATTGGCTGTTGGGCGTACATGGCGATGAAATGAAGTTGGGCAAGACAATCCAGTACGCACGAGTCGAGGCACGGGGCGAGCAGTGTGCGGTTTGGTAAGGGACTTTGTACCTTGTACCTCGTACCTCGTCTCAGCCACATGACGCCAGGCCTCAAGTGCTCTCCTTGACCATTGACAGCTGGTCAGCAGCTTCGATTCAACATAATCGAGTGCTCGGGCCTTTTTCCCTCTGGCGATATCGTATCATTACGTCTAGATTTGTTTCGCATCACAGCATCCGCGCCGCTATTCCCCAGTCCCATGCAAGGACGGAACACCTGGTCCAGCGTGCAGTTGGTTATTGTTCAGCTGCGGAGAATTGTCGCGGATACCATCATTCCGTCCCATGACCGCGGAAACGCCCCCAGGCGCCACCTTCAATGTTCCCATCCTTCGATATGGTTTCAGCTAGTCAGCCACCGAGTCGCTGGCCAGCAGCCACATCCTTTCCCTGGCGTGACGCATCCCAGCAAGAGAGGCAAAGCTCACAGTCACAATGCCATTGTTGCCAGTCGGCACCAGCGCATGAATCGATTCTTGTTCCCACAGTCCCGGCTTCTAACCTCTAAACTGCGCACCCTGTGCTCGACGAGCTGGCACCCCGTCCACAGAAAGAATTGACAGGTTCAAGGCCCAACTGCTCTTCTCTGTAGGACCGGAGGCTTCAATGGTATATGAGTATAGTGCGAGCGGTGTAGTGTCATGGACAACTTGGAACGTATCAATGTCCATCCATGCTCATCTCATAAAGGTTCACACACGACCACACGACCACACAAAACCAGACGCAACTCACATTCCAGTCACATCTATAGCGGCCATGTTGGGCTATGAAGCTACCAAGCTGCCTACTACCAACCATTACGTCGACCGCGTTGGGACAGTGACGTTTTTGAATCAAGCTTAGATGTCTTCAGAGGAAACCCCGAGCAACGCTGCACACACTAGCCGAGAGTAGAGCCATCGATAAGAAGCCTGGAAATAGGTTAACAACAAATTTCAGCCGCCGGCCGCCTGTAAAATTTCCGTCATTAGCTCTGCTTGTCAAGTATGGAGCTGACATGACGGTTGCCGAATCTCGGGCAGTAATGATGGTACGGAAAAGCTACAGGGTCGCGTTCCAGTCCTCGAGATATTTGAGTGGACCGAGGAAGGGGACAAAGTTGACGTTTAGCCATGAGTGACCTGACAAAGATTTGAAGCTTAAGGGGATTATATACACAGGGCCCTCTACTAACAAGAGCACCAGACTCTTAATTTATATTAACAGCTGTTAATTATAATTGCTATAAAAAGTAATAATTTTGTAGATAATAACTTGTGCAAATAAAATATTTTATTAGATTATTAAGTACTCCCCCCTTGTATACTTATTATCTTGGTACAGCCTAATACTGTGTTACCAGATGTTGTGCTTGCACGATACCTGTATCATGCTCGTATCATCATTTGCCTTGAGAGGGAAACAACAAAAAACTTGATACACTCCTTATAATAATTCCCTTTAATTAGCCATAATCCCTCTTATCATGCCACACCTGGCTAAACATTCAGGGTCTGAAGTATATTAATGCTCAATGCAATCAAACTCACCCATGACCATCTTGTTGCACCCAACAGTCTCCTGCCACCAGGACCAAACCAAACTGTTGCGGCTGTCATGGACTGGTAACCAGCGCATTGGGAATATTGCAAGGCAAAAATGCAGAAATTCATCCGAGTCATTCCGCAAGGGGACTTGAAGAAACGTGGCGAGTCAAGTACCTGATCCTCGTTCCTCATCCAGTAGATGACGAGACTTACTACCACCCTTGGCTGTATTTTGAACTGTCAAAAGGCACATTAACTTGCAAATGGATTTCACATAGCCCTTGACTACATGACTATCCCACTCTAGTAACGCGGCTATAGGCTCTCTCGGATAATCCCAATGCGCATGTAGGATCGGTTGAGGTTCGAACGTCTTAGCTCACGGCATAAATCAACTGGTCCCTTGGACTGGTGTTGCAAAAAGCATTTGTGTCAAGCATGGCTTACTCTCTCCAAGGCAGGTCAGCAGTAAAATGACCAGCCCTGCACCCAACATGCCAGCCAACAAGACCGCACGCCTACGCGCCGCGCGGCAAGGCAGCATCATGATGATCCACAAGATACGTACAGACCTTCCCTTTTTGACCAATAATGTCAAGACCTCTAGTCCTGATAATGAAAGCACTGGGCAGCTTTTCAAGACTTGTCGCGAAGCCGCTTGGCCGCTCTACAGACCAAACAAAGCTACAAGTCTCTGCCATGGCCGTTTCACTTGTTCGGTGCCATTTGCTCAATAAAAGTTAGCCGCCTTCTCTCAAGCTTGTCATCGGCTCAGGCGCATTGCATCCCATCTTTCAACCATGACTGGGTGTCGGTCAAAAGCTGAAGCCGGCAGTGCGCCTCCTCCACCGCCGCCGCCTCCTCTTCCCGGCCGATTGGGAAGCACACCGACTCCCAGTGTTCCTTCAATCAAGCGGCCAACTGTGGCACCGATTGGTCCCAGAGGTTCATTTCTAGTGGAATTGATAACCTACAACGGAGCACCTTTTAAAAACCACTGGGCATACTGGGTCCGCTCACAGAGTGATCCCGACATCGGGGTCCAGTTGCACGCCACTGGAGATGTAAGAAATGGATTTTCACTCGAATTCAAGCGAAGCCATGACCTAAGAGATACTGGAAATATCCCTTCTTCAAGAATTCCGTTGCAGTGGGTTGATAGCCGGTACTTTGATGAGAAAGCAATGCTCAATAACGGCATTCACAAGCTCGATACCGTGCCGGTCTGTATGTTTGAGGCCTCGGCAAGCAAGGTTGATGCGCCTGGGAAGACACTAAACTCAGTCAGCACCACGGTCAGTACGATGGGTCTTGATTTGCAATGTGAATGCGCAAGAGCTGATGCATGATTCTCCAGCCTTACTCGAGAAGTACGGTTAAACAACGAAACTGCCAGACCTGGATCGTTGAGTCGGCAGATCAACTTGTCAAGGATGGAATTTTCAATTTAGAGACTGCGGCCTATCTTCGCAGTGTCGAACAGTGATTTGGTGAGGAATCTATTTCTCTCGGCGCTGCGTCCGATTTGGTGCGTCCTGTTGTATACAGCCGCTGCCCGACGTCTGAGTGCGAGGCAAAAGGTATATGAGCCGATCAGGTTCCAGGCTATTGCGCTCTTTGCCATGATATATTACAGGATATTAGTGTAAATGTCTGGGTTGGCAAACATGTTCTGTCACAGGCTATAGGTTAGTTCCAACCCAAAGGTAGAGTACATCTGGAGACGTGCGATAACTGTCTAATCTGCATTTGAAGTTCAATGTTTTTCCGTCTTCCGCCACTATTTCCTTGCTTAGTCTAAGTAAGTCTGATCAGGAGGGCATTAATACCAGCCACTCTTGACTTGCAAAATTTCGTCAATTTATAATCTACTCTCTCGGCGTGCCCATGATATGATGGGGTGTAAGCCGCGCGCCATTTGCACGAATCACTACAACCAGTGTGTGAGATTTCTAGCTACAAAAGACTTGTAATCGTACCAACATAAGGACTAGCCTAATAAGAATACTAGAAACTATATGCCAAGTAATTTAGTGCTATTGGCATCATGAGCCGCCGCCGCCTCATTTTGTCGCCCGAGGCTAACTAAACCACATTTTCTTCTTCTTCACAAGGCAAACTTTCTTTCCGGACCCTCCCGTCTTTACTGCGGCGATATGGCATCTTGTGGTCGCGCCAGTATTGGTTGCCAGGTTTCTGCTCTCGGCATGGCATGCCTGCTGGTGTGTGGCAGTTGGGTTTTGGCATCGCCAACTGGGGTGACGAGTTCATGTGCCCGACGAACCGCGCTTTGCAGAGGACGTGTCAGTTGACCAGGGACAAGGAATATGGGCATCCGTCAGTCGAGGATACCACTGTGTTGGCCAACTGGTTGCCTTTTTCTGCTCGTTTTGCGCCGCGTGCAAGTAGCCGAGTTGCACGCAAGTCACTCCAGATCAGTTCCATAGAGAAAAAGGCGTGTCGCACAGTGTGCAATATTGACCTCGCACTCACGACCCACTCGACTGTCACCGTCCCCTTCAACACCAAGCCGCACACAATCTCCATCATCAACGCCGTCTCGCCCGTCGACAGCCCACCATGTCGCGCCGTCCAGCAAAAGGCGACTACATCGAAACCGTAACTCGCCCTCCCCCTTCTCCCTCCCGCGATGCCCAACTAACCCCCCCGCCTCCGCACAGGACACGGGCAACAAGGTCGCCCGCAAGGCCATCCTCGTGGGCACGCAAAACATCATGCTCGGCGGCAAGACAGTCATCCAGCCCGAGGTCATGATCCGCGGCGACCTGGTGCGCACCGCGCCCTCGTCGTCCTCGGCGCCCACGAGCTCCACCGCCGTCGCCATCGGCCGCTACTGCTTCCTCTCGCGCGGCGTGCTCCTCCGGCCCCCCGGCCGCCTGTACAAGGGCGTCTACACCTACATGCCCCTCCGGCTGGGCGACCACGTCTTTGTCGGCCAAAACACCGTCGTCCAGGCCGCCACCGTCGGCAACCACGTGTCCATCGGCCGCGACTGCGCCGTCAACGAGTTCGCCATTGTCAAGGACTACGTCAAGATCCTCGACGGCAGCGTCGTGCCCTCCTCCATGGTCATCCCTAGCTTCTCCGTCGTCGCCGGCCGCCCGGCCAGGGTCGTCGGCGAGCTGCCCGAGGGCGCCTTGGACGACTTTGAGCTGCGCGACATGTACAAGACTGTTGGGAACAATCCGCAGCCGGCTGCGTAGGCGGCCGCGCACGAGTGCCGCCGGTCCGGAGGGAAGCTGCATGCAAGTGGACGCATGGGATTGTTGCTTGTGTTGTTGGTTGTGCCGATTATTGATACCCCGAGAGCGCGCGTTTAAAAATACGAATACAGACGAGGCTTTGATGCTCTTCGACAAGAATAGGATTTCATGGCGTCGTGTTTCTAACTTTGCTCTACTCTAGCATACGCCTCGATGATCCTCTTGCCGACCATTTCACCGCTCCAATACGCCCCTGTTGCTGTTCCCACTGCCACAAACGGCGCTGTGTGCTCGCCCGCGAACCAAATCCCTTGATCGGGCAGCCCTTCCCTCATGATTTCAATGTCCTTGTCGCCATTCTCCAGGCCGACCTGGAAATTGCTGTAGCTTCCGTTCCCTGCGAGTTCGTCATTTAACCACTCCGTCGCAAGGAACCCGAGGGGATGACAATCCGACGACTCGGCCGAGTAGTTTGGCAACAGGGAGTAATACGGCTGGAAAAAATCCGTCAGGAAGGCCGTCCGTTCGGCCTCGGTCGTCAGTTGAGCCAGCGTCGACGTCATGTGTTTCGACTGCTCGCCAAACGTGTAGAATAGCAGCGTTGGGTGGTTGTCCGGCGCGGAAAGGCTGCCGAGCTCAAAGGCATCTTGGTGCCAGCGGCGCGGGTTGGAAGGGGCGTAGGTCGGCGTGATCCATTCTATGAAGCCGCTCATTTTGGTGCCCACGAGCCAGAACGCTGTAGGGAAGGTGACGTATACCTGGCCGTGGTCAGCGATGACTGCCAGATGGTTGAATGGGTCTCTTTTCCTCCTTGCATACCTTTTCGAGACACCCATACCCAATTGAGTTGATGGCCTTTGTTAGCCGCGCCGGGAGGCGGGGGTTGAATGCTTCTGGGTGTCTTTTCAGCCAACCTAACGGTGCGGTGACGACAACTTCGTCAAAGAGGAGATGACGACCGCCGTCTAGTTGCACCTTGACCTTGTTGCCGCTCTGGGGCGGGTGCGTTATTTCCGTCACCTTGGCGTTCAACATGATATCCGCCCCGGCCATGGCGGGAGCCGCGATGTGGTCCAAGATTTTCTTGTACGTGCCGGCGCAAAACAAGTTCTCTGGTGCACAGTCAGTGTCTAGTAGAGGTTTGGTGGGAGTAGTCACACGTGGGAATACCTCCTTCCAAGCACTCCTCCAACCAAAAGTACTTGAGGCTTTGTTGAGAAACCGGACTGCCAACAAAGGTCCCCCACATCTCAGCCAGGCGAAGGACGGTTTCCCGTTTCTTTGCGAATTCTCCGTCGCTCTCGGGGATCATGGCTGTTATCCTCTCACGGACAAAGTCTAGCAAGCTCTTGTCGGCGTGAGTCTCTGCGCCGTGCGCGTTGGAATGCTCAAATGCTTGTTGAACGAGGTCCCACACCATGGCGCTGCATCTTTGGCCGTCTTCCTGTGACATCAAGTCGCCAAGATGATCATGCACCCACACATTCGAGTCCAAGCTTCCCGCGGCGGTATTTGTGTGTTTGGCAATGTCGAAAATGGGGTTGTCGTCGGTTCCATGGATCCAGTTGGGGCCAAGGTCAACAACAGCCCGGCCGCCGGGGAGCCTTTCCTGATGCACCCGGCCACCTATGCGATCTCTTGCTTCGATTACGGTGACCCTGATGCCATTTTGTACGAGTACATCGGCACAGCGGAGGCCAGCCAGACCGGCGCCAATGATTGCGATGCTGGGTTTGGATGAGGATGACTGGCGCCGCTAGGAAGAGAATCTGCGTAAGCTACTGAGCATATGGATGACATCGAGTACTGCTTCATGTCACAGCCATGATGGAGTTCCAGGCTGTGTGTAAATTACTGCAAATGCCAAAGCCAAACAAGAGGGGGGTAAATGAGTTGGATGCGCAGACTGGTTTTGGCACGATAATACCTTGGAGGCGCGGGGCTCGGAAAGACTCATATCGTTCATGTCATTGAATGCCACACAACTACTTTGGGCGACCAAGGTGCCAAATAAAGCTGCTCTCAGATCTTCATAAATTCTCGACGGATGTCGTAGGGCTGGGCTAGTACGGCATATCGAGTAAGCATCCATATTCAGAATGGACTGGAGGGATTTTGTGGTCACGCTTGCACGCTTGGGATGGGAGGAGAGGTAACTCGAGTGGCTCTCAGGGAAATGGATGAAAAAAATAAATAAAATAAAATAAAGAGGGGAGATAGTTGAAGGCGTGGAAATAGGACCAAGTTGTACTCCTGTCGGCCGTCGAGATGCGAAAGTGGCCGACCCCTATCTTGATTCCCATTGTGGCTCATTCAGTGCGCAGCCACATGATGTCGTGGGGGGGTGACGGGAATGACATTCGTTGGCCAGGCGGAGACGGGCTTACCACACATGCATTGAGGCCGAACGGGCACAGGGAGATAAAGGCCGAGGTTTGATGCCAGAGCCCGATGTGCGCGGCTTGAACGTGGTGCAGGCAGCAGTAAGACGCACGGGTTGGTTGCAGATGTTTGAACCATGAGAGAAGGGATGATGGGGGCACGACGGGATGCGGAGTGCATGCCTAGGTAGCAATGAGAAGTGAACATTGAACGAATGCACTTAGTAGGCGGGGTTGGCATCTGCATCTGCATACCCAGGTCTAGTATATGAACATTGAACCGGACCAGACACCAGCACTGAGCGTAGTCAAGACCAACAGCTGATGCATAAGGGCAAAGTGGGCTGGTCAGGTGGTGAAGTGAAGACGAGATTGATGCTTTGGCATTTGACGACGTGCGCCTTGGTGATCACGCCTCCATGGCCGGCCCCACTCTGAACACATGGGCATGTGGGCTTGAACCAGAGACAGTCTGGTGCATGGGCGAACATGGAGCTTCAAAAGCCATCCATATCATCGATATGAGCTGGCACCTGAGCTACAACAAGTCTGGTCAATGGTGCCATATTCGAGTCACTAGCGCCCCAGCAAACTCGACGTGGACGTCTGGTGGCATCTGGACAGTGCTGGCTGGAGCCCGGCCAGATCGGACGCCACCTGAACAGTGAAGCGTCAAGACTCAAGTTGGTCCAGGTCCAATGGCCCATGTCCACTGGCAGTACGTACTTGTCAAGTCCCTGGTGCATTGATGTCACCACCACCACCGACCAATGCCGGCTCGGCAGCTGCCTAGGCGTCTGGCCTGGCATCAACTCGTCTCGCCCCTTCCATGTTCCAGCCCTCGCGTGTCTTTGCCCCAACAACCGTTTTATCAACACAGAACCTTATTCTTCAGCCGACCAAAATGCACGCGATACACCATCGACCTTGACTTTGCCTTCCATCTCATCGACGTGTCTGGCGACCCCGACCCCTCTGGCCCAGCAGTCCCGCACCATGAATGGCCTCCTCCCCGCGTTTGCGTTTGCGTTTGATACAGAGCCTGGTCATCTTGCGACGACTCCGTGCTTCTCTCATCGCTGAACCGCCTACAAAACTCGCGTCACGTCCTCGGCCGGCCGGCCGGCCTACCACGCCCCCGAACTGTACACAACCGCACCTCGTGGCCCTTTGCCTTCAGTCACCCAGTCATCATGGCCACCTTGTTCCAGTCGTTTCGAGGCTCCGGCATGCCTAAACGCCTGCTGCGCTATGCCCTGTCGCGCCTCGACCTGCTAGATGCCGACGCTCTCGATATGGATAATCTCGATTTGGCAATAGGAAGGAATACCGTGTTTGAGTTCCGAGATGTTGGCATCAAACTCAAGGTGCGTTGGTTGCTCAGTTGATCCTTCGTCTTGTGTTTTGCTCCTGCTAATGCCCGCTTCTAGAAGCTTCAAAAGCTACTAAGCCTGCCGCCTACATTCGGTCTCGACAAAGCCAAGGTGCTTCTCCTCCGCATAACTATACCGATGGACTTCTACACGAGCCCCATTATCGTCCAGGTCGATGGTGTCCACGTCCGCTTAAAAGTTCTGGGTGATGTATCCAAGACGGCTCGGACATTGAATACGCCAACTCAGGAAGCTTCTGTGGTTCCAAATACGGCCGACTTGGCGCAATCTTTTCTGGAAACAGAGTCATTTTCTGAAAGGAAGCAACTGGAAGATGCACTGGCTGCAGAAACGAACGATCTGGGCGCATCCGTCACCATGAGCGAGGATGGAAGCGAAGACGAGTCACCATTCTTCGGCACAGGACAGCCGCTATCGCTCCCTGGATTTCTGGCAGACTTTTTACAGGGCATTGTGGACCGAACGCAAATCTCCATAAACAACGTCGTGTTCCAGTTGGACCTGGAGGTTCCTGCCGAGCTGAATTCATCCAAGCTTGAGCCAGTTTCCTTCCAGGTTGCCTTGGGACAGATCAATGTTGAAGGCATCACCACCGATGGTCAAGGGGGAGATGGCGGCACTGCGCAAATTGTCCACCAGGAGGGCAAGCGCCATGTTTCGCTTTCGAGTATCCGCGCTTGTTTGATATCCGAGGCCGGTGCCTTTGCCTCGCTGACTCGTTCGCCATCGACAGCCTCTCCATCCCTTGCTTCTTCACCAGCCATGACGAGAAACCCACCCTCTCGACAAGCCACTTTCCTGTCACAGGGCAGTTTTCATGAACCGCCTATGGTAGCCCTCCAGGAAAGTTTTCGGGAGCGCCTATCGGATGATGATGAAGCTTCAGATAGCCAAGACTACCCTCTTGGTGACAGCGAGGATGCACTAGCGATACCATATGACTTATCGGATACGGAGCATGCCCTGGATGAGGAACTCGAAGACGACTTGGACAAACAAGGCCCACTAACCCCCCGTGCGTCGAAATATCTCGACTCCTGCGAATTTCCAAGATCATCGCATCTCTTTCATTCTATTATCGAATCGGGCATGACGTCACCTATGCAACCCCGGGCGGCTAGTGATCTCCTAGGGCCAGGCGTGTCCGCTGAACACGATAATTTGGTTCATGCCGAACAGTATCATGAAACTGGCTCGTCTCATCTGGCCTCTTCGGACCTGTACA